AAAATAAAATAAAATAAATAAATAAAATAAAATAAAATAAATAAATAAAAATAAATAAAAAAAAAGGATGATGATGATATTGAGGGAATAAAAAAAAAGTGTTCGGAGGTTTTGGAGAAGGTGACGGAAGATGAAGTAAGTAAAATGACGGTCTCGGTATTATTGGTATTAAGGTAGATAATATGTCGTAGTAATGGAAGGAAAAAAAACTTAACGGTCCCCAACCAAAAAATTAAAAATAAACAAGTATTACAATTGCTTCTCTTGCAGAAGAAAAGGATTCCTTTCCCAAAGCCACACCGTACGACTGGTGCCTCTTTTATTATGGTTCGGGTAAGTTAGTATGAAATTAAATGGTATTATTATTAGTAGTACTATCTTGATTATTATTATTATTCCATTATTTAATTTATTATTATTATTATTCTTAGACTTATTACTGACTACTAGTTCAGGACTTTGCGGCCTAGTCTACGGAGACTACTACAGCTTCGCACGTTTCCACTAAAAACCCCAAGTGGCTCCAGTCGAACCCGACCGAACGAAAGCTCGAAGGTCACCTTCAGGCTTCAGCGCGCTTCCGGCTCCACAACGTGGCTTTCCCCGTCTCTCTGGCCGTGCGAGAATCGCTCTTGAGGTGGATACGGCTTGGTGCCGATCTGAATGAATAATATTTTATTCTATTTCTGCTCCAGTGTGCGCGTACGGGAGATACATAGCTACGCCCAGTAATGCTGAAGAACACCACCTATTTGTTTGGTTCGGTCGATGATCCCAAAAGCATCATCACGGCTTTCATACTGCATAACGCAAGAAGGTCAGGGACCAATCATAACGGGACTGGAGGCCATCGCCAGGAACCGAGATGAAGAGCGCATGCCCCCCTTTAGAAGCTTACTTTTTCTTTTTACCCTTACCCTACCCCAGAACCTTTCAAGGGGTCCATGATCATTCGATTCCAAAAACCAAAAAGTTAGCCCAACTCTTTGGAGTGACCAGTGTGTGCTGTCATGCACCTCGCAATTATCGTGCGACCATTTACCTGCAAATGCCTGCATACTTCGCACCTATCACATTGGAGAGCGTCAAGATCGTCAGTGCATATCTCCTACAGCGTGGGTTTTGCTCTATACCAGTACAATTCTTTTCAAGGAGACCACCGTTGGAGAATCCTTCCGAATCAGTCGGACACGGGAATCGAAGTGACGGTACGGAGTAAAGGAAAAGAAAAACAAACACCAAAAAAATTTTTTAAAAAAAAAAAAATTATAATTTCTAATACAAAAGATAGGGCAGCCTACATCGGTCGACCAGCGCCCCCTCCTTCCTCATCTTCTGCTCTCTCCTCGACGAAATTTCAGGGCGGGAGGTACTTCACTAACTTAGATCATAAATCATGATATGGCCAATAAACATTGCGGCTAACCCCAACCGATGGGACCCCCTTTTGAAGGGTGTCGAACATGGCCTGAGATTAGAACGACCGATGGGAAAGTTAATTTCCTTCTAGAAAGGTTCGAATAATGGGGAATCGGATGTGATCCTTAGCTTTGGTGAGGGAACCTTGACCCACGCAAGGTCCGGATATGGAGTACAGAAGTTCCGTATCACATTTTGAACGGTATGTATAATGTACACGACCACATGTACGGATGTACTGAGCGCGCATACATGATAATGCCTGCAGGGACAATATTGCCTCGGTCCTGGGGGAAAAGAAAAAAAATTCCTCAAATTGTTGCCCAAAAAAAAAGCTGCATGTCACATCTGGCTGCATGTTATCACATCACCTCCAGCGTGAACAGAAAACCGACAGGGATGGGTAAGTTGAAAAGATTACGAAGGGGAGGGCGGTAATGTGCCGTGGGGACAATTATGGTGCGGGTAACGCACTACCACCTAATCCCATCTCGCCTTAGTCGGGCTGCAACTAGTCAGGTTAGTGGCTGCTAGTGTACGGACCTGACGGAGGAGGCTGCGACAGTGGTTCCCACGCACTCAGGATTTTGGGACTCATCATCTCACGGCGGCTTCTCCTTTTCTTGCAGAGGGGCTCCACAGCCACTGCACTAACGGGATCCTGCCTGCAAGTTAGAGCTGTTCGTTTGCCTGCCAAGCGAATCCGGTATTCCGCAGACCTTCTAGAAAAGTTTGGAACGACGATGGAAGCCTTCTAAAGCGTCCATCGCATGTGCCGTTGCGGCTGCGTAACGCTGGAACCCACTCTGACGCTTGGTCTGAGACGTGCTGGGTGGTCAGGTCCCCTGGTGCCTGGGGCGTATCACGGTCATTTGCCCACCACCCTCTCTCACCGTGATAGCCTTATTTTTTCTTCTCTCTTTTTTTCTTTTTTTTTTTTTTTTTTTTTTTTTTTAAACAGATGCGAAACCGAACAGAAACATTAGTCCAGTCTTTGCTTCGAATAAAAGAGGGTTCCTCCTTTATTTTTCTTTTATTTTTGGTTTGTTTCCTCTCTCTCTTCGAAGCGAAGTTACATGGCTCACATATCAACTGCATCGTGACCGTCGACGTCAACGATTGACATTAAGTCATCGTCATATCATAAGTTTCGCTGCAGAAGTCCGTGTTGGTTGTGAATCAATGATTCAGCGGGACCCACGTCTCCTTTTTACTCTGGGTTTTCCTCCAAATTTATTGGTCAAATATATAGGGCGACGCCAGAGTCAGGGGGCGCTCGGGGTCCCGGAGATGTGGCTGGAGGCAGGGACGGATGGACGCATGACGCTTGTCCACAGTCTTTGAGTACGGAGTTTATTGAGATCGCAATAATATCCCAGGGTTATCATTGGACAAATGGTATCTTGTTTATTACCAACGGGCTTTTTGGCCTGTTTCAAATCTGCCTCTAATGGCCTTTTCCCGGGCAAGAATAGGGAGGGATTTATATATATATATATATATATATTCTTTCTATTTTTTTTTTTGGACCTACGGACGGGGCTGGGTTACCCGTCAACGGGGTTTCAATGTATAGATTACACAGGGCGATCAGCTCCCGTAGTTCACTATGCTTTCCAATGTCATCATGGCCAGTGGTGGTACGGTCATGAGTCAACCCCGATAGATGCTGCATTTGTTTTGGATCCTCCTCAAAATGTACAAGTATCACGTGATTGATGTACCTGTATAAAATACCTTGTACTCCGTACCTTAGGAACTTCTTTCTCGAGCCGGACCGGGAAGGTGCATATGTCAGCCCTGGGGAAAAGACTGGGTGGTAAGTAGGTTCATGCATTGGATTTGATCAGACATGGCCAAGGAGCCGGGAATCTGGTTCTTGCAGCCTCATCCATGTTTCGGCGCCAGCGAAAGTTCAGCCACATTGTGTATAAATCCGTGCGTGATACAGCAGGACTCGAGGGGGTTAGCTGGCACCAAAGACATGAATGAATTCCTCAGGAGATGTTTTTTTTTGTTCCACCCAAACCTTCTCAAACAGATGCTGTGTCTAGGCACCCAAGGGAAGTCCAGGGAATAGACTTTAAGGCTACAACGCCATCCCCTAACGCAACACCCCTAAAGTACTCCGTACTCTGACAAGAGAAGACAAAATAACTCACCTAAAGTACGACTAAACAGTCAGTAGCCTAGAGCAAACATAATAGCTCAATTTGTAGTACGACGAACCTACGGAGTACTACTAGTATCTAATACATACGTAAGTCGTTAATGCAAGGAACGCTCCCAACAACTAGTCCACGATCCACTCTTCTTTCGCTTACCTCACCGACCAGCAACATACTCCCGAATGAGATGGATGATCTTCCCGGATATGTGGGCTATGTTTCCGTAGGACAGACAAGCCAGACCAGAGCTGCCCAGACCGACAAATTGACTCGAGCTATGGGGCGCATATGACCAGACACGGAATGTTTCTGGAAGGGCCGTAGAACTATCGAGTGGACACGGCGGGCCCACCGGGTGGATTAGAGGGATGCGATGGATGCACAATCCGCCCAGTCCGTCAGATAGTTAGCTCGGTACGGTACGACCACCTCTTGCCTAGCTTGGAATGAACGGCAGGTTTCCGTTGGAGATGGTCCCCCCCTTTTAGTAGGGTTCTAGAGGCTTGATGGTCGAGAGTCGGTGTGTGGTACCCGCATTAGGTCACTTATTTGGGGTAACTCGTCGCGAGGGTCATGGACGGAGAGCAAGGCTAGCTAATATTAATGGGTACTGAGTAGATTCTGTAAATGGCTGTGTCCCTTGAGCTTGTAGTCAGTCGTGTAGTAGAGCCCAAAGTATGGGATCGGGATGCGGGTATGTGCAGCTAATGTACAGTATGTATATTGCTATAGAGCTACGAGCAAGTAAACAATGAGAAAGGGATGACATAAGTTCTTGGCATGTTTGTTCGCAATGCCAACATCACATTCGCGATAGCAGTTCAAAGCTTCAATCTCCAATTCTCGGCTTGTCATATCATTCAGAGATTGAGAAGCGCAGCAATGTCAACCAATTGATGATGCCCCTTATTAGGAAACCAAAGTATGCACTATATCATGTTCTTTTGTAGTCCAATGCAAAATCTAACTACCTAACAGATCCCATCTCCTTGAAAAGCCAATGCACCGTTGATCATCACCGACACCGCAACGAAATTATCACTTTAAATCAAACGGGAAAAGACAAAAAGCAATACTCTCATCCAACCTAATCCAAAATGTCCAAAATCAGACCAACCCTCCGCAAGGCTACCTCCCTCCTCCGCCATCTGAAATCCCCTCACCGAGCGCACTCCACCTCCGTCTCCGCCGATGAACTATCTCACTTCTCCTCCCTCGCCAGCAGCTGGTGGGATCCCATGGGCCCCAGCCGGGTCCTCCATCTCATGAACCCCCTCCGTCATGACTTCATCGCATCCTGTCTATTCGATAGCCTCCCACCACCACGCGCCAGCACACCCGAAAACCCCACCCCAACCCCAGTCAACAACCTCCGCTATCTCGACGTCGGCTGCGGCGGCGGCATCTTCGCCGAATCCCTGGCCCGCACGATCCCCACGAACGCCAACAGCCCCTCCCAAACAGTCACCCAAGCAGCCTCCATAACCGCCATCGACCCAACCTCAGCGCTCATCAAAATCGCTGGCGACCACGCGCGCATGGATCCCAAAGTCGAAGCGCACCTCCGCGACGGCAAATTCACCTACAAGAACTGCACGCTGGAGGACGTTGTCGCATCACTGCGTGAGACGCCTGAGGATGAGAAATTCGACATAGTCACGCTCTTTGAGGTTCTCGAGCATGTTGACTCCAATGCCACTTCGTCGCCTCTTGCCTTTTTGACGAACTGTCTTCGGGTTCTTCGTCCTGGTGGATGGTTGGTTGGGTCGACTATTGCACGCACTTTCCCCTCGTTTCTCGTCAACCAAGTCATTGCCGAGGCGCCGTGGCCGATTGGTGTTGTGCCAAAGGGGACGCACGAGTGGAGCAAGTTTGTTAATCCCGATGAGCTGTATGCTTGGGCTCAGGAGGGTCTGATGCGGAGTCAGGATGGAACGGCGCTGCGTGCTGGAGGTGATGCGTTGCAAGGTATGAGGTGGAAGTGCTCTGGAGTGATGTATTTCCCTGGTATAGGCTGGAAGTTGGTTCCTGGATCGGAGTACTGGGGCAACTATTTCTGGGCTATCAGGAAGGAGCTTTGAGTGAATACTTCGATCTGTGCTCCGTTCAGCTAGGTGAAGGGTTATAGTAAGGTGCATTTGGGCCTTGTAAAACAGTATTATTGTGTGTATATATAAAAATGTAGATTACAGATAGAGAAAGCAAATGAATGAGCTTTATGAATCAGGCTATGGTATGAATATTCGTCATTATTCGTAAAAGTAAGGCGCAAACACGTCATAACTGGCTCGTGCTACATCTACCTAAGTAGCAATCGGAGACTGCGATCGAACGACCGATCTTCCAGTGCACGAGCATTTTTGCACATGGCGTGTATCCGTAGAACTGCTTGTGCCCAGCTTAGACTTGCATGTTTCAAGCTGGGGGCAATTTGGGCGGCGATATCAGGTCGACCTTCAATGAATTGAACAGTGTGCTCCGCGACACGCCTGGGATTTCCTTCAAGGATTCCACATACAAAGTAAACGGGCTGATCCCAATAGTCATGCTATTGGGATATGTACAGGGAGTGAGAACGGCTTGGTCAGAGCCGCTACAGTTGTGCCCAGGATGATTATCTTCGTCCCTTCCCCTTGCCTTTCTTCTTGTTAGTCTGGGGTTCAGGAACACTGACAGTACCCTGGACGATATCCTCGCTTTCATTCCTCAGCCGTTCAGAGCCGCTAATAAAGAATGTGAGGTCCCTGTTTTGCTCGGTCAAGTCTGCATTCGTCGCTTTAAGGCCTTCCACCTCGGAAGTCAGGTGTTCAATGCGCTGCATCAAACTTTCATTCATAGTCTTCTCTTCCCGCCACTCCTTTTCCATTTTGCGCGCCATCGCCTCGAACTTCTCTGCACGTTTCTCGGCACGGGCCTTGTCTCGCTCGAGGTTGGGTAATGTCTCATTTTCCAGTTTATCGTATTGTGTGTGTAATGAGCGAAAGTTTGCGGTGGCTTTTTCAGCTGTTTCCTGCGCCGAAGCCGCGGCTGTGCTGGCCTGGGATGCCTTGTCAACAGCTCGCTCGACAATCTCCTCAAAATATGCCCGTTGGCTCTCAAGCTGGCTTGTGAGTAGATGAGTGTACTCCACGCTCATATTTTCTAGCTTTTCCCGGGGTACTGCATCTGTCCAGTCCGGCGGGTCGAGTGCACTGTTATCCGCAGCCGGGAGCTCTACAAGTTTGCCGTCGGTTTTGCTTTGTATGATGCGGTGAACATATGCGTCACCCACATAGTCCCAGACACGTTGCGTAGCGAGGTCCATGGCAAACGCGTGGGAGGTTTCTTTGTAGTGATCGAAAGCATGTGCGCCGTCGTAGCGACCGCAACCGACAATTCCGCAGATCAAGCAAATCCAAAGGTTGATATCGGAATGGCACACGCTGCATTCGGCCGGTTCGTCTTCATAGAGTGCGCCCTGGCTGCTTCTGCGGAACTCGTCTTGTGTGTAGCGACAGACGGGACACCCACTACCCTTCCACTTCTGCAGGCATGTACAATGGAAAACATGTTGACAGATTATCGTAAGCAGGCCAGTGGTCTCATCCATGCGTTCTAGACAGACAGGGCATGTTGGCAGCTCGACAAGGGCCGGTGTGGGAGGTGCTAGAGGTCTCGTAGATAGTGTGGCTGATGGTATAGTGCTGGATTGTCCCGTAGAGGATATGGTTGCACGCTGGGGACTAGTCGCAGAATGAGATAAGAGAGTGTCCTGATGAGTAGCCGTACCCCCGTGCTGTGCTTGTGAATCCACGGCTTGAACCTCCACTGTTTTCACGAATACGACATGGCATGTTTCAGGCTTTTTGAGAGAACGATAAGAAATCAATGCCAAGATATGCAATTAGGAAGTAACACTCACCTCCATGCTATTGAAGACCTTCCCATTCCATTCCTTCTGCCATTCCTTGGCTTTCTTCCCGCTGCGGAATTTTAACAGAACCATATACCGATTGGCTCTGGCGGTCCTAATCATCCGGAAATGGCTCACGTCATCCATGCTTGCTTCACCAACAAATCCCAGAAAATCCGATGGTGACATATATGACGGAACGGCGAGTATACACAAAGTCGTGCAGTCATCGTCCGGATACAAGAGGGAAGAATGTTCCTCCACATGTGCGTCCTGACGTGGGTTAGAGCCCCCGCCCAGTTCATCGTACGGCTGTCTTGCAGCAGCGGATCCTTTCAGGTACGAAGGATAATCCTCCTCAACTAGATACGGCGTCTCCTGTGCATCTCGGTACAGATGCACTATTCCCCAGGTACTATCGGAGGTTTGTTGATCGAGTGGTATATATTTACCCTTCGTACGTAGACCTCCCAGAATATCAGTGCCGATCCCCATTGAAACGAGGTTATCCCTGAGATCGCTTCGTCTACCAGCCCGCTTCGGGACTATTGCCTCCTGATCCGTAGGTATCATATCAATGCACTCCACTGAAAGTTTATCCAATCTCGGGTCTTCCTCAAAATCGGGGGCGCTGGTCGGCGATTTCGTATGAAGGAGAGGGGCAGTGGGATGTACAGTCGAAGCTACGGAATTTGAGCTGCAAGCGTCACTAGAAAGAAGCGTCGAAGCGCTTGAAACTTTTCCGTTCGAATGATGGCGGGCTGAGCGTCGCGACCGCTTCTGAAATGGCTGTAAAGCTTCACATATGGAGTCAATGGATAGCGATGTTGGGGATTGATCGTCTGAACTATGGAAGGCACCTCTGGGGCCAGATGATGGGCGTGCAAATAATTCAATCGCAAGGTGGTAAAAATATGAGGGCATCCCGACCGATGCTCACATCGCTGGGATTCTGCGAGTTGTTGCGACAACAAGTTCCAAACTCTTTGGATTGTTTGTCAAGAACATTCACTCCATAGCTTAAAGTTCCATCCCGCCTTCCGCAAGCCACTTCAAGTTGTCACGTGTGATAGGGAGCTGTGGCAAACTGGATGCGCTAACGGCTGCGAGGTCAATCGGCATGAAATATTATTACTACTGAACTTCAACTCCTTTCGCATTCGCAAATAGCTACGATAGTTTTATGCGCATATGAATACAAAAGAAACAAGACAAGGATCCTATGATCTACGGATTCTAGAAGACACCGTTCTATACCAAGCCAGAATACCGAACAGAATCGGTCGTTATTCATTGTAGAGAAGGATCGTAGATAATAAGGACTGAACTATGTAATGCACCACAACATTGTGTAGTGATACAGAAAGCAGTATGCTGTTGAAACATATTCATAAAAGCCTAGAACCAACCGAACGCCATGCATGGCTACTCAACCCAGTTGAGTCGCGATAGCAGAAAATCAAACAAGACATTAGTTTCCACCACGGAGACGTAGAACCAGATGTAAGGTGCTCTCCTTCTGGATGTTGTAGTCGGAGAGCGTGCGTCCATCCTCTAGCTGCTTACCAGCAAAGATAAGACGTTGCTGGTCTGGGGGAATACCCTCCTTGTCTTGGATCTTCGACTTAACGTTATCGATAGTGTCCGAGCTCTCAACTTCCAAGGTGATAGTCTTGCCGGTGAGTGTCTTAACGAAGATCTGCATACCACCACGAAGACGAAGGACCAAGTGCAATGTAGACTCTTTCTGAATGTTGTAATCGGACAAAGTGCGACCATCTTCGAGCTGCTTGCCGGCGAAAATGAGACGCTGCTGGTCAGGAGGAATGCCCTCCTTATCTTGAATCTTTGACTTCACATTGTCGATCGTGTCGGATGATTCAACCTCCAGTGTGATTGTCTTTCCAGTGAGAGTCTTGACGAAAATTTGCATACCACCACGCAAGCGCAGAACCAAGTGAAGAGTAGATTCCTTCTGAATATTGTAGTCCGACAGAGTACGACCATCCTCGAGCTGCTTACCAGCGAAGATCAAACGCTGCTGGTCGGGAGGAATACCTTCCTTGTCCTGGATCTTGCTTTTAACGTTGTCGATGGTATCGCTCGACTCAACCTCGAGGGTAATAGTCTTTCCAGTGAGGGTCTTCACGACTATAGATAGATCAGTTAGTAAGTCTATAACTTGATATCTTTGCAAGTGGCAAACAGGGCAATAGAGAACATACAGATCTGCATTCCACCACGGAGACGAAGAACAAGGTGAAGGGTGGACTCCTTCTGGATGTTATAGTCAGAGAGGGTGCGGCCATCCTCAAGCTGCTTGCCAGCAAAGATCAAGCGCTGCTGGTCAGGAGGAATGCCCTCCTTATCCTGAATCTTGCTCTTGACATTGTCGATAGTGTCGCTCGACTCGACCTCCAAAGTGATGGTCTTGCCGGTAACTAGAGACGGAGTGTTAGAAGGTGCCAAGTGGCGCTAAACTGGAGAATGGGAGTTAGGTATACTCACGAGTCTTGACGAAGATCTGCATGATGACCGCGATGAAAGTATTTCAGTGGTATAGAAGGTAGTAAGGAGTATTCTAGGAGACGTTGGGAGAAAGGTAGGTTGGCAACAGCCGCAGGAACTGAGAGGGTGATGAAGGATGAAGAAGTTAGAAGGCGAGAAGGAGGAAGAGCAGTTTAAGTAGGTGGTCAGGAGAGATGAGGGGAGAGGCAAAGGAGGCGAAGCGCCTTAGTCAGTCAGGGTCGGTCAGTGATAGGTCGATAACGTGATGTAAGGACGGACCATGGCGGTCAATTCACTCTTAAATGGATAAGCGCCGGTTGAACCTTAGGATTCTGGCATCTCCTGGCACTTTCTCCTCCTTGTCCGACCAGTCAGAGGGCGATCCTTTCTTCCTCCGCCAGCGAACTCTCAGTGGAACTTGGGGAAACTGCTAGAAGTGTTCCGGCGGATGACTCAGTCGACTCGTTATCGACTCCTACTTGCTGGCTTCTACATGCGATTATGGTACTGCGAGAGTGCAAAGTGGACTTCTGGGTTCAAAGTTTTCACTAGAATGGTGGCTGAGAACGACGGAAACCGAAGAAATTGTGTCATCCATACCTTGGGGAAGACTCATTATCAGTTTAAGGATGGAGTAGGGACAATTCCGTCCGTACCCGCCACTGACGCCACCAGTCGGCATCTTCAAACGGAAATCTTCCATTTTCCTTCGTTACCTATAATGGAAACCATATTGATGTTGAAAATTTTGTTGCTCTGCACGCTTGTGGCAACAGCTAGCTTATTTTCTTCATAAAAATGCCTTAGAAGGTGATTAACTTTTTGTGTCCCAACTCCTGCGACCTCCTGCGCGGTGTCGCTGCAAGTAGCGATGACGTGTGAAATCCGGGCTTATCGCCCCGAGAGGGGGCAGTGGACACTCTTAGTAGCCTAATAGTTGGGTCACTGAGACGGCCCCGGCCAGCGCTAACGGCAGGAGGGTCAGGTGATCGACCTTGCGCATCCGGTAATTCTCCACTCCTGAATAGGCAGGTACAATGATTAGTTAATCACTGAGAGTAAGTAACTAACTACCTAACTGAACTATATTAGTGAGATGAGTTGTTTACAAGCCAGGATGGCAACACTTCGACTATTTGCTGACGTCTACCTATGGTTAGCTTCATTCTACGTACTGTTTCAATTGACCTATAGATGGTGGAGGCATCTACTACTATGCGTTATTTAGATGGGAGGTTGAAATGGCCTCGTGGATATAGCCGAGACACTACTCTGTAGCTAGATAACCTGGAATCCATTTTTCATCTCAAGTATTACATGAAGACCTAACCCTCGGAGGTATTAATTCCAGGGTGTTGCTGTCATTAAAACCAATAACATAATATCTGACTGCGCTTTCCAATCTCTCTCAGGAAGAAGCCGGGACTGATAAACAATGAACCGCCGGTAGTTGGCAGTCAGGTTCTCCGGAGTTATGCAATTTCTTTACAGCTCCCCTTAAGAAGTTAAGCCTTACAGCCAGGAAGAAAATCAGCCAATACCATAGCCGCCATCACCGTAGTTCACCCAGTCAAAGTCGCTCAGTTGTCCAACTTAGAAAATGAGCTTGTATGTAGGTTATTGTACAGGTCATATGGCATACTTGAATCCGCTTCTTCGATATACGCCGGAAACAAGTGACAAACTCTATTTCAAATTCAAGCAAAGAATTGGCCATCATTGCTTATTCTTTGGTTTCTGGGTATGGCTGAGTAACGATTATGTGGAACAATAATAAGAAATTTGTGGCCTGAAAAAAAAGGGGACCAATTAGCATTGGTTGCCTGAACATAATCCAGACGGTCGGGCAGCCCATTTGGGATTAGCAGGCTTATGAGAGATGTGGATATAAAATAAGATATAGTATAGTAATCTTGAGACTAGTAAGATATCAACCCTCTATTTCTCTTCTTCCCTTTTTCAATCTATACTCATCTTAGCCCGATCAGGATTTTTATGACTGTCAAGCCATGGGTGACATGAAATATGAACTGTCCGATATGGACAAAATCGGTATCACGAAGACTGTGAAAGTCTTACTATTCTATGAGCTCCAACCCACCATTGATCCAGATAGATTGGTCACCTCCATGGCGGAAGGGGTGAAGAACGCGACCATCCAACTGCCCTTCATGGCAGGGAACCTGGAATTCAACGAGTATGGTAAACTTTGTATTGTGATACCACCAGGAAGCCAGGTCAAACTCAATATTCGCCGGTTTGAGTACAAGGAACAAAAATCGCTTTCCACCCTAGTCCAGGACTCATTTTCTCCAGATAATATGGACTTTATCGAGTTTTTACCGGAGGAGCCAGCAACCCCAAAGCAGATCTGCGCTCTTCAATTAAGTCTCGTGGAGGGTGGCCTGATTCTAGGGTTATTGATAAATCACGCGGCTGGAGACTGGTCTGCCATTGATACATTTGTGTCTCTTATCTGTCAAAGCTGCAAGGCACATCAGGAAGAGTTGAAAATGCCTACCTACACCCCAGACCTCAACAGAGCTCCATACAACGCGCCAGAGATCGGCTCAACCTTCTCCAGGCAAGAACATCTGGAAAAGCTCCCAATGTTCCACGTCATGGAGAAGAGCCAATTCAAACTAAAGCCGCCACCTACCTTCCGATCAAGCATGTACAGGGTCTCTGAGTCATCCATACAACAGCTCAAAGCACGGTGCACCCCATATCTGACCGAGGTAGACTACATAACCTCGTACGACTGCATATCTGCACTTGCCTGGACGTCAATTACACGTGCCCGGCTCAATCTGCACCCAGAAAAATCCTCCTTGCCATCCCGTTTCGTTCACCCCATTGATGTCCGCACTCGCGATCCAGAGAAGAAAACTTCTGAGCGTTACTTTGGCAACGCCGTCATCGGGTCTCAAGCAGGCCCTGCTACTGCCGAAACCCTGGTTTCAGATGGTGACCGTGGTCTCGCAGCTGCAGCTACCTTAATCCGTCAATCTATAAACTCCACCAACCTATACACGATCAGCCACATGACCTCCCTCATAAAGTCGCTCACTCCGATGGAGACACTGGGCTCCCAGGCAGACTTCAGTGATATGGACGTGTTCATGAATACTTGGTACTCGGGGAATGCCCAAAAGTACGATATTGGGGGTGATTTGAGACCTGTTGCATTTCGGGTTCCTTTGTCCCTCCCTGGAGCTTGCGCGGTAATCTTGCCAAACTTTTCAAGTGGAGCAACGAGGATCTTTGAGGTTTTAGTGCAGGTAGAGGTTGAGGAACATGAGGAGCTGAGGAAGGACCCGGAGTTTTTAAGGTACTTTGAGGTTGTTGGGTGATGAGGATTGTTTTATTGTTTAATGGAAGTGATTGTTCCATTTTCATAGTGGCATACAATTCTCAAGGTAAATAGGAACATTAAGCAGCATTCTGATGAATGAACAGGACATTAGATAGTTATCAGAACCAAGGAAACCCCTTTTGATATCACAGATTAAGGTAGCTCATCTCACCCTTGTACTATGTAGGTCAAATCAATGGGGCAAGACTAGACGAGCTAGGAGCAGCAGCTCAGCGGGTCCGAGTTGAATATCCCTTTCAAGGGGCACAGGTGGTCTACACAGAATACGCTGAAATTCCAGTATAACTGGGGGACCCTGAACGTAGGGGGGGTTCGCTCCTTGATGAACCTCAGTGGTGGAGACCAACACAGCCCGATAGCTAGGTGGCGCCGAGATTCGCGGTTGTTCGAGCATCCAAACCTCAGGCACGTACTTTTCAAATACCATGCTTCTGGCATTCCTTGTCACCTTGATAAGTAGAACGATATGAACTTTCCCCTCAGAGTTGGAAATCCACCACTGGGCGTCCTGCCGCAGACGCGGCATAGATTCAGATACCCCAGCTTCTATTACCAGGGTCGGCCAGTCACTCTCCAGAGATCGGACGACAGAGTTCGTGAATGCACTGTCCCCCTCTTTCTTCGAGGCGGTCGGCCCCACATAGAGGGTGGCCCCGAGGGACAGAAACTGGTCGATACCGATGTTCATAGTGGAGAACTGGGCCGCAATCATTCGTTCGAAATTTCTATGCGCAATTTCGTGCGCGCGGGTAGGGACCTTAATTATGAGGGTGTTAATATCTTGAAAGTATGTAAACTGGACTGCACCTAGTTGCCTCCGGTGGGCGTCGATAAAACTGAAATCCTTGGGCGAAACATGCTTGAAGGATAGACACTGGCTGATGTCTTCGGTGACCAGTCTATTTCTTGTCTCTGCGACGGCTGTCTTGATCGCTCGTATACCTGTGTAGGTGGTAGGAGGGTATACCTCCGTCAGCGCGAGTTCGGATGACGTGAGCATTTTTACCGCGGACAGGCGAGGCGAAGTATTTATCGCTATCAAGGTGGATTCGTGGGGTTGTGTTACCGGGTATTCTTTGCGATAAGAAGATGGGATTTGAATCAATACCGTCTCGCGAGAGGGAAAGAACTGTAGCTTCGAGGACTGTAGGAGTGTGATGCTGATGATGTGAGTGAGAAGAAGAAACAAAAACTAGCCGTGACAACAGCGGTGAATGTTGATCCGTACTTGAGTCATGACGATTCACTCATCAAGGGCAGACTTCTCAAATGGCAACACCCGTACAACTGCTTCATCTGCCCACAGAGATCCTGACAGGGATTCTAGAAGAGGTCCCATCGCAAGCCTCTCTTGCGAGTCTCGCGCGGACATGTCGACGTCTTCAAATGCAGGTAGAGCCTTATCTCTACCGGTCTGTCTATCTGGGCAACCATGCCGGAGAAAGCTTCACCTATGCCTTGGACCGTAAGATGCTTCGCGCAGAATACATACAAGAGCTTGTGATTCACTATCACTATCTTGAAGACGTTCCAAATGAGGACGAATATTATCCAATCCTCGTGGAAAGCCTGGTACCAACCATCGGCCGCCTGATCAACCTGAAACGACTTGTCGTCAAGGGCCTTGAATATGATATATGTCGATCTTGTGATGACCCGGATTTCGGGCCTGGTCCAAGACTCGACGCTTTGTCTGAAATCTGGTCCTGGCTCTTCCAGCAATCAACCCAGTCGATGTCGGGCGTTCTGCCTTCCTTAGCAACATGTCTGCTACTCCATGTTCCACTTTACAACCCCCACCTCCCTATTCTGTACATACACACACTAACAGCCTCAAGGCGAGCTGATTATGAACGACCTTATACCTACACCCCTACAAAATCCAACGGCCGACCTTTGGTACTTTTCCTCGCGCGAGACTGTCCTGCTTCATCCCAAGCTACGGAAGCTGAGTATAGTAGCAGCCATCATTTCCGGCCTGAGCTCGGAAACACTGAGTTATACCAAGAGACCCTGGTTTAGCCCAACATCCTTGGAAACCCTTACCCTTCTCTGCTGCGACGTATCGCCACACGCTCTCCAAGAGATGCTCAAATTCCCCAAAGCTCTCAAGAACTTCACCCTGAAGGGATCCCCATGGACGACCCGGCCAGACCACTACCCCACAGACCGAGGAGCGATCGTGAACGCCCTAAAAGCGCAAGCACATTCACTCCTTAGCCTCGAACTAGACTTCTACCTGCGCACGGACTGCCCAGCCCTCGACTTCCGCGACTTCAAATGTCTCCAACACCTCACCATTGACCCGAAGGTCCTGAGAGGCGATAATGGCGGGCAAAGCCCCGAGGCGGAGAAACACCTCCGCCAAAATTGTCACCTCCCCCCGAGTCTCCGATCCCTGCGTTTCCGAGAGTATAGAGAATGGGATAGACCGGATCTGCTAACGCTATCCATCGTTCTCGACTGGGTGATGTCTGGAGGCTTACCGAACGTAGAGAACATCACGGTCCAGTCGGCCACGTACTTTTCGCACGCGATATTGGGCGCACCAGTCCCGGATGGAAAGTCATTCCAGCAAGCGTTCCGGACCGTCGGGGTGGCGTTAGCAGTGGAGCGTGTGCGGTCCTCCCTTGGCGATGAGCACCTTACCATTGATTGCAAATGTTGCTCGTTCTGTTGGCGGTACTTAGATCAATGGGATAACTGAATACCAAGTCACACAGTTCCTCATATTGGTCATATTAGACCATACCCACTGTGGAGCCACCAATTCGTAGTCCAAATTTAGGAACTCTCAATAGCAGAGGCTAAGTAAAAAAGATCGCCAACCAATACAGAAAGTAAACGTGGCTATAGGTTACGGTGAGGAAAGCCTCGTTGCCTCGTTCTCAAAATAGCAGTACAGGAAGACCCAAATTTAGGATAATTGCCCAATGCAGTCGAAACTTCGTACAGGACACATGGCGGTATGCTGCCATAACCGACTTCGCCCGAGTCCGAGGGAGCACTTGCAACAGATTGGCTGGGGAGAGGCCAACTCACTGTTATACGGTGTTAGTGTTACTACGTTGACCGCATTGTTGCTACTGGTTGCTGGGGTTGCAAATGTCTAGACGGTGTAAGTCCTGTACGAGTCTCACTTTGAGCGTATGCTCGAGTTGGTCCGTATATGAATTATATATATTACCCTGTGACTTGGCTCTAGCTTCAAGGCAACCAAGAGCAGCCGAGTGTGCTAACACACTTTTTCTTTTTTTTTCTGTGGATTTAAAACAGGGGAAAAACGAGTAAAACCAATAAGAGTGAAGCTTCATGCCACACAGCCCTTCCCACACTCCGATATTGAGATACAATACCCATAATAGATAACAAGATCAGAATCAAGATAAATCAAGGGAAACACAAATGCACACACAGACATACGCTAACCAGGCACATAAATGCAAAAAAGCAGCATCATAAGCGGGAACTAGCCTCCACTATACGTCGGCAACTCGGTTGCGCTCATCGTTTGCTGCTGCAAAACATTTCGTGACCATACAATATCATGACATTCGTGATCCTCATCATCGCTGTTTATAATACTGTGCGAGAAAGGTACACCACTAGAAGCAAAAAGAGTGTGTAAGTTGAAACAACGCAAGAGACAACAGGTAAGCTTTAGGCTAGACTGGCAAAAACAAAAAATAAAATAAAAAAATATGTAGAGAAGACCGAGACGGAAAACAAGAATGGATAGAACGATCGTAGTTGCTAATGGCTTAATGCGAGTCATAATCGTGAATGCCGGCATATCTCATAGTTTCATACCGTGCCGATGCCGTCATCTTTGAGAAGCCGTGAGAAAAACAAGCGCAATGTACCATCATTCTCATAACTTATCGTTTAATTGGCGCGGACAACAAGTCTTGAAACAAACTTATTCGATAAACAGTCAAAGTCGTTGCGGTTAAATTTCAAATTGGAGCGGCTACGGAGATAGCTCTCTGGATGGAGGTTAGCAAGATAAATACGCTGCGCGGCATCCGACTTTCTTACCGTGATCCTTGACATGTTGGCGAACCTCGGTCATTGCGCTGCAAACATCCGGGTTCGAGTGCAGCAGGTGGTGGTGCTTTTGTGTTTCCCACTCGGTGAATGCGGGAAGTTTCTGCGAAATCGCCTGAAACAAGCCAACAATAACGCCGACGGGGGTAGTCTCCATGTCGTTGCAGAATTTCTCGACCTGGGCAGCATCCTGGCAACCGTTAGCATCTCTGCAAAATCCCATATTATCCCAAAGACAACTTACAGGAGTGCGGTAATGGCAGTCGAACTGCATCTCTTCCCATACGGCCAAAAGAATGGACGCAAGGATGAAGATTGTTGGCCAGTTCTTCAGCTTCTCTCCACTGTAGACGCTGGAGTAGAGGCTAGAGAGCTCTTCCAGAACATCCTTTTGTAACTCACGCCACATGTTTGCCATAGCACACTTGATTTGGAAGTTGATCATTACCGGCGCCAATGTCTTGCCCTTGAACTTTGACTTCTCTGCTGTAATCTTTCCAAGAAGTGGCTCTTCCTCGCCTAGGCCTTCGACCAACGTGACATGGAGCGTCAGATTGTAGGCAATGATAAGCTTCAAGGCTTTGCGGATCACCGGCATCTTTGTGCGGTAATAGAACCGGAACGCGGTCTTCAGCATTTGTGTCAGGAACGGAGTACCTTCAAAGTAATCATCAACAAATTTCTCGAAAGTACCGTTTCCATCAATATGGCGATCGAGATAATCAGATAACATAGCGGTTGAAATCCCTTCCATTCCAGCAGAAAGCTTAGCGGTTTCCACCTCGAACTTCGTGGGTCCTCGGTTGTACGTCTCTACCCAGTCGACACTGAAGCACTCATCGTTGTGCACATAAACCTCGCGAGCATTGATGGGAAGAATTTGACCATAGCCGTGGGTGATGAAGAGAGTCCTCTCATGCTCTGAGAATCCTTTGATATTGTCTACTGAGAACCCAAGCTTAATATGACGCTCGTAGTCAGCTTTCCAGTCCTTCATGAAGTAGCCAATTTCCTTAATGTCAATGCGGGTGCATGGCACCTGCCAGAGCCGAGCGTGCGATGGTTGACAGCCAGCACAGGGTTCGCCTTTGTCGCACTATTTTAACGGTTAGTCAACTGTCTCAGGGCTCGCCTTATCAGTAATTAGACGGACTACTTACAGTTTTCTTCAAGAATTTGCAACGGAGACACGCTCTTAACTTGCGAATCTCGCTGGCTTGTTTCCGCTGATCTGGCTTGAGCGGGCCCTTCCGCTTTCCAACACGCTTCTCGGTTTCTGGCTTTCCATTTTGTGACTGCTTCCGAACTTTTGTCTCGGCAGTCTTGGCAGCAATAGGGCTCTTGCGGGATGGCTTCCTTGTAGGAGGAGAGGTAGACGAGGCTTGTGACCCGGTTGACCGTGTAGGTGACGAAGGCTTCTTGATGGGGACTGGAATAGGTCGCACAATGGCCACAGGGCTGACCGCAGTCGGTGACTGCGAGCCATGCGAGGTATGGTCGAACGACACACGTCGGGTCATTGTGTTATTGAAGGCGGCGTCAAAGTTGGTGTCCGAACTGGGCGAGTTAACTGGATTCGAAATCTCTACAAAGCTGCCATATGACGTTGAATATGATGACTCCGAGAGGCTCCTATCATGCAATGTCTGTGTGGGATTGATGAAGAACCCTTGGTCGGGGAAGTACTCATGCGAGCGGCGCGGCTCAATAGTGCTCCAGCCATTGTCGCTGCTCGAACTGGCCAACGAACGGACCTCCAAGTACGTGTCCGCGGGCGAGCTGCTGTCTATTACGTTCTGCGGCGCGGCGTACGAGGGAATCTCAGGTAGGCCATGCGCTAGGCCATCGGACGGAAAGGCCATCAGGTCAGATTGCAGATCTTGATAAGGAAAAGGAACCATGTCAACCGGTGCGGATAGAGGCAGATATGGACCGTCTAAGAGACCCCCGCCCAATTGTCCTTGGGGTGTAGCAGAGATTAAATCAATGGGGGACGAGTGGATGGGCATCCCATAGCTTGCGGTCGTGAACTGAGGAGCGGAGGCTTCCTCATGAGAGTACTGAAGGTGGGGTTGCATGTGCTGAAATTGCCAGTCGACTAACAGATTGGGATCGTGAGCTACCGACTGTTCAAATGCGTGACCGCTGGTTTGCAAGGGAGAAATGTCTCGCGCTCCTTCTGCTCGGTGGGAAGCCTGGTGGTCCACCGCCACGGGCCATGACTGAGGCTGGAGGTAGTTTCTCGAGTCATAATCGAGGCCGATAAAGCCGTCGCTGGAAATATCGACATTTGACATTGTGTCAATTGACTATGTACCAAGGGGGAGGGGAAACAAGAAATAGGAAAGGGAAAAATTCATCAAAAAATAAAATAAAATAAACGACAGACGGGGGTGGTACAAAAAACAAATAAGAGGTAGGATTGGAAGTGAAATCGGCAGCGGCGAAGCCTGAGGACAAAGGCCTTCGGGAGAGCAGAAAGCCCAGAATCCGGGGGTACGAAAGAAAAGAAGAGAAGAGGATGATAGGATGAGGCCATGGCGGGCATGAAGCGGTGGGGAGCAAAGCAGCGGTGAGGCGGGAGTTGCGTCGGCCGGAGATACGCTAGGGGATCCTGGGATGGAGTTATCGCTATCGGAGTGGGGAGGTTGGGTCATCCGCCGTCCCGTCATGCCTTCCCACTGGCTTGTCCTTTGGGGGGGAAGAACGGGAATCATGCTACCGTGACCATGATTAAATGCCACGCCGCTTGTAATTTATCTTTTCCTTCTCCGCTTTCTCTCTTCTCACTCACTCACTCGCACCTCTACCTACATAACCTGTACTGTACTCTGTATATTTTTCTTGTTTTCTGTCTTTTCTGGTAACGGCTTCGTCAGAGTGGCAACAAAATACTCGAACCAATTTAACCATAACTTTCACGAGTACTAGTCGACAGGCTTCTAGGGTAATATCCGCATCAAACTAGTCAAACTACAGTCAGTGTGGACCAGTTTCTCCCCACTACCCTGTACGGTAATGGTTGAGTAAATACTAAATACACCACCCGGAACCTTCGACACATTCCTCGATTGACGAGTCTCATGATATTCCCTTTTATCTGTCAGATCGCCAATTGTTAGGGTTATAGATACGCTAGTGGGATACACACATGCATCCGATTTCCCTACCGTGCTTAGCGCGGCGTTTCCAAACGGAGGTTTGTTCTTTACTGTACAGAGTAAGCAGGTATATTACGTTTCAAAAGGATGTACATCATGCACTCATTCATCATATGTCTTAGTGAGCAGCCATTGATAATAACACAAATGTCTGTCATTCACCTTGCATTTTCTTTTTTTTTTTTTTTTTTTTTTTTTTTTTTCCTAGTTTTTTCCTGACTCCTTGTCAACAAACTCAACACAACTATGTGTATGTTTCGTGCTGACAATAAGCGTGAGAGTAAAGAGAGGCTGGTCCCGTTTACCCGAGTACCACGGTACAGCCACGGTTTCCTCCGTCAAAGGCACATGGGTGCACATTCGGGAAAGAAGATCAGTGGAAACCACCAAGATCGTTATTATTCGACGAAGCCTCCCCGCCCATTGGTAGTTGGCTCCGATTCAGCTGGCTGTGGCAATAATGTTGGGGCTCGGAAAGACCCCGCTGACCATACCCGTACGCACGGTATAGTAATTGAGGACCTCCTTAGGTGCTCTCTACCTACTACCTAAGATGGGTTACCTTGTAGCAGACTGTGCTCTCTGTATGGATGGCGTGTCCAGGCTTGCAGCAATTGCTCAGACGAATCAGTCAATATTAGCTTCCAATTATAGCCTCACCTCCGTCAACGTTCAATCACTGACGCACACATGTTGACAACAGGGCGGCTGACGCTGCAGTAGCTTCAACCGTATTACCTGGTTTACCATACAGGGCTGTTCTGAGTGCGGAAAAGAGAATCATTTTGGACTAGTTCTTCACTTGGCGCCTCCGCGATGAAGATGAGATGAGATGCTGATAATGATAAACTGCCTGCTGACTGGTTGTCCTCGGTTAAATGTTTTTATTTATTTCTTGATTGTTTGTCTTGATTTCTTTTTCTTCCTCTTCCTCAACAAGTCCCGTCATGGAAAAAGGTCACCTCTCACGCTCTTAGGAACAGTTTACCTATATCTCCTCTGAATGCTGCGAGGTGTTTCACCTCCGATATTTGAGTTTAAGTTTGTTCTCGACCCTCAAGCGGTAGACAGCCGAGGGTTGATCCATGAAAGCATGAGTGCCAGCAATGCTGATGGGGTTTGAAGACGAAGGTGATAGATCAAAACCGGCGCTCGAGCAAATCCCTAAAGCTGGGAGCGATGACAAAAGTCAATCGTGGCCACATTACCCACTGGAGCAGACCCAAAAAAAGAGACAGAAGCAGACAAGGTTGCGCTTAGCTTCTTAGCTTCTTCTCTCTTTTTTTTTTTTCAGGGTTCTTGCAAGGCAGGCTAAGGCGTAAGATAACCGTTTTGCATCTGAAATTCAGCTTTTGAAGGCCCGTGGGTTCCACATCGAGAAAGCCCATTAACAAACTCCATTTGCCTACGACTAAGAAATCGTATCGGCTCGCTTGGGTTCTGACTCGCAGCTTGCCACGCCATCCGCCGCATGCAATAACATATCCAACGCGTAGCTCCAGAATAGGTAAGTCCAGTTCCAGATGGTGGATGTCTTTGTTGACGAAATTGGCGCTTAAGTGGCTGTGTCTAATGCTGATTGATCAGCGCTATACTTGGTGGGAACGTAGCTGTACGTGGTGGTCTGTGTGCGCGAATCATCGCGGTATACTTTGTACCAGGAATAGGCATTAGGTAGTGCCGCCCTTGACTAACCTTGAATCCTGATGAGATATATGCAGACCTTGTTCGCTCACGATTATTAGCTATCGAGATAAAAGGGTCCTATCGATCAGTCAAGGTAACATCTTACTCGTGATATCAGATCGTTATCCATTTCCTTTGTGTGTTGTACGCTGCATAACAGTGTCTTGGAAGAGGTGATTGGATTTCTTAGCCGAAAGCCCCTCATCAGACGCCTAAGTTAGTTGATCAACAACTAGTTAGGATTAAGAATTGGACTAAGTGCCTCTGTTAGTCCATCAAGGGCTTTTCGTAGCGCGAATACCGGATTAGGTACCCATCTGGCTTGGTTACGAGATGTTATTGGCTTGAGTCCTTCACTCCCCGTGCCCACCAGCTGATCCATTCCAACTTTGCTTTTGGTGAGGGCCTGAGGAAAAAGGAATGCTCGTCACGGGACCACGGGTTCTTTGACAGAACGTGGAGGGTTGTGACGGTAAGTACAGTACGGAGTACATCCGGGTCTGGAAAATATGGATCTTCGGTTTGGATTTGACATTCCTGTTACTACACCCTAAAAAGACACAAATATCTAGAGTAATAATCCAGAACAATGCAACACTTGTAATAGCAGCATTCTATAATTGAGTTCCTACAAGTTGATAGGAGGCTGGTGAATGAAGAGTACAATCATAGTAAACTTGCACAGAGGGCAAAAAGTGTCTACCATAGTGAGGGGTGACCCACCCGCTCAAGTGGGAAAAAAGAACAATGAATGCGCTTTCTCCATTGCCAATAACAGAACAATAGCAGTGAGATCGCTTACCTGATTACGATTGTTATCGACATTAGCTCCCTTTGTTCACAAAAATTATATACAGATCTAAGCTTCCTCGGAAAATTTCATGCCTGTCACTTCAGCGACAGGAAAGCAGCGTCGAAAAGTTCGTTTCGCTTCGACCAGTCAAATATCAGCGGGAAAGTCAAGCATCACGCCCAACCAACCGGCAGAAGGCCGTCCGTCATCGACAACTCTTTCACAGGATCATACACTGCCTAAGCAGCAGAGCAGAATGAGCGAAACTCAAGTACATCCGGCGGTGCCAGCGCTGTTCAAGGAGCTGCCGATCCTCCAAGACGCTCTGACCACCGAGACAACGAATCTTCAAGAAGAAACAGTAAACAAATGTTTACCATTCCTGAAAGGTATCCATAACAGTCAAAAGGGACCGTTCAACCAGTTTGGGGTACCGGCACTTAACCGTGATGATCATATTGCCTATCTGTATGACTCCCTAGAGGACTATCCGGGGAGCTTTGTGGCCCTTGATGCCAGTCGTCCCTGGATGGTTTACTGGGCTCTAGCTGGCTTAACCCTACTAGATGAAGACATCAGTCAGTTCCGTGAACGGTAAGCAAGCACCTGGTTGCCTTGATTTACAAACTGTTCTAGGATCGTTGGGGAGTGTACTCTGCCTATGATCATCGATTACTGCCATCGGTGACTCAATGTCTAAATTCATTCCTTTCCAGGGTAATTACGTCGTTTATACCTATGCAAAACCCCACTGGTGGGTTTGGAGGAGGACATGGCCAACTGTCCCACTGCGCACCCACATATGCTGCCGTGCTATCACTCGCCATGGTTGGTGGCGAAGAGGCCTTCCAATTGATCGATCGAAAGGCAATGTGAGTTGTATAGCTGCCACTGTTGAAGATCTGTGCACCGTTAACTTGGGACTAGGTGGAGGTGGCTCGGAAGGTTGAAGCAGCCCGATGGTGGCTTTAGAGTCTCCGAGGGTGGGGAAGAAGATGTGAGGTAATAGCTCTCCAATCTATCGTCCGGCTACTCTATCTGACTGAGTATCATACCAGAGGCGCTTATTGCGCGATGGTGCTTATATCGCTCCTTGACCTGCCACTAACCTTGCCACTTGATGCTGAAGCTCGGAAGCATGGGTTCGAAACGTTCACAAGTGGTCTGTCAGATTATCTGTCAAGATGTAAGTGGTATCTTAATTTAGTCTATTTGACGGGAGTGCTCACAGGTCGGTCATAGGCCAGACATTCGAAGGTGGCATCTCCGGTAATCCCGGGTCGGAGGCGCATGGCGCCTACGCATTTTGCGCTTTGGCGTGCTTATGCATTCTAGGCAAGCCCGAAGCGACCATCTCCAGGTAAGGAGTGCATAAGCTTGCTACCACCCCACTTTTTGCTGAGAATGTTAGATGCGTGGATATTCCAATGCTCCTATCATGGCTTTCCGCTCGACAGTACGCTCCTGAAGGAGGGTTCGCTGGACGGACCAACAAGTTGGTGGATGGATGTTACAGCTTTTGGGTCGGAGGTTGTTGGCCACTGATTCAATCCGCAATTAACGGCACCCAACCAGCTACAGCTCCTCAGCAGACCTCAACTGGCAACCTCTATAGCCGTGAAGGGCTGACAAGATACATCCTTGCTTGCTGTCAGGGAAAGCATGGAGGGCTTCGTGACAAGCCCGGAAAGTATGGTCATTCTATATAGATCTCCGTTGCGACGCAATATATGAAGCTAACTGTCAAACATAGACATCCAGATTCGTACCACACATGCTATACTCTCACTGGGCTGAGCACGACCCAATATCACCACTACCATACCGATGCTAGCGCAAGCTCTAAGGAGGACTTCCCCTCGGCATTTTCCTGGAAATTCCTTCCTGTCACCAGCTCGGACAATCAAGGATCAGACTTGAGTGTATTTGATGAGAAGGATCGGCTCACAGCGCTCCACCCACTTTATGTCATTCCCCATCAGGCTGCCGAGAATATGCGTACATGGTACGAAAATGTACCGCTTGAGGTTTAGTTGATTCTGGGAAAAGGAGAAGTGGACAAAGCAACGAGTGTGGAGTGCACTGAAGATGAGAAATGATCTATAAGGCAGATTGCTATTATTTGTACAGTAAAAATGCATCACCATAGTTACTCTCGCTCACGACACCATGTCATACGTTCACCTGAGAACGCGTCATCCAGTAACCTCGAGACTTGATGAGCTGTGTTTGTAAACGAACAAGACGTAAGGGATGGAATCCGTAGGTAAGTAGGGACGAAATCACGGGACGTTGGTAGTACCGGCAGTTGGACACTGCATGAAGTGGAATGATTTTGCCTGCAGAACTTGAATTCCCCGTGTATGACTGAGTCAGCGGTTGCCCTATACCTTGATCATTCAGGTGGCGGACTCGATGGTCCGGAAGCATTTGTTCTATAGAAATTCTCTTTAACAATCTTTTTTTTTTCTTTCGTTTGGCGTTCGCCTCTCCTCAGGCTGATACAGTTAACCATATTCCTTCATCGTGACATTGACCTCCGTCCCAAAATTCCCACTATGTCTTGTATTCTTTTGACGTTACTTCCAACCCCCCCACTTGCCAATACAAAGAGAAAAACTGAAGGTTAAAGTCCAAACCTTGTTCTACCCCCGTTATTTTCTGCGAGGGAAAAAGAAGGCAGACTCACACAATGCACTGCACAGACTGCAGTCTGCCAGTCGAGTGTAGGGGATAGGGATCAACAGTGGGTGCAAATTGCAATCGAATTGCGCGGAACCTCGACAATTGAAGGATCATTATTACTTACTTACTACTACTACTCTGCAGGATGGCGGTTATACTTCTCTCTTCGTCTCGTGTAAAGTGACATGGATTCCCCGCCGCGCCAAACGACCAGACTGCCAACTCATCATTGCATCCGATGCCTGTCTGCCAACCACGGAATGGCTCGTCCAATGGATATGATCAAAGATCCACTGGCGCAAATCCAGAACCAATTTCGTTTTCCCACACGGCTGATCATCGTCCAAACCGGGGGTTTTATGACGATGCCCATCAATTTGTGGGAGCTGCCGCTCACTCTTGATGAAAACAGTCTATCTATCTTGATCCTTTCAATTGGAAAGCCCCTCCTGAAGGATCACAGGATAGACATCTAATATTTCCGAGGAGGCGGTCAATTCACACAGGAGACGCTTTCGGATCACTTACCGAGTCGATGATGATCGTGATCGTCCTTCCCTCAGCATTGGCCTGGGCAGAAAGCTGTGGCCGGGTCCATCGTGGCTAATACTATTCTTGACTAAAGTGGCACACTTTTTTATTTTCCTTTTATTTCCTTTTCTTTATTTTTTTTTTCTCTATTAATTTCCCCCCCCGTCTCCCACAAAGTCGGCATCCAGTTGATTACAGTATGATAATCTTCCATAATAATTATATGAATTTATTTTCTTTTATTTTATTTTTTTTTTTGAGATTATAACCAGGATTCGTCTGCGCGACATGAACCCCTCTCTTGTTGGGATTCATCATTGTATGCATTAGTGGCCTTCCACAACGCCGCCTCTTTTTCAATTAATATATTGCTTTTATATTATGCTTGCTGATTCTGGAACGACGGGAATTATTTCTAGATTTCGTCTATAATGCGGGGTTCTAGAATTTCTCATCCGAACTAGTAAGAAGAGGAGGGAAGGAGGGTAACAATAAGAAAAAAAAAAAAAGAAAAAAAAAAGAGGGAAACGAGAAGGACCAAAAAAGGTTTACTGATTATAACCCTTGCCCAGAGCAATGGCAGTCGTTCTGCAGGAATAATGGTAGACCGAAATGACGATTTGACCGGAATTTCTTATCCTGAGCAACATGTCAATCTTAGCCGCCTGGATCGGCGGCGAATTACACCGTGGCATATGGAGCAAAGTTGTCTTGGGTCTTCTAGTACTGGATCACTGGTGGAAAGCCATGCCAGCACATCAACGTTTCAATCTACGCTCTCCAGTATTCGATCTCCAGAAAGAAACGATTCGAAAAGAACAAAGCTAGGACATTTTAGATCCGCAATGGCTCATAGAACTCATCCTGTTACCTGCGCCAGTACCCCAATCTGGTGGAGAATGCCTCAATTGACCCGGTTAAAGGACCGTTGGGGGGTTTTTTTTTTCTTTTTTCTTTTTTTTTCCCTTTCTTAGACCCTCTTTTTTTTTTTTTTTTTTTTTTTTTTTTTTTTTTTCTTTTTTTTTTTTTTTTTTTTTTTTTTTTGCCTCTCTGTTGACCCTAAGTTATTGACTACTGCTTTATGAGCCCCGCCTGTGTATTTGAACTGATTATACCTGGCTAGAATGATAATATTTGCCTGCCTTTCTTTCCCTTCTCTCATTTTTCCCTTCTTGCTTTCTACCATTGCGTGGGATGTTCCTGTCTTCCATCATATGTTAGTTCTATTTGTTTACCGTTTTTCGTGTCTTTGTCTAGATTGATCAAATCTATACTAAGCCTCTCTCCACTGATCCGCTTTTCATGACGGGATCTTGGCTATTCTAAAACAGCAAATCCCTTGAAGTGTCATATGAGGAACGTGGCCATTGGGCATCAACAAGCGCTGTTTGCATAGGCTTATTTCCATACTTTGGGTGTGGTTGCCAGGATCTTGTGCAGTGTCAACAGATCCAGGGCAGCAAATACTCATTCGATACGTCTCTGTACCATACATTCTATTGGACACCCGCCTGTCTTCACGATGTACTATGTTTTATACCTTGCGAGTATGTAGCCTCTCTGTTGCAATGTGCCCAACTCTACCACCCCTATTTCAGAAATCCCTTTCCCCGGGTTGGTTCGATCGCGGCAATCGCGGTTTTCGAACCTTTTCCCCTTAAGTTTTCTTTTCTTTTTTCTTTGTCTCCTTGGAGAATCCTCGGGGGGAGTGACTATCCCGTGCATCGATCAGAGATTTACTTGGTTGCATGCTATGTGATTTGTTAACATCTCGGCAAATTGCCATGGTGGCTTCCGAATGTCGCGGGCCTGACTGAAGTCAAGTTCGAAGTTCAATAACCATGCGTACAGGTCTCTGTCGACGCCGCCGCTGGCCGGAGCCCCAGTTTGAGGCCTATGAAGGCCCTACCGGGTATACCTGCATTGTTCGCGTCAATAATCGGGAATACCAGACGGACACTGTTTACCAAAACGAAACACTGGCTCGAGAGAACGCCGCAATGCGAGCATACCTCATCTGTCGGAATTTTTCCGTCAACGATGGCATGTATCCAGCTGGACATGACCACGGAGGAGTTGTCCAGGGGATGCCTGTGGCGATAGGTACTGGCCGAAAGACTCGCTATGATGATACCGATACCTCGACCAGTGGAGGAAGCAGAAGCGGAGGGAGCAGTCCCGAAAGCTACGAGGGAGGACGGTTCAGTCAGGAAAGACCCGTTGTGCCATCGAGGGCCCTCGCATTTAGCAGCCGTGGAATGTAGTCGTCCCTGCTGTCCTCAGAATATTGTGATCAAGCGGAACTCGACGTGCAAAGCAAAAAAAAAAAAAAAATACGTGGACTCTAACGACTTTATGACTTATGACATGACTTGAATATCCAGATAGATCGAAGTGCTTGTTCTCAATTGAAGCGTGTGTGACCTTAGTCGAAAATCAGCCCATTGACAGATATACCCTCGTGTGCTACCAGGCTTACAAAATTCCTGGGTGTGGATATAAGATTGAGTGTGCATTACTGTATTGAGCTGTCCAGCGTTTTTTGACTTGTGCAAGTGGTGGAATGACCCTTTTTCACCAGTTAGTTCTATATGAGAATGAATCCAGTCATCCATTTCCTTTGCCATGTAGGATTAGTGTACCTGTGCGCCCAATTTCAGGTACAACAACCACCACCACTACTACTACTACTATGTGTCTGTGCGACAAAGACTTGAATCTAGACCTGGGGTTTTAATTCTCCCTTTCTTAACCACCTATATCATTGTCATTTTGCAACCATGCTATGCATCGCGCAAGCCGAGTAACGCAAAAGTAGAAGCCTATTGTCCTACAGTGTATTCGTTGGTTTGTCTTGGTAGTTCTATATACAATGTCCCTTTCAGGACCAGCATTAATACTTCTGACTTATAAGTATGAAAATTGAACATGCAGATTACCACCACTCTCAAACGGTATTAGTTGGTATACTCTAAGAACAATACTCGACTAATACCTAGAAACTGTGTCCCCACCATCGCGACTCTACCTCACTCGGGTAATCCAAAAAAAAAAGAAAAAGAAAAAAAACCGATGATCCGAGTTGCATGAACGTTTTCTCATTTTATGACATATGTATGTACTTGGATATGGTCTATCCAGGAAGGACCATTAGTACAAGGCCTTGTGGGTATCTAAAATAGCTCCAACTCTGCAAATGAATCGCATACACAAATGTGAAACCGATATATATTCCTACAACTATAAAGACCAACAACCACCAAAATAGTAGAGAACTCAAGAACAAATAGTCTAATAACAATTACAAACCAGAAATTACCCCTAGATCTTCACATCTCACCATCTTGCAGAGAAAACAAGTACGCAGAGTCGCCCCCTCACCGCAACCCCAGACACACGCATAAACCCCCATGGCCTCGCCAAACCCCAAGTAACGACAAAACCACCATCGTCACCATGCCTACACAGTGCCGACAACCTCAATATCCCTGAAACACATACATCGCATTCTGCCCATAAATAGAAACCAAATCAACACTCTAGCATAACATATATCCCACTATCCCTAAAACGGCAAAGCCCCTCCCCCTTGCAATGCTTAATTTGCTGACTCACCATGACGTATACAATCTCGTTTTCCCAAAGAATGCCAAGTCAACCTATGATGCCATGATGGCATGGGAGCTTTAAAATTAATGGTTAACTGTGGGGATGCGTGAAAGGAGGCGGTGCTATGCTATGATATAAACAATCCCTGGTTTTTGGGGGCTTTTTTCTCTTACCTTTAATCTCGCTTCTTGGTTTCGGGTTAGGTGCTTTTACTATATATATTATTCTAATTGTTAGTGTCTAAGGGGGTTACTTTTTTTTATCTGTATGGTTTTTGGTCTCGACTTTTAGGTTCTTGAGGACACGGCCGTCTGTCGAATATGAGGGCGGCTGTGCGTCGGGTGTCTGCCTTTGGGGCGATGATGAGACGGCCCATTGGCGTGCTAGGGTCGAGGCTGTATACCAATTCGCCGGTGGTGGGTCAGTCGCGCATTGTTTGTGGTGTTTTGGCTGGGAGACAGGGTCGGAGGGCTTTGGGGTATGATTTTCCCGTGCTTCTGCAGGCGCGGCGATTTGCGCATTGGGATCCTATCCAGGAGGACAGGAAGGAGACGAGGGATGAGCTGGAGAGGCTTGAGATTAGGGAGAAGGACCGGCAACAGAGTACTAAGAGTGAAGATGGGGAGCAGGACTCGCAGTCGAATCTTGCGAATGCAATGTCGAAAGGTGAGTGTGCTTCCTGTCGATGTATACATTTCGGGGCACTAATTGGTCCGGGTTGCAGGGAAATTGTTGACGACGCCGTCGAGACTCTTCAAGGTGCTTATTCCGTTACCTACTGCTAGTCATAATAGTAAGCATGATGGTATGTTGTGCTTTCCAAGGTTGAGGAAACAGGAAGTTAACTTTTGTGAAGACATTGAGCCGATAGCTATCTTGATCCATCCCCAGCAGCCGTTATCCTACCTCGAACGCCTCATTCAGGATGAGATTCCCCCGATTTCAATCGATGGTGCGAAGCCAAGGCCGCCTGCTGTCTCTTTTATTGCACTTCAGATGGACGATAACCCTGTCAAGCCTAATAAATCGATGTATGAGACGACCGACACTGAGGTGCACCGCCTGGGGGAAATTGGGGCAGGACATGAAGCTAAGCAACGAAGACGTCGACCGGACGAGGAGGATGACACATACAGCTATCTTCGACGTGGTGAGCCTGGCAAGAGCAACAGCGAGGAACGCTTCGTCCGCTGGTCCCAGTCCACCGAGATTGGCGACTTTGTCCGCGATGCCTCCCGGGCTCGAGAATTCATCGTCAGTATCGAAGGGGGTCCGGCTGGTCTGCGCCAGATTCATGTAACTGTTCCTTCCTTCAATCAGCGGACACACTTCTTAAGAATGCGGCTGCGGAAGATCTCCGGAAGGATTCAGAGCATCGCGGAGATCAAGCACGAGTGTGATGCCTTGGCACACCGGGGAGCACAGCGCGTAGCCGTGGGAGGGTTCGGTATTCTCTCCATGTGGTGGTACCTCGTGTACAAGTTGACGTTTGAGACGGACCTGGGCTGGGACACGATGGAACCGGTGACGTATCTGGTCAGTTTGTCAACTCTGATGGGGGGCTACTTGTGGTTCCTCTATCACAACCGGGAAATATCATATAAGTCAGCGCTCGACTTTACGATTAACGCGCGACAGAAGAAGCTGTATGAGAGGAAGGGGGTAGACCTCCATGAGTGGGAGTCACTGATCGATGAAGGGAATTTATTACGAAGAGAAATCAAAACTATTGCAGCAGAATACGACGTTGTGTGGGATGAAAAGAAGGACGAGCGAGATGAACGCGTGACGGAAGCTTTAAGAAAGGAGCGAACGCAAAAGAACGGATCGAATCGAGAGAAAGAAAACGAGGACGATGATTAAGGATTGTGTTACATGCACATCAAAGCTGCATATCCTCCGTACTCCTTGTCTACCCATTTCGCACCGGATCATAGTACTTCGTCGGCGGCGCATCTTCTTCCTGCTTCTTCGTCTTAGAGCCTTGACCTGCGACCCGTTAGTATACCAGGCAAAATATCCAAACATCAGCCCTACACACCATGATCGTCCCCCTTTCGCCGATTGCGATTATTCCGCACATCCCTCGACCGAAACACACTATACAACAACCACCCCGCCACCCAATTCGGACCGTACTCACCGGCCGTGGCGCCGCGAGCGAAGAAAGGACGGGTCAAGGGCCCAGCATTCTGTGCGATTTCGATGATGCCCCACCGTTGACGCTCGGGACGGATATGATGCCAGAAGAAGGGCGGCCGAGTAGACGGGTCATTCGCTACGCTGTCGAGGAGATGCGAGGTATCTTCGTTGAGGCGATTGTAGACGATGATCGCTTCGTCCTGTTCCTATCAATCATCCATTGTACAATACAGCATTCGATAGATGTAGATGTAAATATGACATGACATAGACGGAACATACCCTCATAGCCCTGTAAATCTGCTCATGCTGTGGATTTTGCGAATCCAAGGCAAGAGCCTGCATGAACTCCTCTTTCGAGGCACGAGGTCCGACGGGAGTCATGGATGCCAATTCACTTATCCCAGTAGTAGAAGTAAACAACAGCTAAACAATTGGAAGTGTAAACTAGAAACCCTAGTCACCATTCACAGTATAATCAAACCCCAACCAAGCATGCACAGGTCAATGAAACAATCAATTGATAAACTCTTAACCCAAACCCAACAGCCAAAAACAAGAACAAGAACAAGAACAAGATAAACCAACATTCATAGAAGACGCCCCCCTCCCCAAAACCCAGCCCCAGACCCACGCCCTTCTTAAACCCTCGGAACCCCAAGAACACAAAGTACGGTATGTACGGAGGTACATACCCTCCATGCATCCTCATACATCCACCCTAGTCAGCACCTACTACATACCTACCGACACTACATACACTAGGTTAGGTAATGTACCTTTACCCAAGACCGGATCCAAAAAATAAAATAAAAAAAAGCAAAAAATTAGAAATCAGGCATGTCGAAATCCCAGTTCTACGTCGCACAACAACCCCCTATCCTCGATCTGACTTTTCTACATAAGTATGCATGGTATGGTATGGACCGTGTATGATATGTGTATTTTATAATTTGTATGTGTATGTGTATATGTGTATATATGCGTGTGTCTAATTTGAATCCTGCGAGTATGTACAATTACTACCTAGCCTGGACTGACTGACTTCAGTACTTGAGTCCTCGGGACGGATCGGGTGTTTGGGACAGGGGTATTCGGTTTGGTTTGGTTTTGGGTTGATTTGTACGAATGTCCTTGTATATTGGGTTTTGTGGGTAGGAATTAAAGTAGGGGTTGTGAGTTTGGAATAAGTTATTTTCCAGTGTTAGGGATTCTGTTGTTGTTGTTGTTCATTTTGTGACTGTTGGGTACTTGTATAGGGAATTGAATTGAGGACGATGGGACCGGTAGCCTGGGTAGAATATTGAATTGTACGTTGCCAGACAGACTAGACTAGACTTGACTAGACTAGCTACGCATGTAAGTACCCGGTTTATTCTGAACATACATACATACATATATACATAACCTACCATGTACGAGATAAGTATGTTCAACAGTTGTCGAGATACAGACAGTACTAGTACTTCTCATGGCCTGATATGACCTGCATGGAGAGTGCATACATAACTTCAGGTTGTGTCATGTACACATATGCCTAGTGTAGTCTAGTATAGGATAGTTACAGGTAGTGACGGAGCTCGATTCTCGAACAAGTATGTACAAGCCTCGACCCTCGACGAGCCAAGCGAGATTCACATGTAATATAATGTCCGGGCCACAAGAGAAGAGGTTATGGTAGGCTAGCGAGTTAGTTAGTTAGTTATTGAATTACCCCTGGTTGTGGAAACCCATGATAATCCTTGCCTGGGGTGAAACGCAGATGACATCAAACGGAATGGAGGTACCTGGTCTAGTTTTACTATTTTGGAGTCAAGGGAAGTGTCAAACGGGGCTTGTTTGATTGTATGTGGGGTATTTTTTTCTTTCTTTCTTTTCCTCAATCCTTTACATTACATACAATGCTTTCTATCATTGACATGATGTTTATACTATATCCATATCATATCCACTACATAGATCCCACATCACCAACACCCACAAAAACCAAAATACGAGACCCAATAACCTCCCGCAGCCGTGTAACCAGCCCAAGAAATCTCTTCCGCACAGACAATCCTCCACTAGTACCCCATGAAGACAACGAGGTACAAAAAGTTACTTCTGTATACCCTCCCCCCGCCCCAGTGCCAAAAAATCCATACCTACCATCCAAGTCGCACAGGCAACCAAACAAAATAGTATCCACACATGGACCTACACTATAGTTGTCGTCCGGAGTCTCAGGGTTCCCATCGGAGGAGATCTGGAGTCAAGGTCTTCAGGGGCATTCGCCGTGTTTGATGTGACATTCCCAGGGGGGGGGGTTTCTGTTTATACAAGATATTTGGAATCTGGGAGTGTGTGGTACGGTACTTGGATTATGGGATGTTACACTGGTTTGGAGATGGAAGGTTTACTCGAACGTTGGATGGGTGTAGGAACGGGTAACGGGTAATGGGTAATGAACTGGATTACTGGTTTGGTTTGAGGTACTTTCTAGGCGGTTGTAGAGGAGTGTTGAAGGTGAATGTCATGGTTTACAAACAGAGAAAATGGCCAAAAGGAACAAAAGAATGGGAAAAAATGTGGGAAAGAAAGAATAAAAGGAAGAAAAGATGATTCATCCAATTCACAAGTCATGTATGCGAAGTGAGTCCCGGTCCCACAAGATTGGTTACTTCGCCTGCACTGGATATCATTCTTCACTTACCCTGTTGCACGTATAGTGCAGTGGCTATCATGGGGTAGAGGGGCTGTGTGATATTACACGATTCTATAAGTATTGAGCAAGAAGACACCGGGATTAGAGGGTGAATCCGACACCTTATATATAGAATATATTCAGTCCAGGACAATTATCTCGGCAAACTATATGCGTCTACAAACTCAGGAAGACACTCCGCGATAGTTTACCCGGAAATTGCAACGGACCGAGCGCCTTGCAGGACATTGATACCTGTTTTGTAGAGGGAAGTACAAGACAAACGGAGTAGAGAAAGACATGAAAGTCTATTGACTCCTCCTCAATAGGGTAAATGCGTTCTCCTGGCAAGACACTTGCGTTTGCGCGGCTGGTTCGATGGCACCCGACATGGGGCTGTTGATGCTGCCAGAAAAGTCGGACCTCATTCGGGATGGAATGACCGTCAGATCATAAATTAAACGGAGGTATGGTATCACTATTGATGCACACCAAAAAGCAAAAAACTGCCGACTCTTCGTACCTCTGCCCACACAAGGGGGATGGATGTCTGCCCCTCTTAAGCATGTCGGGCATGCCATCTGCACTCGGCCTTGTGCTGGGTATCGGTCACACACCTGATACAGGCCCACTTACACAGAAGAAAGAAAGGGGGCAAAAATAAAAGAATTTACCATCCACATGTGGTGTCAAGGGAGATTGTCTCCTCGGGACTCGAAGCGATGGCCCTGTCCCTATGTGCTCGATAAAAAAAAAAAAAAAGTAAGGTTGGACAAAAGGGTAACAAAAATCTCCCCTATTTTATGAACAAACCTCTAGACTAGATAAAGAGCTGGAAATAACAGAAACTCGGAGAAGGCCGGGCAAAGAAAATAAGAAAACACATCATCTACCTCATGTGTCGTCATAGTATCCTTGATTCATACGGGATTAAGAGAGCAAGCATTGGACGAAAACAACCCGAGGGTATGAGCAGACGCGCTTCAGGAAATAAATCATTGCGTTGTTTTCTCTTTCCGTTATGGTGTCGAATGCAGTTTTGATGTGAAAAGGTGTGTCACCTCACGTGGTATATTCCAGTCAACCATCATCCTCACGCTTTCAACTTCTTTCCACCTTTCTTTCGGGGGGCTATTTGTCGTCATTCTTCTTATCATTGTCGCCTTCTTCGTCGTAAAATCTGCGGAGGAATTTCTCTACTTCTTTGTAGTCCGCCTTGCACTGCGACAGGGTTTTCTCAATCTTGTCCAGAGAATCCTCTTTCGATTCCTTGTTGGTACCCGTCTCATCCTTCCCGCCACCGAGGTTCTGGATCTTCTCACATGCATCCTTGACCTTAGTCAGTCCTAGAGTAGCTGACGAGCCTTTCAAGAAATGTCCCAGTGAAGACAAATCGTTGAGATTCTTCTCCTCTCTGCAAGAGCAGTTTGGGTTAGTCCTGTATTACATCGGCTGCTAATTCGGGGTACTTACAGAGCCGTTTCCATCTTTTCAAAGGTCTGTTCGGCTTGGTCAAAGAAGCCAAAGACAATTCCTTTGCTGAAGTCCCTATCCTCGTCCTCGTCGTCCATCTCCAGGATCTGTTCAAATGTGTTCTGGTCGATGATGTCTGTCATGTCTGAAAGCTTAGGAGGACCCTCGGTCTTGGGCTACTCGTGGTCAGCACTATTATCCAACGGTCCTAAAGCGAACGGTACGGCACGTACGGGTGTCTGCACACTCTGAGTTTTGGAGGTGGTAGTGGGCGCCATGTTGGATATACTAAGGTTAAATTCTGTTGTTCCACACGCTTCGTCTGATCTTTGCAACCCGAACAGCTAGTTTCTGGCGGATCTGTCTAACACCGGTGCTGATGGCGTCAAGTTACCCGGTTAATAAGTCCGGATCCAGAATTTAACAAGCACACGAGTACTGAAATTACACAGAGCGATCTGTTTGTCCAAGTCGGTGTCAGTTGACAATCCACGAAACCAATGGTAGTGTTATGGCAACTGGACTCCATGACTGATAGTGCCCTACGCAATAGGGACATTACGTGGGAGGGAAGCAAAGGGAGGAGGAACGTCACAGGGACCACTGGTTTACAGAGGTAATAAGGGAAGGGGTTGAACAACATTTGAGATGATTCACCTCTGGGTATGAACTGGTGGGTTGTGTTTCTGAAAAGGGCAAATCTCCAGAGGGCGAGAGGGGGGAAGGAGGAGGAGGAGGAGGATAGGGGAGTTGATTGGGAAGGTTGTGGGATGAAGTACTAAGACGAAAAGGATAAGATCAAAGGTTTCTAGGTCTGTGCCAACGTACTTTGCAAGCAAGAAAAGCAGGTTGGGGTCAGACAAAAGAGATAGAGAGATTCAAATGGGGGGAAAAAAAAAGAACAACAATGTGGGAGAAAGCCGAGTCAATATCAATCAGCCACAGCGCGGAAGTGGATGAAGGAAGGGGTCCACATGGAACATGAGTAGAGGAACAGTTGTCTGGATCAGGAGGGACAAGGAGGGGTAGTAGTCATCAGCAGAACTAAAAAAGGGGATCTTCCTACCTGGAACACTGCAATGGAACGGCGTTGGGTATAATGCAAGTAAGAATTAAAATCAAAGACAAAAAGGAAACAAGGCTGACACCGGAAAATATACGGGTATTAATTATCAAACTGTGTTGCGAAAAGATGTGGCTGAAATTAGCCCAGCAAAATGGTAGACAAGAATAAATTGGAGGATGGTTAGATGAGTGGGAGGAAAGACGAGGGTTGAAAAATTATAACAAAGACAGGTGATTGTGTTTGTGTGAAGGAGCCTCCCCCTTCTGTTCCTCAGGAATTTTTTTATTTTATTTTTATTTTTCCCCCCTTCTTTTCCTTTTCTCTTTTTGGTTGTGCTGTTGGTAAAAGGAAAAAAAAATAATAATAAAAAAGGAACCAAAAAAAAGTGGAGGGGAAGAAAAAGGTAAGGAGGGGAACCAAAAGTGGGTGTGGGTTATAAAAAGGTCACGGTTCGCAAGACCGATAGAGATCAATAATTGATTGACCTCCTGTCATTGAAAGGGAACAGAAATAGTGGTTCCCTCCAATGGCGACACTTTCAATGTGGATTGGGAAGAAAATATTTAGGAAATTACCCGACCAAGTAAAGCAACACCTCAAAAGGTTCAGGATGAGAAGAAGGTAAGGATTCAATAGATCGGCTAACCTTATGGGACGAACCGAGAGGGTGAGGGGTGAATGAGAGGATTCAGAGAAACCCTCAATGATATGATCACAATGACAGATACCAGTCCGAACAAGAGGCGGTCAACTTCATTGGACGCCAGTCAAGTGGATTACAGTAGTCGGGATGTTGAGCAATTATAGCCACCGAGATGCAGCGATGGGGGCCTTTGGTTTGGGACAGCGCGCAGAGCGGCGGTTGGTGGGGAAAGAGTATCGATAGAAATTAATGGTGATCAATCATAGAGGGCAAAGAAGGGTGGGACTCTAGAGAACGAAAATGAAGAAGAGAATGAGAGAAAATTGAAGGACGAAAATCATCTTCCCCTATGGTTTATTATTAGTTAAATTGGCTGGAACTTGACTAAACGGCAGATTTAATGGTGGGATATAAATTCGGCTGGCACTGGCGTCATTCTTTCTTTCTTGGTCGAGTTTAGTATTTGGGAATTCGCCATCATCACCATTCTTCTTCTTACAACCCAAAGCAATGAGGAATGTTTGCCTGTGGTAGACGTTATCTATCGATCGGTCCAATTTTCTTCTCTCTCTCTACTCCGTATCTCTCTCTCTCTCTCCTTTTTCGCTTCTTCTGGGTTAATGTCCATTGCCAGGTCAAACATCCCACTCGGTCCAAATGGACTGATTGGTTTTAGTGTGTGGGGAATCTCGAAAAAGTCAGACATGTAAGTTCAGCATTTTTTCCAGCCTCAATTCACCCAGTATCTTCCCTCGGCGATGTTTGTGACCTGTATAACCCTATCAAACGGATCACGGTCATGCCCAATTCCACATGAGTGATCAGATCACCGAGTTGTGGGAGGAGGTTATTTGGGCGCATGCGCGCGAGTGTGTGTCTCTTCGGGGAATGCGGTCGAATCCCTCTTCCCTATTGGGAAAGACACAAGCATCTCCACTCTTCTCACCAAATGCACGCTGAAATCATAGGACCACAACTGACGTAGTGGTGGGAAATCCTATCAACTAACCGTAAAATGTCGATCCCATGGTCAACTCCTACTGCCCGACTGACTAATAAACCCCTTTTACATCATTTCCAACCCCGACGAACCAAAGCTGTGACAAGATTGGTGGTGCACGTGGGAAGTTACTTCTTTCTGGATGATATCTATCGTTGGGCTCCATCTCCGAAAAGTGAGCATGACGAAAAGAGTACGAGCAGAAAAAGAAGGAAGAAGAAGGTTAAAAAAAAGGACATATATTTCATTCCGTCATCGCAAAATACTACCAATTCTCGGAATCTTATTCAGATCACGATCATCGCTTAGACTAAATAGCGCAGACCAGCCACCAAGAAAAATCGCGTCAAACATTTTTTTTTTCAACCCGGTTGACGTCTAACTCCTTCTGCATGAGAGGTTCTGGGCCCTTAGGGACCATCCAATTTTAGCTTGGACAGAAAGGAATGTACCGTGCTCCTGGTACGTTTGATTCGGGGGTAAAAAAGGGAATGAGGTAACCCTTCAGTCGCAATGTGTCATACTGCGGGGTGTCATGAGCTAAGACGATAGAGGAGAATCCGATTAGAATGGATTATGATATGATGCAGAAGGGTGATGATCCTTTTTGTTGTGACCAGAACATCAGTCACAATCCTAGCCTGTCCTCTCCTTGAATTCTGGCTTGGTGGAAGAAATCTTTTTTTTTAACCACTTGGGTTTCCGCTCGAGTCTTATACAAAATCCAAGTCCGTGGGGACTATGAGCGCATATCCATGAACCCGAGGAGGTCTATTGGGTCTAGTTCCCCAGTCTGCCTATCAGAGAAATGCACTTAAAAAATGACATCAGAGTGGGGCTTTAATGCCGCCAATCCGTGACCGCCGCTGACGTTGGCGGGGCTCTGCCAAGATGTCTAAAGCTTGGGCCGCCTTCCAGACACTTCGGTGCGGTACAGGGGGGTTTACCGAGTACTTGTACTCCGTACTCCGTACTACGAGTACTACACCAACTATCCTTAATATTTTCTACTAAGTCATCATGTAAGCAAATCCAGGTTGTTTGTCAATCTCTGGAGCCTTTCGGCCTACTACCCTCCTCTCATAGGTGAAGATACGAAGAAGCGTAGTATTTTTGAGCGCAGAGGAAAGACGACGACGATAACCTAACAATTCCGATGGTTTTCGTTCGGCCGATTCTCGCTGAGCTTTCCCGACTGTCACCACCTGATCAGGAAGTCTGTCTGTACTGGTACGCTTCTCGAAAGAAGAGGTGGGTCATCAACGACCAGGGGTAAATACATTCAATCGTGTTCATCGCTGGCCTGAAATTTAGGCCTTTTAACAGTTCCCAAGGGTTGATACGAGACGAGTAGTACATACCTTCAATGACAATTCCGCTGGTATCGGGTAGGTTTGTTTCCACTCAGGTGCCAGCACCGTGTTGCGTGTGATCAACATGCAGCAGCACATCCTATGACATCAACTTGCATGCTTCGTTCCCTCTGAATTGATTTACCCACACATCTTCGCACTGGCAGTGAACATCGCAAAGTCCGGGTGCTTTGGTGCAGCATTGTACTATCGACGCGAAATGTTTTAGACAGGGCCATCATGTATCCTGACTACTAGCACATTGTTATACTTTCTCTTTTCATTACCCGCTTGCCCTATTCCTTGTTCGTCGTTGTCTGTAAGCTGATTTCAGCGAACGTGGTCAACACACGTGACGCAAGAGTATCTGATTTGGCAGCCTTACGAGATAAGGGATAGTACCCACTACAACACTTTCTCTCTCACTATCCTACCATTAGTCCAATGTCATGGGGAGATAAACCTCCGCCATCCGCAAGCTTAGACGGCATTTAAGCAGCCACATGCGCTATCAGCTACGGAGATGAAACGTTTAGGTTTCTTGATAAGATAAGTGATTCGTTGCGATGGATGGCTTTACCTCTACCTCAAATGTACACTACTTGAGAACATGCGATAGAATTATACACCAAGTTTGGGATACATCCCTAACCCATGTTGATTCACTTGAACTGAAGTCCAGCTATTGTCCTTCCATCTAAGCATACACATGATTGACATGAGCAAAATCCCAACAGTTTTCAATATGTTGATAACTGTTTGCAGCCTCGGCATCTCAACGTGTATTACATAAGCCATATCCGCATCTCATTTTCTTCCCCCTTGTCCAGCTGTTGACCAGTTCGGTATCAATTGCTTCACCGTATCGCTTTTGGGGCACTCTCAGCTGTCGCTGCTAACTCAAATCCTATAACTCAATCGTGTCATATAGTTATACGGGACTATCCACCGCCAGCAGCAGCACGTCCAGACAAACCTTCCATCCAAACATAATTCGGAAAACAAGAGTAACAGCAGCACAAGAAAGAAAGACTCAAAATGTCTTCCAAATCCGCTTACTCCCGGGGCCCCAAAGGCCTCACAAAGCTGTACCTCATAGGCTACAACGCTGCCAGCTTAACCCTCTGGGCAACCTGCACCCTCCGCGGCTTCTACCTCCTCGCAACCAACTCCCCCGAGGACATTCCCACCATCTTCAACGACATCTTCTGGCCTCTCCTGGCAACAACCCAAACTCTGGCCGTCCTGGAGATCTTCCATAGCTTGCTTGGCATCGTGCGCGCCCCTGTCACCACGACCGCAATGCAGGTCGCGAGCCGACTGCTTCTCATCTGGGGTGTGATGTTCCTTTTCCATGAACAAGGTGACGGTGCGGGCATTGTGGGAGCTCCCACGGAGGCGGTTAAGGTGGGCGATTATGCATTCCTGGGTTGCTTGAGCGCCTGGGGCGTGACCGAGTGTATTCGGTATGGGTTCTTTGCCTTGCAGGTTTTGGGCGCCGGTGTGCCCGGGTGGTTGACTTGGCTGAGGTATGTTTTTTCCTTTATGGGTCTTGTTTTGAAAGAATCTTTGCTGACGGTTGAGGTTTAGATACAACACCTTCTATGTGCTTTATCCTCTTGGTATCACCAGTGAGTGCGTCATGGTCGTCAAGGCGCTGGAGCCGGCTGCCGAGTTTAACCCTCTGTACCGGTGGTTTTTGATTGCCGTTCTGGGTATCTATGTGCCTGGTAGGTTTACGTTCTGCTTCCCCAGACATATTTCCTGTGCTAATTATCCATCAGGTTCTTACATTCTCTATACGCATATGATTGCCCAGAGGAAGAAGGTGCTCAAGAAGAGGGCAGACTAGAGTCATCCATGGATGACTGCAGCGGTGAGATATCGGTGTTGATATGACCAAATGGATGGGTTTGGTTTAGAAAACGTAATTCCGCTACAAAAAGACGCATTAGTAATGATATACTGATGGCTATGTACTCGTCCTTTCATAACGCGTAACAAGTAGAACCTTAAAACTAGGTGCACTATAACTCCTTCATGATATCTCGTACAGCTTTCGCCGCAAATCGTTTCCGCTCGCTCTCCGGTAACTCATCACTCATATCTATACGACCCGCATAAGCACCCAACAAAAACCAAGGGAGAAAAAGGGGACATACCTTTAATAGCTTTCATCCTTAGCATCAATGCCTCCATCGACTCAACCTTCATCTCATCATCGCCGTCAATCCCACGTAAATCGTCATCTCCATTCTCCATCGCAAACCGCAACCCAACCATCTCCCGCTCCAACTCGTTCACCTCCAAGTCGAACCCATCCTCAAGCAAATGCCTCTCAAGCTCATCTTCAACATCGTCCGCACCATCCGACTCCCCAGAAGGCGCCGAAGCCCAATCATGCGTTTCTAGAATCTCCCTCACCCTTCGCATACCCTGATACTCTGTTCTGCGTCAGCTTACATCCGAATACATCCAGACCAACACAACATCAGACACCCAAACCCAGAACCGTCCAACCAACCAACCAGACAAATTAAGAGAAAAAAGGAAAAGGGAAACAACATACCTCCAAACCGATTCCTCTCCTCCCCATTCCCAACCTCCCTAGGATCCCAATTAACAACCTCAAACCCCACCAACCCAAGATCAAACAATTTATCCTCCCACCAGGGGACAGAAAACACCTTTTCCTCCTCCCCCAAGCCATCAACCTCACCCGGGTCCCCACTCCCAACACCAGCACCAGCACCAGCACCGGTGCCAACACCCGACTCTCTCTCCCTACCAACCAAAACAACCAACCCAAGAACATCACCCAGCCCGCCCCTCTCCTCATCCATAACACCCTTAACGGAACCGACAGCTTCCAGGAACGTCTTTAGACCTTTCCATTCTGGTATTCCTTCCACCTCTTGTTCTGTAGCGGTAGAGGTAGAGGTGGACGGAGGCCGGGGATCCAAGTTGCGCAAGCAGATAACCACACCCCCGATAGCATCTCTAACGACCTTCGCTTCTGGGCCTGAGAATTCTTTCCGCCATGTTCTTGGTGTGAGGGGCTCTTGTTGTCCTTCTTTATCTTTATCTTCGGGGTTTAACCCCGGTTCCCCATTTCGTGTATTTGCATTTGTATCCGTATTCCCAGATCCAGAAGAATTCCCCAACTCTACCTCCAAAGGAATCTCATCCACCCAAATCGGCACCTCAGCTTTATAATACCTATTCTCGAGCCTAAGCGGGGGGTGCGTCGTGTAGCCTGCGAATGTAGTCGTCGTCGTCGTCGTGGTATCGCCCTTAGAATCTGGATCTGGGTGTTTTTGGTCAAGGGTGGAGGTAGAAGTCGGGGGATTGAGGACTGGGGAACCGGTTAGGGAGTGCAGGAATGGGGGGATTGTGGTGTGGGAGTGTTGCGAGGGCGTTAGGATGAGGAGACGGCGAGGGTTGGGGATGACTGTTGGTTCGGGTTTTGGGCGTTCTGGTTGGGGCATTGTTCGTTGTTGTTCTGGTTGTTCTTTATTTTAGGGCCGATGGTGAGTGAGTGTAAGTGAGGTCGTCTGGTTGTGCTGTAGGTTGTATTGGTGGTGGTGGTAGTGGTTGAGTTGGAGATGAGCGGGGAGGGTTTAATGGATTTTGCGGAGCTGGGGTGCTTTTTTGATTTGGTTTCGATTTGGGGTTGGGAATTTTTTTGGTTTTATCTAATTTGGTATTCTTTATAAGGTGCTTTATGGGGAAGTAGGAGTCGATTGATTACTCTATTGCCTTTAAGTCGGTATAGAATATGGATTCAAATCCTAAGCGTAGCTCGATATCAACCTCGAGTCTATCATCCACTATAACCATCTCCCATATCAATAAATTTATCTTATCACCATTTCCTTAATCTACAAAAACCCACCAGTAGCAACCCACGACTCAAAAAACAGCGTAAACAAAAGAAAAACGAGAAATGTCCCACAACACGCGCGGGTATAAGAATCCCATGTAGAACCAGGAATGGATTTTTCAGGAAAAGCCCCAATGTAAAATGTTAGAACGGCAACATGAAAATAACAAAAAAGAAAAAGGCAAAATCAAACGCCATTAATATGAGATATGAATATTTCCCGCTTTTTTTTTCTAACCCCTCCGTTGGCCCCGGGCACGCTGCACGGTGGCCTTACCACGAGCGAGACCGACACCACGGCCGCGCTGGCCTCTTGAGCGGAACATGGGGGCGTTCCTATTCGATGGTTTTGTTAGAATTTTTATGTTATTGAAATCGGGAGATGAGAGATGGATACGGGAGAGAGAGAGAGAGGGAGGAGGGGGGGAATAAACATTGAAGCAGCAAGAGATGGGAGAGCATACCGCAACATATCCGGAACAATGAAGAACCTCACATGGCTTCCGCGGATATAAACCTGATCCAAATGCGACACGCGACCATCCCGAGCAGTAACCGTGATATCCTTCAGTTGAACGTTCATGTTATCCTCGGCTATTCCTAGTCAGTCTATGTTGCCCTGATACGATGGTTGAGCGACGAACCCTCAAGAAGTTTTCCTCGATACACGACCCCGGAGGTGATTTCCAGGGTGACGACGTGGCCCTGTACCGCCGCGCGTTAGCTACAGTATTTAAGACGAGATGCAAGCAAGACGATGGCGCGTTAATGAAGCTTAGAAGACATACCTGGGCTTCGTTAAGAAGCTTAATCGGGATACCGATCGTGGAGGTCAATTTGCCCATTGCGAGGAGGATTGGGGGGGGGGGGGGGTTTGTCGCGAGAAAGACGATAAAAGAAGGTGCAGATAAGTTCGAATCCTTCGATATCGATAGAAATTTGGTGAGACCAATAATCCTCCGTCTGGCGCAAAGGGTGAAAGAAACAGTGTCGGTAGGATAGAATTGGGACGTTCCGTCGGCTGGAGAGTTTTGCGGCTCTGCTCCGCCCAGCCAATAAATAAGCTACGGAGCTTTCCTCTGGTTCTTCCTATATTTATTCCTATTGATATCCATGATACCAGCAATTACTCCATTGAACAGAAAAGACAACCCCAAGTAAATAAAGAAAAAGAGAAAACAGAAAAAAAAAATAGGAGGAAAAAAAAAAAAAAAAAAAAAAAAAAAGGAAACTATAAAGAAAAACAAAAAATGCCAAACCCACCGAACAGCAATCTCCGCGCCTTCAATCTGGCCGTACAAACGCTCCTCAAAAACCCCTCTCAATTCCTCCCCCATCTCACAATCCCAACAATAACGCATCTCCCCGAACAAGTCGGTCCCTCAATCGCAGCAAACCTCAATCTTCAACCAACAGATGCATCCAAAACCAAGTCACCCACTATCCGTGCCCTCGTCCTTGACAAAGACAATACCCTCTGCCACCCCAAAACCACGACATTCCCTTCACAGATCCTCGATAAGCTGCATGCCCTCCGCACATCACACACCTCCCCCTTCAACCGCGAACAACATCCGGATTCGATCCTGATTGTGTCTAATCGTGCGGGGTCGCATCCGCGCTATGATGCGGAGGTGCGGGAGCTTGAAGAGCGCCTGTCGGGGTTACAAATTCCTGTGTTTCGGTTGCCGGAGGGGAGTGAAAAGAAGCCGTTTTGTGGAGAGGAAGTGTTAGAGTGGTTTCGCGAGAGGGGGGTGGTGAAAGGCGCGGATGAGATTGCCGTTGTAGGAGACCGGTTGGGCACGGATGTGTTGATGGCGGCGCGGATGGGTTCGTGGAGTGTTTGGTGTCGGGATGGAGTTACCGAGAGCGTGGATCCAAAAGACGTAAGGCCTGGGATGAATCTTCTGGAGAAAATGGAGGTTTGGGTGGAGAGATATCTGAGGGAGACGAAAGGATTGAAGGCTCCTCCACCTTGTGGTTGGGACCGTCAATAGCTTTTCTACGCAACTGTTCACCTTTTTCCTTGACACGTAAATAAATACCCATGTATAATAGATAGAGCTTGTCTTCTACCAAAATCACTACAATTGATACGGATACCTGTCAAATGTGCAAAAGGTCTGTCTTATGATGCTGGTTCACATTGGTAAAGATCTCGAATGTATGCCCGCGAAGAATTTCACAGCTTCGCAAAAACAGAACAAATATCGCTTGGGCAACCAACATGGTTATATAGATGTCAACAAACTGACAAGACCGAACCAAAGACGCAAGCATACGACAGAAATGACCATAACAAAGGGAATATGCAAACAACCCTAATCCCGCCAACCCAAAAGCACCAATCAAATGAGAATTCAAACAATCTCGCCAATTGTGCGACTTTCTGGCATAACCACGTTAAAAGGCCCTGACCAGGTATATAAAGTCCAAAAAAAAAAAAAAAAAAAAAGGGTCCAGGGTAAGATGAAGAAGTTCACAAAGAAGTTGCAAGAAAGGAAAAGGAAAAAAAACTTTTGCCCAGTAATTGCTGGGGCAAAATTGTCTGATAAAGTGGCAAGGACCAGCCCCTGGAGAAGGGTATTAATACAACAAAAATTTGAAGAAAAAAAAAGCGCAGGAGAAGAGCATAACGCTGAGAGCATATCAGAAAAGAAGAGAAAGAAGATATATCCTCGTTAATGTATATTGGTGGGACTGAAAAGCATCAGTCCCTCCAAGCCCTCCAACGAGGGACGTGAAAATAACTGGTCAAGGTTGGGTATCTCCAGTGGATACAACATCATACCAATCGTTTGGAAAGTGATTTGAAGGCTTGCGCAAGGAAACCAAGCCTATCAAAGAAAAGAATTGCCATCCTGCCAAGTGAAACTTGGAAATGGCATAAGAAAGAAGCGAAGACCAGGAGCTGTTCAAATTGAACGGCATGGCACAGGTAAGACTCAAGATCCAGTGGCGAATGCACTCGGATCGGCGTTTTCCATAGATGACATTTGGTAGTCGCCTTGAACACCTGGAGAAGTGTGAGCGGACAAGGTCTGCAAGGGCAGATCAAAAGTGTTTCCTTCGAAGCCCATAGAAGTTGGAACAGTGAAGTTCACGTTCTGCTTGGGAAACATCCCATTCATCTGCATTCCCTCTTCCACAAAGCTCGGCTGATGCTCATTGCTCATGCCATACATCTCCTGTGACGCGTGCATGTTCGAAAGCGGAGGCGAATGATCCGCAATCATAGGATCAGCGTGGCTAACCGTCGAATATGGGGATGCCGACTGAGCTCCCAAGTTGGAAGAGTCAACTTGAGGGGAGACGAACGGCAGGTTAAAGGGGGTTCCCATGGTCGTTGCGACAGGGGTCGAATCGCCAGGTCCTCCGTTAGAGAAGAGCCCAGGACTAGCAAAGTCGGACGGCGAGGCTGTCGCCGTCGTCGCAGACATGGGGTGAGTGCGGGGATCGAAGCCGTAAGCGGCCGAGGTATCAATCCGCAGGTTGGCAGCCAAAGGATGCGCCGACTGAGGAACTGGCGCAAAAATGTTCGAGTCTGCATGGTTGAAATGCACTGGAGTCTGTGGCATATTGTAGTTGGCAAGAGGCGTTTGCAAAGCAGAGAAGTCGACGGCCACGGGGACAGAGCGACTTCGTTGACGCCTGTGTCCACGAGGAACCTGAAGGTTCAAGTGAGTCTGAGCTTCCGGGATCATGTTCATGAATGCAGGTGCGAATTGGTTAGGCTGCGAAGCAGGGCGTTGGATGAATGGAGGAGACATGGGCGCGTTTACGGCGAAGTTGTTGTATGCCAAGCGATTCTGGAATGACTCCAAGGACACCAGCTTGGCGAGCTGCACACTCAGAACCTTCGGATGACCTCCAAGATGGTGCACCAAAATCTGACTAGCTTGCTGGTCTTCGGTAAAGTCGCCGCACTGATAAAATCCACCGGAATTGGAGGAATCCATGTAAAAAAGAGGGGGCCGGTTCAATTCCACCACTAGACCACCGGGCCTCGGGGGAGCGCCATTTGGCTGTGGTCCTTGGTCGCCAGACTCCAAAGTGATATTCTTGATATAAGAGAAAGGGTATTCGATCTTGTATCCTGCAGAGTCATTGTTGATGTAGTAAGTCATACAGGCTTTTTCGGGGGAGTAGAAGACGACCAAGTCCATCGCATTCTGCCCAATGCGCCGCCAGCTACCGATGGTCAACGATCGACAAGTGAAGTGATGGATCACAACTTTTCCAGAGGGAGTGGCCTCGCTCGGGTAAGCGCCACTGGTTCCATACCCTCCTGTGCGGCCAAATGGATCTCTTGCGCCGGGCTTGCTGGGGTCGAATTGCATAGCCAGATACTGGCGCATAGACTCTGGGATTGAATCGCAGCCCTCACCGGTTTCAATGCTCTTCTTCGCGAGCATCTTGATCTTTGCGCGCCTAAATTGCTCGTTAGCAACCTGGCCGTCTGTAGCAAACAAAAACCGTGCGACATACCTGTTCTGGAACCAAATCTGAACAGACCGTTCAGTCATGTTAATCTCCTGGGCGATTCTTTCGCGCGTAGCAGCCGTAGGGGTGGGGTTCTTGTTAAATTCCAACTCCAGGGTAACCAGCTGATCCTGAGTCGCCCGTTGACGCTTGTTATTCTTCTGTTGTTGGGTCAGAGTACTCTTGCGCTGAGGCCGACGGGCCGCGGAAGAAGGCGCCGTGGTGGCACTGGATGCAGATGGAGATGGCGTGGAAGCGGCAGATGAAGAGGTGGTCGGTGCTGTGGTGGTGGGGGTAGTCGACATAGTCGACGGGTCAGGGGAGTCTGTCGAAGACATTGTTTGCAGAGATTGACCGAAGATAAGGTAGAACTGGGTTCAGAAAAGAGAATCGACCAATTGAGAGATGGGAGTGAGAACGAAAGAAAAGAGAGGACGACGATCCGGCCGACAGTCGAAGGGGATGTCCAAGTCTCTCAAGCTGCGTCAAGCGCGAGAGAGAGATATGTTTCAAACGAATGGATGTGCTAGGGCTGGAAACGGTTATGGTTCCAGGCCTCGAGCACGAATGAATATGAGCGCGTCGCAGAAGCGTCAACGTAATCGAATCGGGGGGAAAAGATAAAAAGCTGGCCTAGGCAGCTTATACGGTAGAATGTATATAGGGTCTTCGCAAGCGTGGCGGTTAATCAAATCGCATGAATCGAGGATCGATGTCACGATGACAAATCGGGGGGGCTATTTCACCGTCCAGAGGGAAGCAAGCGAAGGGCTCGGGAGAGTGAAGTCGAACGTTAAAAGAGTGGAACGATCGACTGTAGCGAGCGAATGGGGGATGAAAGTAAAGAATGTAAGAAGTGAAGAAATACAAAAGAGTGAAAAGGAAAGGGAAATGAACGATAGAAAGATGGTCGATGGGAAAGAAAAGAGGGAAGAGGAGAAGAAGAAGAGAAGGGGAGAGAGAGAGAGAGGGAGAGAGAGAGAGAGAGAGAGAGAGAGAGGAAGAGAGCCAAACGGGTGGAGGACGGATGTTGGTTGGTTCGAAGATGGTCAGGAGATGGGGGATACTCAAACTAGCCTAGTGTGGATGGGTGAGCGCTAGCTGTTTTGGCATCGGCGGTTCCTGACTCTCTCTGACTGACTAGTCTTTCGTGGGGCCTCGTTTCCTTTTCTTTTTTAATTCTTTTTTCCTCTTTTCCCTCTTTTGTTCTTGGGATCTTCAGCGTTGGTTGTATGCTGGTTAGATGGGTTCAAAATTTCAAGACCACTCCGTATAACATTATTGATTTTAAATTACTTGAAAAATGTAGACATCTATATATCACTCAAAACAAACACCGTTGCAGAAGGGGGGAGGGGGGCAAGAAAAAAAATGAATAAAAAAAATGAAAAGAAAAGAAAAAGGAAAGAAGACAACAAACCCAGCAGCAGCAGCAGCAGCAGCACCACCACCACCACCCTGTTTTTCGGCCCCTGCATCGGATTCTGCTGCCCAATGCTGTTGCTGTGATCCAGTCCTCCAATGATGGGCTGGGACGCATCTGGACAGAGATACTTGGCTCCTCTCTGTAAGGTCTCTGTCAGAAATCATTCTGGTGCAGTAGCCGACCTGCCTCACGGATTTGTGCAAGATCGGGTTGTTTACCTTTCGACTAGAGCCTTCCGTGTCCAAAGATAGTAACTGCATATGGATTCCATTCCGTCGTCTACACACCGAACCAGTATCTAGTGCTCTAGTAGTACGGAATGCCTGGATAGGTCTCCGGCGGATATCCCAGAAGGTCTCAGCGAATTCGACCGTTACGTATAACGGCTCCCACGTTCGAAAGACCCTGAACCACCACCATCATAACCCTACCCTAGTCCCTAAAACCAGTTCCAATGCAAAGCAACGTTGAAACGTAGAACCGAGAGAACCAAACAAAAACGAATGGAACACGTTAATAATAATTTCTTGATTGAACCGGGAAGATAAACGACCTGGACCGGTCCATCCTTGAAGCGATCCGCGAAGCAAGAAAGGGTTTCAGGAAAACCAAGATAGTGGAGCAACCACACCAAAAAACCACACCAACACCGATGCAATCTACACTTTTGCCGAGTGAACGGTAGTTATGACGATACCACTGTTACAGATTTACAAGATTTTGCCCTACGAGTCCAAGCCAAGACGACCCTGCCACAGTAGAGCCGAACCATTTCCAGCCTCAACCCGATTTGCCCGTTCATGAGGGAAAAAAATGTGGTGGGAAAAGTACTCCGTCATTCAATTCCGTTGTGCCCTTTTTCCCCCCTCAAAAGGAGGAGTTCCACAGACGTCCGGTCGGCACGCAGCAGACTTAACCAGTGCCAATGACCGACCTACCCGTTTCGGTAAGGGTTGTCGTGGGACTTTTCTATTAATATATGATGTTCTTAGGATTTTCCTTTTTCTTTTCTCTTCCCTCTTTTTTTTTTTTTTTTTTTTTTTTTCTCTCCTTCTCTCTTGTGTTCGCCTCCCCCGAGTGTTGAACCACGGGTTCCGCCCGTGCCGGTTGAGCAGCTCATTCCAATTCCATGATTCGATCCAGGTACCCGCCCCTCCCCTCGCATTTCAACGAAGTCTGATTGGGTGGATTGACATGACAGCGCCAGGGGTGGAGACTTACAACTCGTGTACCTGACTAGAAGCCTCCAATGAATTCCAGTAATGCTCACGTTTATCCACCCGGAGCAAGGTACAACCGAGCACATGTAGTAACAGTAGTAGAAGTACAGGAGTAGGAGGAGTAATATCTACAGGGAGTAGTACCAACCCAAACAAGTGTAACCAACTTAGTCCATATATAATATATTAGGTACCTGACTTATACATACATACATACATACATACATACATACAGACACATACATCTACACCTACCTACACATCCACATCCACATATACATACATACATACATATGCAAGGAACTCCTTAATTACCACCAAACCACCCTCTCCATAGCCTAAGCTCCATTCCAGCCTCAGACATATCCAAGGTACAGTAGTACATAGGAGGAGGAGGAACCTCGGACACAAGCGAAGTGGTCCACCCCCCTCTAACCTAACCAGTTTAAAAAACCTTCACCCCCACAAAGACAATGATCCGTGCACCGCTTCCCGCACACCGATTGGTCCGAGACAACTCAGCCACAGGAATGTGTTCCTGACTAAGACCAGTCTAGTCCCATCATCTCAATTCCCAGCCTAACTAAAATAGGGGTTTCTTTCCTTAACGGGGGAGCCGAAACTAAAGAAGGCCATCACCGGGTTCCATTGGAGACTCTGTTAGTAGACTTGGCCTATGACTTACCCAGTTCTTACCTATCAGTGAAGGGGGAGGAAGAACTACGAGTACTAGTTAAACTTAACCTCTGACTAGTTACACTGGACAATCCTCTAGTATATTAGCAGTCACCACTGTTCAATTCAGTCAATCATCACCGAATTCCTCCCTCCACAGTACTTATCTCAAGTAACACATTCACAGACAAAGAGAAAAGAAAAACGAAAAAAAAAAGAGGCAACAGAAAATCATCCCGTCCTTGCTGCCTCGTACCAGGCAATCATCCCTAGCCATCATTTAAACAACCCGACTATTGTTTCATCTCTGCAGGGTAGATCTGTAGGTACCCGTGGGGGAACTGTACGTGGGTACTATGCAACAGGCCCAAAATCACAAGCAAGTACGGAGTAAGAGAGAGAAAGAGAGAGGGTTAGGGAAAAGTTAACCTGGAAAATGTATCATCTTAATCCGAATCAAGACCGAACGCGCGCATTCTGCACGCTTCGAGGTAGCTCTTCCACCAACTAATTAATATCCGGAATCCCTTGCCTTGCGCCGTTGCCGACTACCGAAGTCAAAAAGAGTTATGCGACACGATCCTTCCGAACCAGATCGTGACCCAGTGGGTTTCAATAGTGGCTGGACTTTTTACGCCGTTGCTGTAGCATTGACCATGTTCGTTTCCTTTCATTCTTGTTTTTTTCCTTTTCTTTTTTAATTTTCTATTATTTTATCCCACTTTTTCTTTTCTTGCTCGGGATTCAGGTGTTAGACCGTGACTCGTACCTAGTGCCTGTTGTTTGCTCCTAGTTATGATAGTATAGACTTTCTACGAGTAGTGAAACGCCCTTGCCAGGATAGTTTCGGAGGAGATGGTGCACTCCTTCTCCCCAGCTCGAAATGTGACACTACTCGGTGAACTATTACGCGCTACGCTCATACTAAGGATTGTGATATGGAGACACCAGGGTCGGCTCCTATTATACAACAGTAATGCGCATATGAATATTTTATCGCCGGCCATTAATGTACACACGATGTAAAGTTCAAGCCAAAAAGAAATGAGTGACTGTCCCATGGGGTATCCACTTCCAAACGCCAGCACGCTTTTAAGAAACAGAAAGATTTAATGACATGGTATGATTCAAAACAATATCAAAGTACGAGGTCCGCCGAAGGGGAATCTCTACAACTGTCCCTTCCGGATCGCTCCGAAGCCCTTCGTAAACAACTCGTGAATCTCAACGGATCGTCGAGGGGTGCCCATCACCTCATCTGCTGTCATCGGATTCGAACGGTCGGCAACATGGTCAGCACTGCTGTTGTAGCCCGCCAATTCCACCTCCATCTCCGTTCCCACCTGACCAGATCCTGTCTTGGTCATCACTCTCGGCCGGGAGAGCAGTTCTTGTACCTGTTTCTCTCGTGCCTCCATTTCCGCTTCGCGTGCCAGCTCAAGGCTAGACTTCTTGCTGCCATGGTCCCAGCCTTGTTGCAGCTCTGATGCCGCGGCTTCTTCAAATCTCTTACGGATCTCCAAATCCTGCTCGTACTCTTGAAAGATATCCACGTCTGTGGGGAAAAGATTGGCCCGCAATGCACTAACCGTGACCTCAAACACTATGACGGCCACCACCGTGAGGAGTAAAACCACCCAGAAGGCCAGGTCATGGCCGGACTGGAAGATGAAGTTGCCGGGCACGTGGTAGATACCGTCACCAGAACCAAAGTTGTATTGGCGGGACAGGATCATGTCCCACACGAACCACCCCCCAACCGAAATGATGAACACAGCAAGCGACAAATACGTCTTGTTGTGCACTTCCAACGCCTGTAACTTGGTGTTGATAATGATGACGCAGGCCGTATATGTGAGAAGACCAGAAGAAAATATGTCGCTTCCCGTGTGGGTGAACATAACATTTGCCCATAGGCCAAACATGGTGAAGTAGACGATCATCGCCTCGCATGTAGCCATGAATGTCCAGCCCAAATATAACTTGATATTAAAGCCACCATGTTGCTGGCCTTTGGTGTACAACTCCGGAACAGCCAAGAGGGTAGATGCGGCCAGATCTTTGGTGAATATACCCAGGAAGATCACGGCCAAGGAGGTAAAAAGAGTGTTAAACATACTCAAGCCCCACGGTTCGTACAAACTGGTGCCTGTGTAGCCATTCCAGCGTTGATACAGCGCCTGGGTCAAGTAGAACAGCATTTCTTTCCAGAATGTTCCCAGTGTATACTTGCAGGCCCGCATGTAGTTCCATCGCCCGTGGACAAGTAGCAGCTTCAACAAGAACCGGAATTGGGCAATCGAGTAGTCTGAAATGCGTGCTGCCTGCAGCCCTTCTTTACCCGTAATACCTATGCCAACATGTGCCTCTTGGATCATGGCGATATCATTGGCACCATCGCCAATTGCAAGAGTGATCGAATCCTTCACCTGCTTCCGGATCGAATGTACAAGGAATGCTTTCTGTTTAGGGCTTGCGCGGCAGCAAATGACCGAATCGACGAGGATGGCAAGCTTGAAGAAGCGTGCTCTTAGAGTTTCATCTGCCTCAATCATTGCCAATGTTTGTCCGTCCACCACAACTACCGAATGGGCAACGGTCCCTTGGGTGAGATCTGAGGTAAATTTCACAATAGATCGCTCAACCTCGCCAGTCTCTTGGTCAAGGATAACCAGGGTCGAGTAGTCCTTCACCAGACGACATGAATGTCCAACATTAATGGCTGTCTCACGCTTATCACCAGTCAGCATCCATAGCTTGATGTTGGCCCGACGCAGCTTGTCAATAGCTTCGGGCACGCCCTTTTGCAGCTTGTCTTCGATGGCTGTTGCCCCAGTTAACTCAAGCCGCTGTTCAAGCTGCTCACCAACCTTCTCAATCTTCTCCTGTCGATCGACAAGACTGGTACACGCCTCACGATAGGCTGCTTTCCAACTGTTGTACGAAGCTTCATCAAGGAAACGGTGACCGTACAACAGAGTGCGCAACCCTTCGGTGGCGAAGTCATTGAGGTGTTGGAAGCATCTTTCAAAAACAGCTTCCTCGTTGACCACCAGGGCTTCCTCTACCAGGTCTTCTTCATCATCATCGTTGACTGAGCTTCCCGAATCCGACATGGTAGTAGATGGCCGTCCTATCTGCGCCGAAGGTCGCGGGCTATAATACTCGGCATCGTTCCCCCTGTTCAAAATACCGCCATCCGTCTCCCTGTCGCGGAGCCACACATCGATACTTTCCCGTAGTGTGGACATATGCCGCCCGGAAACACTAGAACGCCTGTGTGTCATGCTAGGTCGACTCAAGCTAGTACGAACTCCACTGTTCCGAGCCTGATACTCGCTGTTTCGCCTGATAATTTCATTTACCTCGGCTGCCTTGCGTTTGCTGGCGCGTCTTTCAATCTCAACCGCCTTCTCTTGCGCAAGAGCTGCTCGTTTGAGTAACTGCATCAAAATACTATCCGCGCCCTTGCAAAACAAGCAGATTCGCTGATCGGGCATTCGCACAACGACCGACATCCGCTTACGAGCACTCGAAAATTCTATCACGTCTAGAACCTCGTAGGTTTCTTCAGAGGCTGACCCATTGGGGCCATTGGGGTATGTCCGGACTGTTAGGGTGTTTGGCTGCCGGTCTGTGACGAGATATCCGAGTTCTTGGGCGGCCATGACTAAAGCCAATTCATCGGGCGATGCCGCCTGGAAGGAAGTATTTCCAAGCTCATCGCTTTCCGGGATACACGTGTGGCATAGGGCAATAGCCAGGATGAACATTTTGGCTTTGCGGGCAAACACAGTGTAAGGCTTGCGTTGGATGTACTTGACCATGTCAGCTGTACGATAGTCAAGCGCCGGTCGACCGGGCTTCCGTGTCTTGTCGGCAACTGACGTCGAGCTAGGTCTGGCGAGATATGATCTCGCCTCTGACACATTCGACTTACGAGCCATAGACTTCTTGCCTTTAAAACTCCGCTTTTTGTGGATAAGCTTTTCTCGACCTCCTTCTCTAGCCTCCTCTTCGCGCAGGTCAAAATCGTGATACCATGCAGTACCCGCGACACTCATTTTGCGGAAGCGCATCGAGTTGTTCGTCAAGGTTCCAGTTTTGTCGGAAAATATATAGCTGACTTGCCCCAGTTCTTCGTTGATGGTGGATGTCCGTGCCTCGATTGGCGTGTCGCTCTCCGGATCATACATGTCGATATCAGCGTTCAGCATCAGCATCTGTGCAACCTTGACAATTTCCATACTCACGTAGAGTGAGATAGGAATCATGGTATTGAACATGATCAGGAACGAGGTGAAGATTGGACCATAGGACACGTTTGCCTTGTCAAGGTACCAAGAGTTTTGCTCAACATCATCTGACCAGTAAATGTATGCCACGGTGCAGGCGACCGCCAGCACGACTACTAATAGTACAATCAGCATGACTACCCGGTTGACACGGGCTTGAAGTGCAGGTGACTTGATTCGAGGATTCTTGTTCGCGTTCATTCGGATTTTACACTCTTCGCCAGTGTAGATAACCATACCGACCGCCTTCTCAGTATTACGCATAATGCTACCACGGTAGATAACCTCGTTATTCGTCAGGGGCGTTTTTTCGCCAGCGGAAACTGTAACATTGCCATCAAATTTATAGAGATCCAGATTAGGATCCTCGACAGCGAAGTGCATGGCATTGCTGCTAATGCCATCGACTGTTGCACACACCTTGGCGACTGGTTGACAAGGCTGCTTGTTTTTGAGGTTTGTCTCACCATCCAAAGCCATTGTTTCAATATAAGCGATATCGTTGGGCCCGTCTGCATGGAGCAAGACCATATCCGCTGGCACAGGCTGATCACGCTCCAACTTGACAACATCCCCGACCTTGATGTCTTTCCACTTCACCATAGTCCAATCTTGGGCGTCACTGGCAACTGAAACGCTGTCACTAGACGAGGTTTGGGACAGTATCCCTGCACCTGGGCGCAAAACGGACGCATAGCGGTTGTTTTCTTCTTTGTCCAAGCGATAGCGACGCCAGTCGTCAAAGCCTTCCTTCCCCATAGAGATTCCAACGAAGATCAACAGTGGGACCAAAGTAGTGAAGGAACCCGTCGTACTCAAGCCAGGAATCATCTGCAAAATAGCCACTACAAGGAAGTAGAAGTTTGCTAGCTTGGTGAATTGAGCGAAAAATTGTCGGGGAAAGAAACTCCAGAGGCTGTAACGACTTGATCGGATCCAATTTCCACAGTAGGGCTTTCCGGTCCTCTCATCGATCAAATCCTCTGTCCTAGTAGGGTCAAGAACGATATGACGGCCATCCTTGCTTGGGGGGATGTCTTTAATCCGAAGGATAGTTTTGCGAGCAGACTCCATGAATTCCTCATACCGAGCCTTAATTCCAGCAATGACAGCCCGTCTCTTTAGCCATTTCTCGTATGCGATACTGGTGGACATGTGCCTGTCTCCCTTGAGATCTTCCGATGGGTCAGAGGAAAAATATGCCGTTGAGGTATCATCAATATGAACAGGACTATGTTCAGGTGCCGAAGTCTGAGTTACGATTACCGCCTGTTTTTCATCCTCGGTCGACTTGCGCTCATATTGACCACCCCCCGTAGGAGCACCTTGACCTGCGCCGTCGCTCGATTTCCGTGCACTCCGTTCATTTTCTGTAGAAGTCTCCTGTTGCGGACTCACAGGCTGGGCCAATTCAATGTCATTGGGTGAGACAGCGCCAGGGGAAGTCGCTGAGACAATATTCTTCGCGAAAATAGTCCGTCGAAGCGAATAACCGCGGTTGCGCGATCGTGAGCGACCCGAGTCTGGGCTTTGCGGTGATGGAGGTGACAATGCCGAGCGTGGTGAAAAGGGGGAAATCGGTCTATGTTCTGGAGATCTGATTGACAAACGATCGTTCCGGGTAATGCTAGTGTCGATAGTCAAGCCTCTGGCGCTTGGCCTCCTATTATGATTGGAATTCCCAGGCTCTTCCGCGAGGGGGCGCTCGAGATCGGCCGAGAAGCGAACGCGGGGCTGGTGGGAATTCCTCCGTCCGGAGTCTGATAGTGTTCGTGAAGGGGCAATGGACGGCCGTTCTTGACTGATACTATGCCGCGACGGAACACTAATGGAATGGCTCCTCGGGAGCGCTGAGCCCAGGCTAGAGTCCTGTCCGGATACTTCTTCCACCACTATATGACCTTCATCAGACGTCGCTCCTTGCGCGTCCCGGTTCGCTTCGGCCCTCGCATCCTGGTTGGGCATAGCGAGAATAGTTTTCCTTCAATAGCCTCCCGGCTGAATTGTGCAACGGTGCGGTTCGTCCAATGACTCTGCTGACCTTGTACAATACTTTCTGAAGTGTCACAGGGTTGAATTCACAGTACAAGAGCAAGTAATTCCAATCGAACGGTGTATCGGCGGAGAGTAAACGAATAAATCCGGTGCATTCTTCAATCGAGCGTGTTGGGGGGGAAAGAATCTAGCACAGCGTCTACAATCGACGGTAAGCGATGCTTCGATGCTCCGATCAACGACAAGCTCAAGCTCTAACCTGTACAAAAAGATAGAAAATAACAAGATGGTATATCGATGCGATAGCGACAGTCCTGTTCTAGCAATAGATGACACGACAACCGCACGTTCGAGGAAAAAACGACTGTGGGGAAGACCCTAAGGTCAACAATCAAACAACAAACTAAGAAAGAAAAGAAGATCCCAGATCTAACAAGGTACCAACAAACGAAAGAGAAAGAGAAAAGACCGTGGAGAGATGGGTAAAGCACACCACCGCGAACGAACGAAGCAAACGTCGACGCCTACCGTCGTCCGCAGGCGGCGACTGGGTCGAGGCCTTTTGCAAACTAGTTGCAATGGTTGAGTTTTGGGAGACCCAAAAGACCGTTCCCGAAAGCGGTAAGATGCCCGAAAATAGTAGAACAACCGCCACTTTTGGGGGAAAGCAAAAAGCTAGCCTTAATTCTCTCCCTTTTTTTTTTTGTTCTCTCTCTGTTTAAACTTTGCCTCTGCGATATGTGTGTAGGTATGTCTCACGACCGCAATCAAAGACGAAAGCACACCAAAGAAAGAATCGCTCTTAAGATGAGTTCCTGCCAACAATATAAGACAGTAAAGTTTAATAAAATGAGTCGTAGAAAATCTTTCCACCCCTCGTAATTTAGGCCCTGCAGCGGTCAAGGACCCTCCCACTAGTTAACTTAGCGATGATACGGAGTACCAAGACTGACCTTCGATAATTTTTCGACGGGCGCATGTGGAGAAAACTGTACAGAATGACCTTAAATTACCCGCCGACCAGTCAAGGGCTTGGTTGATCAAAGCGGTGGCTTGGAGGAGGCCACGCAAGTCAACGCAATCAAGGAACTCAATACGATGATGGATGGCCTCATTGGCAATTGTCGCCCACTTATACTACCACTTGGGGTTACAATTCTCCCGTCAATCAAATAAGAATTTCTCCCATGCCCATGTGCTACGTCAAGGTGGCATGCTTGCAGCGTTGTTTTCTTCTTGTCCTTTTCGCAATCTGTAGCTTAAAGACAGGTAACGCTTGTCACCAGGCATCTTACTTGCATGCATACTTGCTTACTGTGCTTTGGTAGAAAAGCTTGCAGCCATTACTATGAAACCCCTACCAGATGAGAGAACAAAGACCACCGAATCTTTATCAGACTCTCCTTTAATGTACATACTTAGCCTAAAAGGAGAAAAAAGGAAAAATCTCTCAAAACATTTTATCTGGTACAATGCACAGCCTCCAGAGAATAGTTGGTTGAGCCTGTCACTCAACCCAGGGTTCAGTGGCGGCATGTCTTCCAACCATTCCAGATATCTTTCCATGGACTCAGGATCACTAGGGTAAAAAACCCCGGACGTTGAATCCTATGGTTGTCAAACCCACTGTGCGTGGCAGACTGACCATCCACGGGCGTGCAATTCACGCAGCCTTGTGGGTAAGTAGTAGTGGGTGGTGGCAAGGATTCCAAGAAATGAGAAATAAATTAAGTCCAGAGGCGGGGCCAACCTGAAGTGACTGAACCTTGTCATCAGGGCACGCAGAGTCGAACATGGATTCTTCTCTGGGGAAACCGCATTAGGCTGACACTTTCGACGAGTGAGGCCGTCCTTATGTCGTGATCCCTTCTTAAACGAGGCCAATATATTTTGAACCTCTACAGGTAAAAAAAAAGGGGGGGGAAAGAAAAGAAAGAAAGAAAGAAAGAAAGAAAGGGGAAAGAGAAAGAAACTGGAAGAATGGCGAAATGATAGCTATTGACTCATTGACCACACCACCACTACCCAAGTAACCTCATCATGAATCCTGCTCAATGGGGCAACATTGGGTCACGTGGCCTCATGGATCAATGAATCGTCTCATACGTAGTATAGTGCCAAGTGGACTGAATCAGCCTAGTTAGTTGCTGACTCTACATCTCCATCGACGTCATTCAACGGGCGGGAAAAACTTCCGACCCCGGCAAAACATTAAACAGCTGTAGATATTTACGACATACTAGTAGTTTTACGACAATATCCATGGCGATAATCTGTGGCATCACTTTATACCTGGATTTCATGCTGATGCAGCTCCCATTCGAGATACAGACGTTGCGCGTAGTAAAGATGATATCGACATATGTTCTATCCTTAACCATTGACAAATTCTGCCGCACCAGTAGCTTTTAGTCAATGTGGGCTAAACGCCAGAGAAGTGAACACGTAAGGAAATCGTAATCATAATGGATACAACCAGACGCCCTGCCTTTCAAAGAAAAGCTCCGTCCCGTCCTGCTTCAAACCCGTTCATCTAGTACCGCGGGGGCGGAGGGGGGGCGTATCCGTAAGGACTCTGTGGTGGAGGATAGCCTCTCGTGGCACCAGCGGGTGGTTGTCCATATCCAGCAGAAGGAGGGGGAGATCCGTATCCACCATACGGCTGTGGCTGTCCATAGCCAGGTGGTGGGCCCTGGCCCTGGCCAGGAGGATATGGTGCTTGACCATATCCCGGTCCTGGGCCATATGGATTAGGTGGTGGGGGTTGGTTAGGGTTTCCTCGCTGGCCGTATCCAGGCCCCGGGTTATAGCCACCGTACTGACCTGGCGGAGGAGGCCCTTGAGGTCCTGGAGGTCCGCCCGGTCCACCAGGTCCTTGAGGTCCCCCGAATCCGCCAGGTCCGCCAGGTCCTTGAGGCCCCCCGAATCCGCCAGGTCCACCAGGTCCGCCAGGTCCCCCGTATCCGCCAGGTCCGCCAGGTCGTTGAGGTCCCCCAAATCCGCCAGGTCCGCCAGGCCCTCCATGCCCGCCAGCACGACCGGCGGCCTTCTCATCCTTGGTATCATATGAGGAATCAATAGCACCAAGCATCAATTTAGCGCACTAAGAGTTATTAGTCAGCAGTGTTTATTTTTGCTGGCGCAGTGTCTACCTACCCAAAGCTCTCGAGTCAAATACACAGGGGGGATGGCACGAGACATCTCGTCTTGCTCAACCTCGAAATCTGCCAGATATATTAGCGCACCGCTCCATTAACTTGACATAAGATGTATGAGCAACTCACTTGAAGTGCAGTCAATCAAATTTCCAATGCTTGGGTCCTCATCCAAACTGGATAGGAAATCACGTGCCTTGGCATCATTGCCCACCTGCGAGAACTGGAAAGAAACAGCACCTCGTCCAAATGGAGTTCGCGACACCTCGTCAACGGCATAGCGAATCGAATTAGCCACGCAATCAAGATTTTCACCCGCGGGCTGTCCGTCCGTAATGGTAATGATCAGTGCCGGCTTTTGTAAGCGGCCTGCCCGGGCGGGTCCCACGACCTGAGGATCCAGAACCTTGTTCTTCAGGCCTGTTCCCAGTGGCGTAAGACCTTGAAAACGGACACGTGAGACCAGCATGTTGACATCATCCACATTCCGGATGCCGTCGCCTCTTTCCATAGAATTCATAAACCGCACCGAGATGCCGTCCTCATCGAAGGTAGATGCAGCGGTCGCAACGATGCCAATGATCTGCCTCAGTTGTTCTTTTCTCACGCCTCGTTCCTCAAACTCGATGGATCCACTGTCATCTACGTAAAGAATGATATCGAAGAGGGACAATTTTATAATGTCCGTAGCCACCTCTGTCGGCACTCGCCATTCCTGGATGATCTTGTTGATCTTAGCCGGTGCATCGTTGGCGAGGCTTTGGATAAGCATATTTAACTTCTCAGGGGGGTAGAAGGCTTGGAGATTCTTCTCTTGGATAGTCCCAATTAGAAGCTGGCGATAGGCGGCTACTTGCTGCTCGGTAGCTCGAGGAGCGGGAGACACGCCTCCTGGAGGGCCATAGGGAGCACCTTGAGGCCCCGATGGTCCAGGGGTTCCCTGCTGTGGAGGACGTGCAGGACCACCGGGATAAGGTGCATTCTGCGGAGGATATCCTGGTCCCTGGTAGTTCACCCAGTTAGTTCAGTCTCTTGGCCAATAATTTGAATTCAGTGATGACAGTTTTCAAAATGAAAGACACCATAACGGGGATGTGACAAAGGGAGACAAGTGGGATGACTATGTACATGAGAAGATGGTTGCGAAGGATATTCTGGTCCAGGCGCGGATCTAGTTGACGAGCCATGTGGGGATGGCAGAGGAGGCCTTCCGTAGCCTTGGGGGGGCTGCCCGTAGCCAGGAGGTTGTCCATAACCTTGAGGAGGCCCATGGGAGTCTGATCCATACGGATGGGCCTGAGGATATCCCTGTGGTGGTGGAGCCGAACCATATGGCGCTGGGGAGTAGCTCTGAGGTGCAGGGGATTGAGACGGATGAGGATAGCCCGAATAAGTTGGAGACACAGGAGACGGCGAGGGTGCTGGCTTGTTTGGAGGTACTGCTGGAGCATACGCTTGGTACTGTTGGGGTGGCGCCGACGAAGTTGGATAGGGCGATGTCGACCCAGTACGTAGCTGTGGAGGATATCCTTGTTGGTTATAATAAGGTCGCGACATTGTTACACGGAAGCGTCCAGGTGGAGAGAGTAGAAAGAAGCGAAGACGTGAGGTCCAAGTTGTGGACAGGCGATATGAGTTGAGAAGAGGGAGAAAGTGGTGAATGATGTAGACAGAACGTCCCAAGTTCCCCTTCACTTGATAGACGGATAGATTGTGGAGGGGTGGCGACACGAGCAGGTAAGGCAGAAATTGAAAAGAAAAGCAAACGAGAAGCAAACAAAATTAGCTTACCGAGTTGCCGGAGGGAGCAGAACCTGGGTAAGCCTGATATTGTTGCTCCAGAGAGCAACGATCATCAGCAGTGACTCAAGAAAATGTGGTGAAAGGGAGATTGCCAGTGGTAATGAGGGGCGTTGCTAGGTTTAAGGTATGGGTATAGGGCAGCAGTAATTTGGGAAAAGGTAAAAAAAAAAAATATAATAGTGTAGCTTGGCCGCTACTTTCAGCTATTATTAGTGGGCACACTCACATTGTATCCACTGGGAGCAGCACCACCAGGCTGCAGCGCTGCAGGAGGACCGCCCGTGTAGCCTGTGGAAGGCGCTCCTCCATATGGCCCCGAGTTGTTACCACTCATGTTCTGCGGGTTTTGACTGCCCGCAATCTTGGAAGCAAACTAGGCGCATACAACATGCAGAGATTAGTGCTGGGATGTACTTCTATTGGGTTGAAGAATGTCGTTTTCAAGTCTTATCTCTTTCCAGGGAGAAGCTTGAGTGAGGGCGGGGCAGGAACGCGGGGCATAAGAATTTGAAGGACAGTGAAACTTACACCCATGGTGGATGTTATTGAATCCTTTGACTTGTGACCGTCGGAGAATTCAAACTGAAGTCAAACACAGTACAAGAGGGGAGGAGTATATCTTGGAAACAGGCCAAAATAACAGATCGCGTAAATGAGAGAGAAGTAAATAGATGAGGGACCCGTGATGACGATTGGGTTCGTCGTCATCCGACCCGCTTTTTCTTTCCATTTTTTCAGCTGAGGTTGAGAATACATGAAAATACGAGCATCTACTCGGATCTTCCAAGTAATGCAGCGAGCAAGGCTCAGACGATGTGAAATTACGTCGAAGTTAATCCTTAGGGTAAGGCACTTTTGGAGGATCAGTTATATTCGCCATCTATTTATAAGTGGGATAAAGACATTGATACATGGTTGTTTTTGTATGATACATACATATATGGCATGGCAGTCCATACATGGAGTCTAAAATATACATCGCTGTTTTCGTGGTCTGTACCACAACCAGCTTCAAGTATAGTTTCCATGGATCCATGCAATGCCCATCGTTCTTCATCCCAAATACAATTAATTACACATTGAATAGATTTGTGATCCCCACATACAAATACGTCGTTGAAGAGGATTACGGATCCATCCATAAGGCTGAGCTGGTCTCAGCCCTGGCTTAATGGGGACCCATCCGGTCAAGACAACGTTTCAAGGGACCAAGCGATGGCTTGATATAACTTTCCCTTGATTTCCGTCCATAAGTCTTTTTCTTTCACAATCGTGACATCACAGCCATTGTGGTTGATCAGTCACCCTCCTTCAGGTCAAGTGATCAGGGGGGCTATACCCAATCAGTCAACCCTGTCCATGGTCTGGAACGTAAGGCAGTGCATCACTGGTCAAATCATCTGGACCATAACCTCAGGATCAACATGTCACATACCTGCCTTCATGTGTCACCTTGTCGTGCACCAGCCTTGCTATCCCTTCAGATTTGCCTACAATTCGCACGAACCATTCCATTGGTTGAAACCATCAGTCACCTCGTATTCAGTATACATGGGCTGTGATTTGACTCTTCACAAGAACCATTACCATAGATCTATCGCATGATATGCCTATCTGAATACTCACAAGAACTGGACATGAACAGGAATCATGGAGTGTATCAGATGAACAGTACCGGCAAACCAATTGAAACGACCAAATTGCCCTAGGGTTGGGGCCTCCCGTCGCCATTTCCAAACCTCTTTGTAGCCACTGATGTCACTTCTCGAAGAAGAATTATGTATCGGTAGAACCGGAGACGGTGAGCTCTGCATTGATAAGGAGGTGAGGAAAGCGCGATGCAGATGTTTGCTCAGTTTTTCTTTGTACTTTCGCTCGCGTCCCCATTCTTTTGTCTCAACACTACTGAGATCCCTTGCACCAGACATACTTGGCGAACACCCTTTGCGAACCTATCTTATTAAAGAATGAGCACCTGCGGTTCTTTTCCCCCGGGGCTTTCTGGTTTTTTTAAACACTTGCCGGGCACGTTCAATCGATAATTATTCACGTGGTAAGTATTATGCTGCGTGTTCTCGCTCTCTAACCTGGGCTTTGCTTCTTTGTTCTCTGACTCTGACGCAGCATAATTGCACTTGACAGAGCGCCGGAATGACACAAACAATCTTAAGGGTCGGAATCCTCACAGATGGGGGCCAAGCCATCCAAAACCTCTATCTCCCAGTTCTCCGAACCCTTCGTGACTCCTATCGCGTCGCTGCAATCTACAACTCCAGTCTGGCTCCGAAAGACAGCACTGCCAATGACTTGCCTAAGGTTGCCTCTAGCCCGGAAAAGGTTCTGAATGACCCTTCAGTCGACCTTGTCTTGAACTTCATGCCGAATGAATACCACGAAACGTACACTGTTGCGGCCTTGGAAGCTGGCAAGCACGTTATGGTGGAAACACCTGTCAGCCTGAGTATCCCGAGCGCAAAGCGTATAATCGAGGCTGAGAAGCGGGCGCCGAACCAAGCGAAAGTTTTCGTGGCCTCTGCACGTCGGTATGCACCTTGTTTCGAGGTCTTCAAGAAAGAAGCTGCCAGCCTAGACCGGATATATTATGCTCGATGCCGGAATATCGCAGGGCCACACTTGGCGCACACAGCTACTGCGCCGAAGAACAAACACCTGAAAATAAACGGCAGTATACCAAACGGGTTGCCCCTTAACGACCAGCATGGCGAGCGGCTGCTTCATTGCCTTCTCCAGGAGATCTTTCTTGGCGAGGATTTGACTGAGGAGCGTCTCTCCTTGAGCCGATTTTTGGCATCCTTGGGATGCCATGACTTGGGACTGATGCGCGATACGCTGGGGTATCCCGATGCTATCTCGAACATTACAGTGAATGAACCATTTTACTCGGCTGTTTTCCATTACAATGGTAGTGTTACACGGGGTCACCATCCGTTTACTTTGATATATGAAACAGGAACCGATTCCGTTCCTCGATGTGACGCACACCTAGCTCTCTATGGTAATACCAAGACCGTCAGCATGCACTATGATTTACCATACGCCCAGGGCAAGCCATCACGGGTGGTTGTGGAAACAGCGGATGGCAAGGATAATCTGAAAAGAACGGAGAGTATTAGTAGCTGGGAGGATGCGTTTAACGCCGAGCTCAAGGCGTTGCATGCGTACTTGGTTGACGGAAAGCCTGCCCAGACAACAGCAAAAGACTCTCTCCAGGATCTCAAATTATTTCAAACGATTTTTGAGCAGTATGATCGACAGTGCGGGACCATTAGAACTCCCCTTGGCTAAATTGGCGACGTGCCTTTGCCTAGTCGAACAAATCTGCTACTGGATTTGCCAGGTGACTAGTTTATTCTTGTTATTGTGCATGTCTTCCAACATGTGGTTGACATAATTATTAGCGTGAAGGGTGGGAGTTATCGAGGTATACAAGCACATTGTTTGGATATATTGGTGTTTGCTAAATTGATAAGTGAGATCAATTCTAGTTTTAAACGAGACCTGTTACCACTTTCATATAATGTGCAAGACAGGGCCTGTTTGTTATACACAACCGTTCACATATGGATTCATCGCTTTCCCTTCTTCTTTTTCTTGTTAGCACCTCCGCTTTGAGACTTCTGCTGCTGAGCTACGGGCGCAGGTGATTCCTCTGCCTTTTCATTGACAATACCTCCCTGCGTCCGTTCAGCGGCCCGCTGCTTGCCTTTCCGGCCCTTGGGCCGGTAACTCGCACGGTCGCGGAGGGGCAACCAGCGTTCCGGATCCGGCGTCTTGCTAGCATCATAATCCTTGGGAAGACGCGACTTTCGCACTCGCTTAGTTGCACGACCTTGTTTATCGCCAGATGTTCTCTTCCTTGCCCCGGCGATGGCTGCCGCGGCTGCGGCGGCTGCGGAGGAAGGAGGGGAAATACCGGCTAATTCAAGTGCGTTCACGTCAACATCCTGGATCAGATCGTCAATTGGAGGGAGAGTGTCAACCTGGGACTCGATCTTGGCATAGTCCAGTGTTGCCTGAGAAGCAACGTAACCGGCAATGGCGAAAAGATCGTTCCTGTCCTTCTGGTAAAGCGACTTGAATAAGTCACCAGCGGTTGTAAGATCTGCGCGGTCCGACGAGTGCAGCAAAGACTCTGCGGCCGCGCGAAGAAGGGAAGAGGGCGCCTCGACATGTTCCTGCCAATAGGCGGCGGCTTTAGCGAGTTCCGACCTGATCTGGACTCTCCGGCCTTCAAGCTTATAGAGCGAAACGAGAATGCCTAATAATCCTGGGTTGAAGCGGACCTCCTTATCCTGTTCGGAGATGGAATCTTCGAGTAGCTGGAGGGATTTCTCTAGGGTGGTGATTGCAGAAGTGGTGTTGCCTTCGGTCACGTAGAGCTGCACGGCTGTGAGTGCTAATCCGATGTCTTTCGGCCGCCTTTCAAGTGCGGGTAGTATCGCCTTCAGGGCTGGCGTTCCAGCTTGACCACGTGCATGAGCAGCAGCATTGTATACCGACAGGAGGTTTACATTTGATTTAGCGGATGGATATGGTGCTTGGGAGAGCGCCTTCGATGTGGACCGGATGATACCGTCGTACTTCTGGACGAGAAGGTCTGCCGAGTGAACATTGCCGGTCACTATATTATCCTGGTAATCAAACAGCCTATCGTTGTCGGTCGAGACTGGAGTTGCATGTAAGGATTTGTAGAGAGCGTAGGGGTTGATCGTGGTGTCGCGGACAAGTGTGATGTTGTTCAGGGCGACTCTCTTAGTGGAGAGTTCAGAGATACTGTGCAACAGTAAGCTTCAATGGTAGTAGTTGACTCGGGCAAGGAGGCATACTTATTGACGGAAATCTCCTCAAGCACCGACTCTGCCTCTTCCGATTTTCCCTGGCGGATCAATACATATAGCTGTTGCACAGCAATCGGGAGCAGCTCAGCGGCTTTATCTTCGGGTGAAAGGTCCTCCGATGTCCGGCATAGCTCTGCGCAATGATGATCAGCGACCGCCTTTATGGTGACTCGGCTGGTACAAACCTTTCGCCCGCTTGAGCAACATTTCTCCCTGACCAAATTCACCCTTGGCGATACTCAGACAGGCAGCGTTATAGACGGTCTCAAACGCCTCCAGATCATCTCTCGTGGGCCTGTTATGGCGGACATAGTTGGGGTATCCTTTCCATTGTAGCTGGGCATCCACAGCCCACGCATTGATCCGCAAGTCGTTTTCTTCGTTCGCAAGGGCAATTTCGTCTTTAGTCAGTTCTTCGTAGAGATCAGCTGCACGGCGGAATTTCTCGGCGCGATAAGTCTACAAGACCAGGTGGTTAGCAGTGACCTTCTGCGGGGACTTGCGGTCGGAAGACAAGTAGCGATGACATACGGCTTGAGCCTCCAAATGACGGGCACCTCTATCATTCGCAACTTGTGAAGCTACCTCGATGGCCTCATCTAGGTTCGCAGTTTTGTACAGAGCGTAAGCGTATTCTAAAGCGGCCCTCTTCTTCAGAGCATCACCTCCCTCTTCGAAGACACGCAGAGAGTCCTCGTAGCGGTCGAGCTTTAGCAATGCCACCACCTTCACATGCTGCGCCTGAATATCCGATTTTGATTTAGCTAAAGCTGCGTTGGATGAGCGAAGAACTTCCTCGTGATCGTCGATCGACGTCCGCTGTAATAGCGAACTCAGCGATTGGGTAGCCATAGTGAGACGTGTGTATTAGACAGCAGTCGGTCGGCAAGATAGTCCGTTTAGCCCAATGAGGGCACGAATTCGATTGGAGGTGATGGTGTTACTTGACAAGACAGTCCCATATGCTTGATTGGACTTTGACTGGGGAGCGGGTTGACTGTGCTTGATCTCCAGATACTCCGATGTGGACTATCTGTGCGGAAGTGAGATATTACTCCATTGGGGAATTCTGCACTCAGAGATCGTTTGGCTCGCCGTAGTCCTGCTTGGCCATTATCTCTTGAATTGACGGCCAGAGTTTTCAGGCATCTATAGTGCATCCATATGTATTCCATATCTGGCTGAAAGGGTTACCTAGATAAAGTATGGATTGTTCTTGAACTATATTATTATTAATACTCTCTGTAGTATCCGTAGTTACTCCGTATTATTACTTCTTCGGATCGCTGTTTCTACAAGCCCATTCGGAGCGACCACAGACCATCTGTTTCAAGTGACCAAGCCCATGGCTCGATAGTGTATACTATGTATAGGTTCTTTCCCCTTTTAGTGAGAAAGTCAATCATAATGTGTCACACACCCTGCAAGGTTTCGGTGGCTTTTCATGGCACCTTGCTGCTATCAAATTTGAGGCACGGCTAGAACATGCCAGACCCTAGTACAGGGTCTAGGTCTAAATGTCTTCTCCCCTGGAGTTGGGGGAGATATTAGTCTATTTCACCGCATGTCTATATGCCCCTTTGCAATGTAGGTTGCTCGAAGTGGTGATAGCTATTGAAGCTGAGTTGGATATATTCCAAATTTCCACTCTCCCAAGTCTCTCCTGCACCATCTTTTATATATACAACGTCACGTTATCAGTTCCTCAATTTGGTATGAGATGTATGCCAAGAGTATCTGACAAATTTCCAAAATCAGGTGATGTTGATGAACTTTTGATGGAGAGTCCGCCTTCCACGACCAAGATTGAGGATCAATGAAGCATATCAGATATCGATGATCTATTTTTAAAAATCTATGCATAGACATCCATGTTCCAGTGGCGTGGGATATATGCAAGCTATTGACAAGATTGACAAGGAAGGAAAGGTAAAAAAGAAAAATAATAAAAAAAAAAAGGGAAAAGAAAAAGTCAAAAAGACCCATCGGTATAGTATGAAATGAACTAAAACGGATGAAAAGGAAATGATGCCAAGCGATTGGCCTGCAGCCGTCGTCATCATCCCGTGGGCCCCCCCGCCGCATACCCTTTCCTAGGGGATCGTCTCCAAGGAATGTTTCCCGCCCGTCTCCGTTTGCAACACTTCCTTTTGCGTGGATGGAAGTGAAAGGTGGTGTGTCAATGCCAATTGCAACTGCAACCCCCCTAACAGATGTATCGTCTCGATATCCGGTCAAAGTTGCATGATCGGGGATGGAACAGCATTGCCAATTGCGCAATAGGATCGATATCACAAGCGCTGTAAGTATGGAGGGCTTCAACGCCACTGACCACAAGTCCCAAGCCAACGAAATTCTCCTATTTGGGATCCACAGCCGATCAACCCCTGTGAAAAAAACTGTTGCTGGATCAAGGCTCCATGAGGCAGGTGCTGCCCTGACAAGGAGACGTAATCTCATTTGATGGCGATGAAAGCTCGATCTCCATTTTTTTCTCCAAAGGACCCAGAGTGGCCAGTCCCATGGTCGATCGTCTGGGCCTTTCTCCGCTTGGAAATGATTGCTTTCGTTGCCAGTTCCTTCTTTGCGTTCCCCTCCAGAGTCCAAAGCCGAAAACCCAGGGCGAGAGATTCGCTGGCTGTTAAATCCATGGTCCAGGGTCTCCGTTGATCGGCTGGATCTTTGCCTTCTTTGCCTCCCTTGTACACCCAAATCTGCTTAATTATCGGTCCGTTAGTGTTTAGATACTGACTTATGACCACCGTTGCTCCCGTTGCCGTCATTCCGACCCCGTACTGACCTTCATAACCTGTTTGGAGCATTTTCTCTCGTTTCCTGTTTTTATTCATCGTCTTGTATACTATCTCTCTCTCTTTCCCCTCATCCTCCACTCGTTACCGCTCGTCTCCTTCATCCCACCTTTGGTGCCGTGTTGGATGGTCGAGATGCTTATGCTTTTCTAGTGCGGTACCTAATCTATTTTTAATATTTTTACCCGTTCAGCTATTCACCTTTAGAATCCATAATGTTGGCGAAAGTTGGGGAGAAGCCCCCTGCGATGGGTGCCTCGCGGGTATGGAAGAAAAAGATACTTCGTTTTACAGTCATTCTCTGCTTGGTGAGCGCTTTTGCGTATTTCCTCTGGCCTCAGATTGAACCCCAGGAGATTGCTGCCGATACCATCTCGAATATCACAATCACGTCCAGTGTGCAATGCGAGCCGGACTTCGACGCTCTTCGCCGTCTCGATGTTCATAAATTGTCGGAATATACGCGCCGGGAAGTGATCGCCGTTCCTTCTTCCAACGATGCCCTGCCCGTCAGGCAAAATCTCCAGACGCCCTTGTTCGGGCGGAAATCGTCGAATGACGTCGATCGCCTCTCGATGCAGCAGTCGCAGGACGATTGCATGATCCCAGAGCCTGTGACTGTCCAGGTTCTCCAGCCTCCAAGAAATGTGGACGCATCACACATTGACTTCGGTGTTGCGACAACGCTGGGACGGTTGAATGAGTCCTTGGATGCGTTCTCTCACTGGGCTGGCTACACTAAAACCCGCATCTTCGCTCTCATTGAGCCTGATAAGGATAAGCGAACACATGAGGTCCAGGCTAAGGCTGACTCTCTCGGAATCAATTTGTATATTACGGAAAATGACGAGGAGTATCAACGCCGGTACTTCACGTTGGTCTCACACCTGGGGAAGCACATGCGGCCGCAGACGCGATGGTCCTGCGTCATTGATGATGATACCTTTTTCTTGTCCATGTCTGAACTCGTGAAGGCTCTTGGGGAATATGACGATACTCAGCCCACATATGTCGGCGGTCTTTCGGAGTCTATCCCGCAGATCGGTGTGTTCGGTTTGATGGGATTTGGAGGCGCAGGCGTCTTCTTATCTCGACCCCTCGTGGAGGAAATCAGCAAGCCCGAGGTCTTTGAAGCCTGTCTGAATACGGACCACACCGGCGATCGGAGGATATCTTTGTGCATTTACCAGCACACCTATACACACCTGACCATCAACCACCGCCTGCACCAACTTGACGTCCAAGGCGACGTATCGGGATTTTTCGAGTCGGGGCGGCAACCACCTCTTTCTGTCCATCATTGGAAGTCGTGGTTCCATATGGACATGGCCAAGCTCAGTGTCGTCAGCGAGCTCTGTGGCGATAGTTGTCTCCTACGGCAATGGAAGTTCGCCGACGGGTGGATCCTGACGAATGGCTTCTCGGTGATGAAGTATAGCCAGGAGCTCGATCCGAATGACAAGACCATGGAACTTACATGGGAAGGCCAAAACGGCGCAGTACACGAATCCTTCCTGCACGAATTCGGTCCTTTGCGTGGAAAGGACTGGGAGAAATTCAGCTACGTGCTGGAAGACTCTGTTCTGGACGGCAACAAAGTACGGCAATGGTACGTCCATCGCGATGCTGAGAAGGGTGACCAAATTTTAGAATTGATTTGGCGGGCTCAATAGAGGACTACATGTTTGAGTTCTCAGTTTGGCGTCTGGGGTGTTTCTATCTTACTACATTCAATCGGCCCTTTTTTATGCCTCTTTTCTACCATTCGTCGTTGGCCAGGGTGTGCGTCACAACTCTCTGGCCACCACATTTACCCACATACCCCCCCTCCCCTTTCTGTTTATAGATAAAAGAATGCCCTTCGGTGGAAGCGTATATATGGTTTAATCCTCACAGCGGATAGATTATGAGTTTCGTTATTTATTTCTGATGATATCAATTTGTGCAATACGAGTGATGCATGGTTCGGACCTCCCTTGTTTGCTGTTCTCTCGTTCATAGCCCAACCATTGCTGGAGCATATATCGGAAATGCGAGGATCTAGATTTTGGAACCAGTGCTCTCTGGGTTACTATATAGAATGAAGACCAGTTTTCTATTTTTCATATCTAGATGAACAAGTGTATCTTCATCACGGTATGTACAGTAATGATCATTAACTGATTCTATATAATCTCATGCTCATCATAACCAAAGAAGCAACCCCCGAAGCTCCTAAGATGTCCACGCCCCAATTGCACCATTTCCATCGGCCTATATACAAAACGGTCCATATTATATACGAGAGGAGGAACCCCAATTCCAAATGCACGCTTGCAAGCGTATATACACATCTCTTACTTCACCTCACCCCACCCCAACCCCAACCACACAAACCCAAACGCAGCCGGAAAGGAAAGGGAAAGAGAATCCTTCAAAATGAGATCTCTGACCCAGCCGGCGCCACAATCCTCTCCCCCGCCTCATTCTCCCCCCGTTCCTGCAAATTATCCGAGACCCCTATTAAACCAAACCCAGATTCATCCGCCCGCCACGAGATCGACCCCGCAGATGGTGGACCACCAAACGAAGGCAGAAAGTCGCTGATGGAAAGTGAGCAATCGAAACTGAGGATTCCGCGACTTTGTTCCACGAGGGCGGGGAAGAGGTACGATTGGGATCCGCGGATGCGGGATAGGGTTGTGAGAATGCCCCAGAGGAGTTCGCGGGGGTCGATGGTGGATTCGGCCAGGTGGTGTGCGGCTTTTGTACTTAGGGAGCGGGACACGTCTGCTACTGAGGTGCCTAGGTCGTAGAGTTTTTGTTCCTGGTGGGTGGAGTGAGTGATGGATAGAGGTGTTATGGGGGTGGCGTGAACGCGACTTACCATTCCGATGCCGTGGGCGTCAACGGCGCCTTGGGATGCCGCGGCGATGACGCCCATGACGGCTTTGCCGACTAGCACGGGCAAGTGGAAGGGGAGAACGGCGTCGTCGCGGGAGACGGGCTGAGTTGCGTGGGTCATGGAGAGTTTCCACATCATGGTTTGCAGCCATTGCTGGGTGATGAGAATGTCTACTTTTTGGATTTCGGAGACGCCTTCGAGGGAGATTTGCTTGGCGAGGCTGGATTGGATGGACGAGGTAGGCGGGGGGTCGCCGTCTGCGCTACTGCTGCCGCCGGCGGAGACCCAGTCGTAGAGATTTGGACTGAGCTTTTCGAAGACGTTGATGAGGTTGATGAAGCCGTAGGCTAGGATTGGGTCGTCTGAACAGAGGACTTGTGGTTTGTGGATGGAGTTGCGGAGCATGACTGGTTTTGCTTGTTGTAATGCGTAGCCTCTGATTTTGATTTTTTGTTTTCTTTAGCGTTATGAAGTTTAATGCGGTTGGAAAAGTAGGTTTAATTTACCTTTCTGTGACGAATAAGAGCCAGAATACTCTTCTTTTCTCTTCTGCTTCTTCGACGCTTAGTTTCGAGTATGTGGATTCCCGTTGCAGGCCTAGTGTGAAGACCATGGACGTGGTTTGGCACAGGTAGAACCAGGCCTGGTCCTGTCTGTCTAGATTTCCGTAGGCGGCGAAGAGGAAGAAGGAGGTTAGGAGGTTTTCCATATTGATTTCGTCGACCACGTTGTATTCCTTTCTTGCGCGCACGGCTTCGGCCAGGAGTTCTTCTCCGGACAACATGGGGTGTCCATCGAGGCTGGCTTGCGCGGAAGCCGAGTCGGGGCCCGGCGTTGCACCGTCCAGCTTCAGTTGGATATGCGTGGCCGCGCATAGAGCGGCAATGAAAGCATATCGTTGGGGAGACAAGCGTTCCGGCTGGTGGCAGTCCTGCTGCAGTTGGTCCTGTCTCACGATGGGCATGATCGGGAACAGGTACTTGAAGAAGACATTGACATGGGCTAGAAGGATTGGTGCCGACAGACGGCGTGGCGCGGGGAGGGCGCCGATAGTAGATGAGTCGAATAAGGAGTTTGTTGAATCGGGAGAGGAGACGAGATCTGGGGGTGGGAGTCGAGTGAACGACTCCGAGAAGTCAGGATGTGGATACTGGGCGTCCGTTACGGTGAACGGCGGAGACGTCGGAGACGCCAAATGGCACGCTCCTGGGTCTGGGGGCAGCCATTCTTTAGTGAGCGGACGCGGTCGTGAAGCCAGTGGATGGATGGGAGCGAGAGGGTAGAGAGTGCGGAATTTGGGGCCCTTGCGACGGAGCACGTCGCTGTAGGAGCAAGAGAGTAAAAGACGTTGGCACTTGTCGCATGGAAGCTCCCTCGAACATTTGATTTTGCGTCGACGGCAATTGTCGCAGGCCTGTTTAGCTGGCTTTTCTGGGGTTGTGGACGGTTGTGACTCCATATTCCTTTTCGGAGATGAGGGAGAGATGATCGGTTGGGGATTTGAGATATGCTCGGATACTAACTCGCCGATGTGGAGCCTTTAGAATTCATTGCATGCCGCAAGAGCTACTAGGAGAATGACCGACGGAAAAGATGGGGATAGTTGAGCCGGGCTGTGTCGCCATCACGGTTTTGGGGCGTTAGGATTGAAGGAAAAGAGAAGAAATCCGGGGAACAATAGAAAAAAAATTAAAAGCCCCCGCGTTACTTTTGCAAGATGAAAGGGATTAATCTACCTGGCGTGAGTCTACTCCATCTTAGTCTTGATTTAGTCCGTGCCCTAAAGGTTCCCTAGCGTCGTTCCTAACAAATGGTAGGACCCATCGGGAACAACCCGTTACCAGGTCTCATCAGGATTCGTTGTCGAGCCGTGATTATTAGTTATATTTAACCACGTTATACCCCATCTAGGCTAACGGCCGCTTAAGAATGGTGGAAATCATGTTGTGAGGAAGCGTGGTAGATAGATGCAGGGAATGTATAACCACCCTGGGCCATAGTGTGCGGAGAAGTCTGTGCATAAATCAACCTTAGCAACCTGAGGGGACCGGCCGTGCCACACAGGATTAATATTCGAGCATAATCTAGTCAGGGAATCAAAATCAAGAAGGAAAAGAAGTGTCACGTAATGGTTATTCCAGGATAGAGGGCAGCACTTTATGAACCTAGCCTGCTATTTCAGAAAAGGATATCGCACCAAAGGCTGTATACTCGTACAACATGGGAGGGATGTAAGGGGAGGAGGCATCGCGCTCGGGAAGCCGAGGTCAGAGACAGAGAATGAATGCCATGCAAGAGATTGTAACATCGCCGAAGTTTCCACGAGCCGAAGAAATGCCTATGACGACAATCCATTCTTAGTCTGGGCCCTGGGTCCCCACGGGGACTTGATTCCTGGCCCAAAGACAATTCCCCGTATTTGGAGCTTGTTGCCCATCCCAATCAGCCGATAACTGGAAGCCATTCGGATGCTCCCGTCATGGCACCACTCGAAATGGTGTGGAAAACCCTCACCGGCACACCGGAGGGGGTTTAGGCACCTGGGAATGCGAGGTGGGGTATGAGGTATTTGAGAGTATTGACTCTGGTCGAAATACTACCTTTTCCAGGGCTCAAGCGTCCTTGTCGGGCATTTATCGGGGCATGGACCAATCACCACCGCGCAATCAGATGATCACGAGCATTGGCCAGGAACGTTTCCAATTTCCGGACACGGGAGTTTTGTAAACTACTCCCAAGAGTCAAGACACTCTTTTCCGGTCTCGTCTTGTGCTCGGCAAAGATTCATCTCCCATCGTCGGCTTCGCCGTTACTCTTTCATTACGTCCCAAAAGGCTTGATCATGCTGTCTCCACTCGGTGCGGGTGAAGCCACTTCATTGCTGCGTAGGACCGGTACTCTTCCAATCAATGTGACTTCTTCCCCCGCATGGGAGAGCTTGCAGGCATTGCCCCTCGGACGTTTGACGGGGGAATGGCTTGCCTTCATGGCAGGTAACACAAATCGTTGAGAACGGGACGGGTCATGAATTTATGGGATCTCCTGTGGAGGCCTGGTTCGTAAAGACATATATATCTAGTTACATTACCGGTTCAGAGACGGCAAAGGTGTCCGTTTCCTAAAAGAAAAACTGCAACACCGTTGTCCGGCATCAGCTTGGTGGACCACGCCATGGCCGGTCTAAAAAGCTTTCTTGCCAGTTCTTGGCTGCTTCCAGTGGCTTATGGGGCGAGTCAATCGCTCATTCCTAGCACTTCTGCGACAGCGGCATACTCGCAATTCACCATTCCCGCCTCTGCCGACGTGGGCGCGAATTTGATCGCCAATATTGATGACCCCCAAGCGGTCAACGCACAATCTGTCTGTCCGGGTTACAAGGCCTCAGATGTGAAGCATACCTCCCAGGGCTTCACCGCTAGCCTGGAGTTGGCTGGAGACCCTTGTAATGTGTATGGAACAGATGTTGATTCGTTGACCCTGACCGTGGAATATCAGGCAAAGGATCGTTTGAACATCCAGATTGTTCCAACGTATGTTGACGCCTCCAATGCCTCCTGGTACATTCTTCCGGAAGAGTTAGTGCCTAGACCAAAGGCTTCCCAGAATGTATCGGTTCCCCAAAGCGATCTCCTTGTCTCCTGGTCCAACGAGCCTTCTTTCAACTTCAAGGTGACCCGGAAAGCTACGGGTGACGTGCTATTCAACACAAAGGGTTCTACACTAGTCTATGAGAATCAATTCATAGAATTTGTCTCGTCGTTGCCTGAAGAATATAACCTATATGGCTTGGGAGAGCGGATGAACCAGCTGCGACTACTGGAGAACGCCAATTTGACTCTATATGCCGCAGATATCGCAGATCCCATTGACGAGTACGTATCTGGCAATCGATGATGCCCATTAAGTTTTAGGCTAATGCGTATACCTCTAGTAACATCTATGGGCATCATGCATTCTACTTGGATACCAGATACTACAAGGTGGATGGTCGGAATATGACCCATACCATAGTCAAGAGCAGCGAGGCGGAACCATCTCAAGAATATGTCTCATATTCTCACGGAGTGTTCCTCAGGAATGCCCATGGACAGGAAATTCTCCTGCGGGATCAAAAGCTGATCTGGCGCACTCTGGGAGGAAGCGTTGATCTGACCTTCTACTCTGGCCCAACTCAAGCAGAGGTCACCAAGCAATATCAACTCAGCACCGTGGGGCTGCCTGCCATGCAGCAATATAACACGCTTGGATTTCATCAGTGTCGCTGGGGCTATAACAACTGGTCTGAGTTTGAAGACGTTCTTGCTAATTTCGAGAGATTCGAGATTCCTTTGGAGTACCTCTGGTAAGAAACATGTTCATCGCTCATTTGGCTCCCTTCTGACGCCTAGATGTAGGGCCGATATAGATTACATGCATGGATATCGCAATTTTGACAATGACCAATATCGCTTTTCATATGAAGAAGGTGAAAAATTTCTCAACAAGCTTCACGATGGTGGACGTCGCTGGGTCCCAATTGTTGACGGAGCTCTTTATATTCCCAATCCCGAGAACGCTTCTGATGCGTGAGTGACCATCTTTTACACACCCTCTCTAAGCTGTAGGCGAAGACTCACCGTGATTCTAGGTACGAAACTTATGACAGAGGCGCCAATGATGATGTTTTCATCAAGAACCCTGACGGCAGTCTCTATATTGGCGCGGTCTGGCCTGGCTATACTGTCTACCCCGATTGGCATCACCCCAAGGCCTCTGAATTCTGGGGCAATGAGCTGGTCACCTGGTGGAACAAGCTGCATTATGATGGGGTCTGGTACGACATGGCTGAAGTTTCTTCCTTCTGCGTAGGGAGCTGTGGAACCGGCAACCTGTCAATGAACCCGGCTCACCCGCCGTTCGCTCTGCCCGGCGAACCAGGGAACGTTGTCTACGATTATCCAGAGGGTTTTAACATCACCAATGCTACAGAAGCAGCCTCAGCATCCGCTGGGGCAGCAAGCCAATCTGCAGCGGCGGCATCCACAACTACATCAGCCCCCTACCTGCGTACGACGCCCACCCCTGGAGTTCGTAATGTTGACCATCCTCCTTATGTTATCAACCATGTCCAAACTGGCCACGACCTGAGCGTTCACGCCATCTCACCAAATTCTACACACTCGGATGGAGTTCAAGAGTATGATGTACACAGCCTTTACGGCCACCAAGGCATAAATGCAACTTATCACGGATTGCTCAAGGTGTGGGAGAACAAACGCCCCTTTATCATCGCACGCTCCACATTTGCCGGCTCCGGGAAGTGGGCCGGTCACTGGGGTGGTGATAACTTCTCTAAATGGGGATCGATGTTCTTTTCAATCTCGCAGGCCCTTCAGTTCTCGCTCTTTGGCATCCCTATGTTTGGTGTTGACACCTGTGGTTTTAATGGAAACACTGATGAGGAGCTATGCAACCGATGGATGCAGCTCTCGGCCTTCTTTCCGTTTTATCGCAACCATAATGTTCTCTCTGCAATTCCCCAAGAGCCTTATCGGTGGGCATCCGTGATCGATGCCACTAAGGCGGCGATGAACATTCGCTACGCCATTTTGCCCTACTTTTACACCCTGTTCCATTTGGCCCACACCACTGGATCTACGGTCATGCGTGCACTGGCGTGGGAATTCCCGAACGACCCCTCCTTAGCTGCTGTGGGCACTCAATTCCTTGTTGGTCCCTCGGTCATGGTGATTCCTGTTCTTGAGCCACAGGTAGATACTGTCAAGGGTGTCTTCCCAGGCGTTGGACATGGGGAAGTCTGGTACGATTGGTACACTCAAACAGCTGTTGATGCAAAGCCCGGTGTCAACACAACGATCTCAGCACCACTGGGTCACATTCCAGTCTTCGTTCGTGGTGGTAGCATTCTGCCAATGCAGGAGGTTGCACTGACCACCCGCGACGCTCGCAAGACCCCCTGGTCTTTGCTTGCCTCGCTGAGTAGTAATGGAACTGCCTCTGGCCAGCTCTACCTCGATGATGGAGAAAGTGTCTACCCAGAGGACACGCTTTCGGTTGAGTTCCTGGTGTCCAAATCCACTCTCCGGGCTTCTGCTCGGGGTACTTGGAAGGAGGCAAACCCACTAGCGAATGTGACTGTGCTTGGTGTGACTGAGAAACCATCCTCAGTGACACTAAATGGCCAGAAGCTCCCGTCCGACTCTGTCAAGTATAACGCCACCTCACAGGTTCTTCACGTTGGTGGCTTGCAGAAGCAAACAGCGGATGGTGCATGGGGGAAGGATTGGGTACTGGAATGGTGAAGAAAGCGTAATAGGATAGCCTAGATCCACATAGTTCCTATGTACATTTGCACAATATGAATTAATGAATGCAAAAACTGCAGCGAATCGGACATCCGTAGCATAAGGCTGAAGACTTTACGTAAATATTCTGCAGCAGATCTGCAAGACCAAAGGAGCAAAATCCCGGTTGGCAACTGCTTCTACGCCCAAGTCCATCACGGATTAAATCCCAGCATCCACATCCACACCCACATCCACGAGCATCGGACGCACCAACCAAGTAGAGGCAGGAAAGCGTGAAACCCCAAGAAAAACGTCGGGCCGTCGGACTTTTCTGCAACGCTGATCAACGGCCGCGATCCAACCAACTCCCTCCAGAGTGACTAGGGGCGGAAATTTAAAGGAATTAATTTCAACTCAACCACAAATCACAGTCGGCCCCGGTATTGTCCTGCAGAATGCAAATTAAACGGTTCTACGAATCGCTTGGATTCCCCGCCCCTGGCAGTATAGCTTAAAGTATGTCACTTGCTCTATGTGATGTATCACAACATATAAATACTAGCAAGGGATGCAATGCTTGGAGGATAGCAACAGACAACTTAAACGTACAACATATCAAACTTGAAGCTCCCTCTTCTCTGCTTGATAAAAACCCCACGAAAGGCATTCAGGATGGTTGCCTGGTGGTCCTTATTTCTTTACGGTCTTCAGGTCGCGGCCCCTGCTTTGGCTGCAACACCTGCCGACTGGCGATCGCAATCCATTTATTTCCTTCTCACAGATCGATTTGCAAGGACGGATGGGTCGACAACTGCGGCTTGTAACACTGAGGATCGGGTCTGCTGTCCCCTATTAGTTTTCAACAAGAGGAATGTAAAACTGACTCAGTATAGAAATACTGTGGTGGAACATGGCAGGGCATCATCGATAAGGTAAACCGCTCACTCAATCAAAAGAAGAAGAAGAAAAAAAAAAAGAATTCTGGTCCTAACCATCACTTAGCTGGATTATATCCAAGGAATGGGCTTCACAGCCATCTGGATCACCCCCGTTACAGGCCAGCTGCCCCAGAACACCGCATACGGAGACGCCTACCATGGTTACTGGCAGCAGGATATGTAAGTCACCTACTAGTACCATCTTACGCATAAATATGAACTAACTTGAAGAGCTTAGATACTCTTTGAACGAAAATTACGGCACAGCAGATGACTTGAAGGCTCTCTCTTCGGCCCTTCATGAGAGGGGAATGTATCTGATGGTCGATGTGGTTGCTAACCATATGGTTCGTGGTCCTCTTTGATTGACTTTGCACGCATGGTTTATTTCAATACTGACAATGAGTAAAATCAGGGCTATGATGGAGCGGGAGCCTCAGTTGATTACAGCGTGTTCAAGCCGTTCAATTCCCAAGAATACTTCCACCCATTCTGTCTCATTCAAAACTATGAGGACCAGACCCAGGTTGAGGATTGCTGGTTAGGAGATAATACTGTTTCTCTGCCCGATCTCGATACCACTAAAGATGAGGTTAAGAATGAGTGGTACGACTGGGTGGGAACATTAGTATCAAACTACTCCAGTAAGATCTTTTACCCTCATTCTCTAACTTTGAATGATCGATGACACTTACGAAATCAGTTGATGGCCTCCGTATCGACACCGTGAAGCACGTCCAGAAGGACTTCTGGCCGGGGTACAACAAAGCCGCAGGCGTGTACTGCATCGGCGAAGTCCTTGACGGTGATCCGGCGTACACATGCCCCTACCAGGACGTCATGGATGGCGTACTGAATTACCCAATGTATGACACCCTTAACCATAAGCCTTCTTGTCGTTTCATCCGCTAACGAGATGTTCAAAACCAGTTACTACCCACTCCTCAACGCCTTCAAATCAACCTCCGGCAGCATGAACGACCTCTACAACATGATCAACACCGTCAAATCTGACTGTCCAGACTCAACACTCCTGGGCACATTCGTCGAGAACCACGACAACCCACGGTTTGCTTCGTAAGTTCTTTCTACCACCCGCTGTCATTTTTTTTTATAAAAAAAAAAAAAATACCCACCCACCTAACAAGAGACAAAAAAGATACACCAATGACATAGCCCTCGCCAAGAACGTCGCAGCATTCATCATACTCAACGACGGAATCCCCATCATCTACGCAGGCCAAGAACAGCATTACGCGGGCGGAAACGACCCGGCAAACCGTGAGGCAACCTGGCTCTCAGGCTATGCGACCGACAGCGAACTCTACAAGTTAATCGCATCCACAAACGCAATCCGAAGCCATGCTATCAGCAAAGATACAGGATTCGTGACCTACAAGGTAAGCATGGACAATTCTCCAACAATATGCAGCCAACGGGGCGCTATCTCCCTACCCCCCTCCCCCAAGAGTATCTGGAAAAAAAAAATAAATAAAGAAGAAGAGACTGACTAATCTGGGTAATACAGAACTGGCCCATTTACAAGGATGACACGACGATCGCGATGCGCAAGGGAACCGATGGCTCACAGGTCGTAACTATCTTATCTAACAAGGGTGCTTCGGGTGATTCGTACACTCTCTCTTTGGGTGACACGGGTTACACGGCCGGACAGAAATTGACTGAGGTCATTGGATGTACGACGGTGACGGTGGGCTCGGATGGAAAGGTGCCTGTTCCTATGGCGGGTGGATTGCCTAGGGTGTTGTATCCGACTGAGAAGTTGGCAGATAGCAAGATCTGTAGTAGCTCGTGAAAGGTGGTGATGATACTGGTATTTAGTCTGATTTTTCGGACTATGAGTTTGATATGTCTTGTCTGTCTGATTATATACGAGGTTCTTTTATTCTATAGTTGGAAAATGGGAATGTATCTCAGATTGATCGGATTGTTAGTAGTTACTCGGGTGTACAAGAATGTACCAGAGACTGAGGAAGTTGACTGTACCCGAGAAAAAAAGAGCAAGTACAAGAACATAGAGATCGAGAGAGAGAGGGAGAAGGAGGGAGGGAGAGAGCGGGCAAAGCAAACCCCCAATACAAGACAATAATATCCACTCAAAGGCCATATCCTCTTCTAGCATGAATAGGGAAGGTAACTGGCGCTGGGGAATCTCGCTCAAACTTGGAGTTATTGGGACTTTTATAGCTCTATTTGGTTTGATTTGACCGAGTTGTTCATCTAGGGATGGGTATGTTATGGCTTTATCCAGCAAGGAAAGAGAGATTGGAAAATACCTATACAATATAATCGTATGCAGTTAGTGGGGGTATATCATCCGTATTACTAGGTCTTGGTGAGATATCATAAGTCATTTGGATTTGCTAATCATGCCGTTAAGTACGTCATACATAAGTCCATGTCTAGAGAGAGGGGAAAGGGGTAAGGGAGGGGAGAGCTGCCAACTTGCTGAACGCAAGTTAGAAAGGTATACGTACCCTGTCCAGCTACATGTATCAATACAGTAATGGATCTCAAAAGTTGAAACAAAAAAAAAAAAAAAGGTAATTTGAATTAGGGTATGGGAGAAAGTATCGTATATCCAATATTTAATACGCGCCAGACCGTGTAAACCCACCCAGCCCAAACCGTCCTCAACACCATTTTCGTTATACTATTATTACGGTATCAAAAAGTTGTTAGTATGGCGCTGATCCCACAGGGATGGCTTCAGTCACAGCCATGCCACTAATGACATTTTCCGGAAATGACTGTGGCATGACCTCAGGGATCAGCTGTTCCAGAGCACCATATCCCTCAATCATATTATCTACCAGTGGTGGCACGAATTGTACCTGTTCCATGCTCATCTTCCGGGCATCTCCGAACGAACATTGAGAACCGTCGACTGCGCTGCAAGGGTCGTTGCATTCGGCACAGCGACGCTTGAACTCCGCTATCATGCATGAAAACCGGTATGCGATGTGGTCTTCATTTGGCGACAGATGCAGCAGAAACATCTGAATCTGGTCGATGAGGGGGTCGAGGAAGTTGAAGTCGCAAAGATTAAGAGCGGCATAACCGACAATGAAGTACGCCTGATCAACCACTCTCAGCGCGGTGACGAATCGGAGTTGCAGAAATCTCGAGATGATCAAGCGCGACCCCTGCAGGATTTCCGATGTGAGTCTCTCGGACTCCGCCTGGAACCTCATTGCTGTCCGATGCAGGAGGATCTGGCAGAACCAGATACTAAGCTCAAATGTTGAATTTTCATCGCCAGCTGTTAGATAGTAAGCATTTGTGCGAGATTAGTCCTCATAACTTCGCCTTACCGAGAAGATGAGCCCATTCCACCTTCCACCGTTCGATCTCTTCGTACTCAACATCCGCGAATCGCATACGTTGTTCGTTGGCTTGGAGTCGCAAAGTGATCAGATACAACTGAATCTCTGCCACAATTTTGCCATCCTCAACCGTTGCAGCGGGATGCTCAAGAAGTCGTGGGCAATAATCCAGATATCTCTGTGGTAAATGGAATGGACGTGCGTTGCCAACAGCGAAACTATTTCTGCATTAGCAAGTTCGAGTAAAACGGGAAATGGCGTGCTTACTGTAACTGTGTCAAGCAGAAAGCATTCCAGAGCCGCAACTGAGAAGCCATGTCGTTGTCAATGAGAAGCTCTGAAGGCACATGGCTGAGGAAGTCAAAGGAGACGAGGGCATGATTGATTGCAGTCCCGCTCAATAACCAGCCATCTATGGGGAACTCCTTCTGACCTGCCGCTGGCCATAGACAAAGAAGGGCGAGTGCCTGGAGCGATTCATACTTCAAAGGCGGTTTCTCCCACAGCAGATTGACTGCCTTATGTCGAACTTGGAGGTTCATGGCATGGAGAATCGGTGGTGGTATGCCTGGCACATATCGGGAGGCCAGCAGACAAGCAGTGCTATATAGTAATGAATCCGTATTCCTCATCTCATTATGGAAGTCGGACTGATTATTTATGGATACTAAGGGGCCGAAATTATCCACAAATCTAGTTCAAGCATTAGCGGCTATAGAGGTGGATGGATGCAACAAGTAACCATACAGCTGTACCAACTTAAGAGATAACTTAGAATCTAAGATACCCTTCTCAAGACTGTTACCTAAGAAAGGAGACTCGACAGGTATGCGGCTTGTCTCCCCAAAAAACTCGGATTGGAGGTCCTGAATTAGCCGAACGGGCTTAGGTAGGAAAGGGCCGAATGAGTTTCCCTCAATGGAGGCCGTTTCCTCCGTATGAACACTCCGAGCTAACGGAGGCACAGAGATATTAGAGACGCTTGGTGATTGATTCAAGATCTGCCGGAGCATGCCGGTCATCTCTCTCATACTCCTCTCTAGGGAAGTGAGACGCTCCTCGATGGAGGGGATAGCTGTCGTTGCGTCTGACCACATTGGAGCACTGTCTTGAAAGCGCTCACTTGTCTCAGGGAGCTGACAGTCGATTCTATAGAATCATTAGTACCGAAAAAGGCTTATTTGGTCTTGGCAGGACATGGGATCCCTCATTTTGACGTAAGAGATTGGGTAAAGTGGATAACGGTGGCACCCGACCTTAAAGATAGACACCGCCGGCATGCATGTCCTCGTGGATCAAGATCACACCGAGTTTTAAGCTTGCGGCAAGTATTGCAAGCGGTCATTGAACGTCGAATGCGGCCCTTTGGGCGTGTCGCGTCGTCGCCGACATTAGGAATGATTCTCCTGTGGTCGTCGGACACATGCACGCTCTTGTGCTCCCACGAAGGGGCCTCATATTTAATGGGTTCAGTAGTTCTAGTCATGACATCAGACGACGGATGTAGCCTGTCGCGTTGATGAAATGAATAATTGGCGGGCAAAACAAGCTGAGAGCAAGAATAATTGTGGAAACCAGGACAAATCCCGTGCAAATCATTGAGAATCCACACAGGTGGGGAGGGAACTGACCCTTTTAACAGCCCACGGCCGGGCGTGAAGAGGAGATTGTGCTAGCTCGCAGGCAGTTGACGAAATAGGCTCCATTAGGTTGACTATCCATTTCGACCTGGGGTAAATTCGAACTAATCGGAGCATTTCAGCCAATCCGTGCAGATCCGAGTCTCTAGGGTGCGGTTTCTAGAAGAATAGAAAGGGTGATTTGGCATACTAGGAACTGCAACAAGAGAGGGGTTGATTGACGTGCGCCATTGCAGCTGCGCCTCCGATGTAAGCCGGTTCCATAGGGAGTCCCGCTTCCATGAGGGGGTTGGGTTGGGTTGGCTAAGGTTGACGCCGACCTGAAATTAGCTAAGGACTGCCACTAATCTTGAACTTCGGTGATTTGTCGATAGCGTGTGTCTCTTATCATGGCGGGTTGAAGATTGCGATCGGGCATACCCCCCAAAAGTAGAAGGTGTGTCTGAATTTTGCTCATTCGTCATGACTCAGGAACAGCCGTTTTTTTTTTCTCTTTCTTTTCTTTCGCTCATCCTTAATTTGCTTTCCGCGTTCTCTCGTGTAAGACTTGGCTCACCTCTCAGGGACATGTCTGAGCGTCGTTGCTGATTTGAAGAAGCCCGGGTGATCTAAGATAGGAGGCAAGCCGATCACGCAGATCATGAGATATCAGATCCTTCGAAGTATGGGCAATAGGATACGCGCGATTGCCTTATAAACCCGTATAAACTGGCTTTTGCTTGAAGATTTTTCTTCTTTACTTCAAACAGCGAATCCTGCAATGCAACCTTGATCCCCTGGCCTAACGGTTACCCACGGGCTTGTTCCTGGTTATTGCATAGTGGCATGATAGCGTTCTGCCACCCGCTCTTAGGTTTCTTAGCCAACAAAATCAGGGCATTGCTGCAGTTCTGTTCTCAACACCCTTGACCGCTGGTCTGATGCTCGTCAGGCACGGCCGTTGAGGAGTGGTCTCTCTACAATTCATCCCGAGTCATCTGCTTCTTGTCAGGGATTTGCATCCCTGCACAAAAGCGGAACCACTATATTAATTAAAGACTGTCGTGCTATTAAGGCCCTGGGATTCTCGGATATTCCAACCGCAGGATTGAAGTGGCCACCCGTCCGTAGTTGTGGAGCTTGGCTTGGGCTATACCTTTTCAGCAGTGCTCACTTCCGCTCATCTAGAATGCGGAACTTAGAATCAAACTTTGAGCTAACATTGTTTGACTGTATCGATGAGCGGAGGTAATGCAACCTTTCAGAACCCTCCAATTTCCGGCAACATTCGGTGATCTGACCGTCGTTGACACAACTTGGTCTTTCCCCTCACCCCCTAAATAATCGACGTTCAAGAAGTTTAGTGTGTCAAGCAATTTTAGTGCCACGCCAAACCACGATTTCTCCGGCATTAGACCTTTTAAGGAACGAGGCGCATTTGCCCCAATCATGTAGGCCGGAGAGGTTCTGAGGGGAAAAAAAGACGCACATTCATTTATCTTGCCCCAGTTTCTTCACATGCTTCCGAAGTCTCGCCAACCACATCAAGTTAAGGCCCTCGAGGATAGTGTGCGCCAAGAGTGTAACGTAAAAGGCACGAACTGGGCCCTTCTAAGCGGGTGATCGATTCTCAGCCAATCCTCGATCGTGCGTTGTTCATGCCAAGCGAGTCCCTGTCCAGGCTAACCCCGTTTGTAGTTTGGATGCGGTTCAGTACGAGGACCTGATCTGCATCATTGGCGATTGAACCAGTTGTGGACCCCACTGGCTTGATAGAATGGTTGCATCGGATATAACGTGTCTCACATGTTATCATTGGGCGACGCTTTTGAACCATCAGGAATAAACATTTGCTAGGATACCGAATCAGAACTCTGCATTATGCCCGACTAAGAAGATATCATATCATTCGCGACCCAGATGTGGGTTATTCGGATATCCCCGAAATCCAAGTGTAGCCCGTAGTCTGCAGTATCGCCATTCTTATCAAGAATCACAATATCGTACCTGCATCTATCTATATTAATTGATTAGTTGGAGGGAGGAAATTATGTGTCAATCTTTGCTAGTCTCGTCATTCTTTGCTGTTTTCGGAACATTCCACAGGAGGGAAGACGAGGATAATAAATCCTGCGCTAATGACTAGTAGTGCGTTAGCACACGGTCTCAATATATCACGGAATCAAGCACCGTTTTAACTTCCAGCCGCAGGGATCCTTTCACGGCCTTACCGTTCAGCGTGGAGCATTCGCTCGGATGTAGGCTCATTGTAGCCCTAGAATCATGTTCGGATAAGAAAACCGCGCGTTGGATATCTCCGCTGGTGTCGGATGCCTTCGGACGAGCTGGAAATTCATCGCAAACCCAGAGAATCAGTAGCTATAAGGTATATCCGAAAGTGTTCCTCTTGTATAGAAGACAAGTCTATCTAGATAGGACTGGCCGCAAATTGATGAGGTTAGGTGGGGGAGGTGGAGGGGGTGCAAGGATAATGAAGTGATGAAGTGTGGTGCAGCGCGTCCATGGAAGGCAGTCATGGCGCACATGATCCCGCACATGTTTCCCTGCATTTCTTCCTCAGACATGAGCCTCCATCCCTCTCTAATGCTATCCTTCAAGCTTCTGTCACAGCTGCACAGATGGATACCTGTTCCCACTCTAACTCCTAGTGATTACAGATTGCCAAGCGCTCTTGGGGTAACGTTCCATTCCATGACACAGAAAAATTGATATAGCGAGCTAACCCCAGGTTAGATTGTTAGGGCGTTTCAGCCCTGTTGCTACATGTGCTCATCATTATACATCGTATAGAATATCCGTTTTCAATATGACTTGACTAATGGTTTACATTTTGAGCAACTACATGTCATGGCATGTGTATCTCCAAGACACTAGTCGAAACATCGTCACATCAGCAAGTTGGAGATTATATTCGCCATGTATCTATTGTGGAGAAACAGCCATGGTTCCCCTCAATTGACATCACTTTACAGCGTCTCCTGAATAGGAAGCCATGCAGGCTTACCTAGGATCAGTACTTCTGAGCCGTCGATCAGCCAGCCTGCTTTGAGATTTGACCTCGAAGCTGATTGATTGAGAATATCGCAGGACGCCCTGGATCGTCCCGGTTGATGATCCCCTCGACGAAATAGGCAGTTCAAATATATTAAATCATCTCAAATGTCCTCTAACGTATGTCACAGGTATACAGGTGGCAAGGCAAAGGAGTCTTGGTAGTTGCCTTTGGCACTCTTTTTACCTAACAGATTTGCCGCGCTCCTATGGGCAAGGGTCCTGATACTGTTGGAACACACGAGGCTTGCAGCCGAAGCTCACTCAGGCAGCACTGCTTAGACTTGCAGAAGACACCCAACTGTTGCGCACTTCTAGCAAATTGCGCTGATTTCTGCACCTTTTCTTTTGGAAGTCAACGGTATTGACCAGCTTTTTGTTCCTCTAGACATTGATCGATCAGATATACTGGGGCGACTAGCAAACCATACAGTAAGAAAGCCCATGTATAATATTAGAATTTTGGTTGGAAGGCTTTTCAGGATAAAACAGCACCCAGGAGGGTTTTTTTTTTTTTTTTTTATTGGGGCTTTCAAGAAGCCTATGTTTTATAGCTACAAGAAAGGTCTTTGAATTCCTTCCAAGATATCGAGCAGACAGTATGCACTAACTAGGCATATAGCACACAACTTGGTCACCATACTGGCTCCGGTATATTGGTGTGCGCATCGATAGGAACATTTTGAAGATAGATCAACGTCCTAGGCCCTTGTCCCTATGTATAGCTCCACTTTTCACATGTCTGAGTTCTTACATGAGCTCCCCGGCATCGAAAAGGAGACTTCAGTACACAAGAAGCTCGGGTTGTGGGTTCTATGCTTCGCAAGCAGTTCGCATTGTAATTGATCTATACCCCTGGTGCTAGGTAGTCGCGGCTGTATAGCAATATACGAAAGGAATATACTATGAATTAACACCACAATGATCTAGAGAGGCAAAGTTCTCAGGAGATATCTAGCTCGTTATTCTCCCTCATGCTTGAACTCTCAATCAACAGTTACTAACTTGATTAACATTGAGTATGCGTCATCATTTAGCTCCCGCTCGGCCTAATACAATGTTTCTACACTATTCGTCAATTTAACAAGCATCATCTCGCGTGACCTTATGAAATACGATTGCTCTACATAATCATTGGTAATTAGGCGGTTAACAAGGGACCCCTGCTTAGAATGTCAAAGCTAAAGATTTTTACTGCAGACAAACTAGCTGGGTTCGCCGTCACATATGCTGAATGTCAGTCATTAGTTAAATTCGGTGTGTACGTATAACAGACTCACGCTACTCCAGGACATTTATACAATTCTGATAGAATAGAGTTGTGCAGCCCACTATCCGATTATTCAATAGCTACCCAAAGTCATATTGGCCGTGGTGAGCTCTAGCTTATGTTCGATTGCCGCACATTAATCTGAGATTGATACTCTATGCAGAGGCGTGCGCCTATGTGTCGAGTATTCCAGGTGTACGGTGTACGGTGTCTGGTGATTGAACGAAGTTCACCCAATATCATACATGCCACACGGCACTTCTGCGATTTCATGAACGGTGCCAAATGCTACACGTACTCAGGTGACTGCGAGTGACTTGGTAGATAACATGAATATTGGTTTAACAGGTTTGTAAATAGGTTGGATCTTCAAACTTGCTTGCGGAGAAGGATGTAAAAGCTCTGTCGATGTATGGCATACCCCCGAGCGTGAATATCAATGGCTTTCTGGAAATTTCAAGGATATAAACTCTCATCTAAGCATATAGAAAGATATATCATTAATTATCGCGGAGGCATGAACTCGTCTTCCTCATTCCCAGCATATTATGAATAAGTCTGAAGTAAGAATTGCGACAATATGTTGGCGGCTTGAGTGCTAGAGATCATCTCGTGATGTGAGTGAGTCCTGAATTATACTATACTTGGTCTTGGACACTCATCTAAATCTTTACATCTATGTCGATTTGCGAAAGATAAGTTGTGTATATATATATTAAATTGGTTGCAGCAATGTAGAGTGCCAGCATCTGAACCGTCTTCTAACAACAGTATGACAGCAAAGGCAATGACTAGTGAGTAATGTTTTACCTACTTCTATCATATTGAATTGTGATATCTTCCTATGAAATAATCATCGAAATTATATATATCAAGCAATGCAAAATCGATTTTGTTCGCTTCTCAGCCATCGTTCTGCCACATAATCCACTTATATTCTATTGATGAACCCTCATAACAAAATCAAAGCAGTTCCACTCTTGAATCTATTTAATCAGATCTTTCAATATCCACATTGGCAAATTCAACTGGTAACGGCGAACAAACTAGCAAAGGACACATGTCAAGTGTACGCAACTTCGACAGGCCGAGGTTTATCACTGGAGTGTTGCGTTTTAGCAACATCAGTATGGCCCTGAGCCCGTTGTCAAACTTATCGTAGTTTGCCATGTGTCCTTTAGCCATTGGTACAGCATGGAGACAAGCTCTTCTGTTATTGCCAAAGACACCGACTACAGGCGGTTACTGTTCAGTTTATGCACATAGACCGACAGGAAAAACATTTTTGGAGTCCTTTTTTGCCTTTCACCACATATCGTGATTATATTATTCATTGGTGATTTTCGACTATCAGATTAAGGAGCCGAGTGGCGTAGTATGTCTCTCCCCATAGAGATAGCGGTATTGCGGTGAGCTTGCCCTTTCTTTCCCTTCTGTTATTTATTGTCTTTAGATAATTAAAATTGCGGCAAGGGAGCACCCTTAGATGGGAGGTACGAGGAACGAATAGGTCCGTAATTGTAATTGGAATAGAGGAGGTAGGGGATGTTGGGCATTGAGACACGACATGGTAATATGTCGAACTAGGGTGACGCATTCATGAGACTACAGGAGATAGAGGAGTAGTTATTTCCTGCAAGTATTGCGACTTCTAAAGATATATGTAAATATGTAAATAGTAAACTATGCTTAGCATATTACCTCAGTTCGTCCCTGAGGAACCCGGGGCATAAAACATGTCACTTGAAGCCACCAACAAAGCGCTTTCATAATAGGAGGAATCATGATGGAGAAAGATAGAACCCACAATATTGTTTCCAGTTTCGAAAACGAGATGCCCCTAGGTGTTCGACAAAGTCTCGCTAGAGCCTCGATTGTATGTATCCTGTACGGCAAATCGCTAATGCTGCTGCGCATGGTTTCGCCGTTGAATATAGTCTGGAATGGCGAAGAGGACCATGTCACAGTCGGTCATGAGACACATGATTCCAGCCCAAGGTATATAACGAATGCATACGCGATGTGCAGCCGATAAAAATGATTCCGTGCACGAATGAGAGTGCGCGATTTCCAATAGGATGCGTTGTGGTGTGATCCCACTTCAATGGACCGCGATCCACATAACAATGAAGTCGCCACCTCCTACTCTGTATGCAGTAGGGTTACCGGCTCCAGTGTTGGGATAGGCAGCAACTCTCGAAGCGAGTTTCGCTGCTGCATCTTTCATGTGAGTGCTCATTGTCGCACATATGACCAAAGGGTCACACAATCCAATCCCCTTACTGATGGATAATTAGTAAGGCTTATGGGGACTACTGATGCCTAGAACCGAACTTCGCATGGATCTCATGGCTTTGTCGCGTAACAAGTTCTAAGGCTATGGTATGGGATTTGCAAAGAAAACATGTGGCTACAAAGATTGTCAGATGGAGATTGTTCGTAAGAGGAGTTTCATGATAGAACAAGAACCAAACGTAGTAGGGGTAGGGGAGGAAGCAAAACCTGGAAGTTGTTGAAAGGGCAAAAACTTGAGTGTTTTCTGCCCCTGACCCAAAGTATGGCATCGGAGGAGTGGAGGTTGTCAAATTTTTTTTATATTTTCATTTTTCATTCTTGGCCACTGTCTTTCAATGCCGTACTCCATTGTCGCACATTTGAAAAGTTTGATCTTTGCACAGCCTGTAATGATTGGTCATCGCAACCATTGCTTTCACAGGAACAAAGAGATTTTTTCTTTGTTCGACCACATGGTAGATCATCTAGAACCTTATTGCAATCAACCGGGCAGTTTCGCCATTCGGATCACTAGATTGTCAATAGTGCTGAACGTTTAGGATATGCCAAACATACAATAGAACAAAGCATATCTTAAGAACATGGGGTAATGGCTACTACTGAATTAGGAAGGCAGCCGGACAACCCGGACCCGATCATGGACACTTCTGGCATCTGCAAGGTAATCACCCGTCGATCATCCAGATAAGTATACGGAGTGTGATGAACTACTGTTCGTAAACACTACCCAGATACTCGAAATGTCGCACCAGAGGGCTACTACTACCCCACTGTTCTAGAAAGCATTGAGAAGCGAGGGGGACATCCGTGGGTAACGAGTTGGAGAGTTAGGTTTGAGACTATGCAATAGAGTCTCGCACTATCGAAAGATAGTAATACAGATATTGGGGAAACTTCGGAAGATTTCAATCGATTACAGAACTCGTGGGCTCGTGTGTGTGAGACAGTTGATAGCCCCTATGATGTCAATATGTCCCAGGAAAGTCTCGAAATCTCCGACAGTGGACAAATTCCATCCTTCCATGGTAGACGACAATTCGGATCCAAGATCTGAGACGAACGCCATCCCACATGGCGACCGAGTCCTCGGTAAAGGAGGACCACTAGGGCGAAAAGGAGACGAAAAAAAAAAAAAAAAAAAAAAAAAGGCGAGGGACAGCCACTGGATTTGGTTATGCTACAACCTCGGTGACAGCCTGTACGGAAAAAGATCAATATGGGCAAAGGGTCCGTTTGGAACCCACCGCCAAACCCAGAACCAGGGCAGCACCGGGACTAGTAGAGTCAAAGTGTGAGAGTGACTGACTAGTGACACGCCAGACCGTGCAATGACAAATTCCAGCCGCAGCCGGCCACTTCCGTCCATCGTGACTTGGTGGGTCGGTGGCAGGTCGCATCGAAAGACTGCGCCACAATATGGAGAAGTCAGCCACAAACTTCTCAACACGGTTTAGAGGTTTACGTACTCCGTACATCGACAGCACTAATGGTTTCCTGCCTGCTCCGTAACTCGTATTGGGAAGTAAAAATATAACCAGAATCCACCAACCAACTAACGGGGCTAGAGCCTCTACCACAACGTCACCCATTATGGGCGTCAGACGGTGACGGGGGATGCATTCTATGGTTAGGTCTGTGAGATCGAGCATTGATCGCCGCCCTTGTTCCATCCCTGCACGATCTTTGTTTGGCGATAGGGAGCGGCACGCTAAACCAAGAGGGGAGGAATATTTTCTTTTTTTCTTTGTGTTGGTAGATGAGCCTTAGTGCGAGACCCCTCCCCAGTGGCGTTGGCCTGTTCGCGATTCCCCTTGACAGACTGTCCTGTACGTCACCTGCATTTATGGTTGGTAACAGTAGAAGAAGCCATTTATGACGCTCTGGGATATGCCAGTATCCTCGTACCACTGAGATGTTTCACTCCTGGAAACTAATGAGGTTGACACACATACTTCTTAGCAAATAAAGACAAGTGAGGCCAAATAGGGCAAACATCTAGGGAGAAGATTGATCCTCAACGTGTCTTGTCTGCATTATTGTAGCTGCTTTCAAGACCAAAGAGTAGCGTTGCGAGCTGCGTGTCTGTCACTAGTCATGTAGTAGATCTTTGACAAATCACCCGTAATGAGCGAAAATCTACCTAACCCTACTTGTATCTAGCCACGAGCGCTGCTCCTTTCGGACCAAGAATATGACTGGCGGCATTGTTCGGCTGAAGCTTATTTGATGAATCAACCGAGTGTTCAAGAAAATAAAAACTATTGAGGATTCAATTTCTGTTTCTTTGGTTGAACCAAAGTTTGCTTCCGGGGTTTCTACCGTCTCGAGCAAGTGGGCAGTCTCTTTTGAGATAACAGTCCGGAAATTATTGCCATCAGTTAAAACCTTGCTTAATATCTTCCTAAATCCTTTGGGATCGGATTTGAATCGACGGAGACATGCCGAGCCAGGCTGATCTTGCTAAGTTTTTGACTAACCCTAGATCCATCCACCCGGATAGGTTATTACCTTTTCCAAGCCAGTCTCGGCTTTGGCATGGGGCTGACAGATGGGTTCCAGATCTGGGAAAGCAATGAAACAGGGGATGAAAAACAAAACATTAAGATATAAAAAAAATTAAAGAATAACCATCTCTAAAGCCCCGTTCTGGACAAACTGGTCGTTACTCCTAAACAAATGAGAGTCTGATATGTGATGCATGATCGGGGGGCGACATGACTTGTATTCCTCAGGCATGAATATGCCAAACTGAAAGGATTAGCGCACATGCATGAAGTCGATCCTTTCCCGGGAAAGTCAGGCTTTGACAAGTTGACATCCACCGAACTCTTTACCAGTACCATGTACTGTAATCGTGTCACAGCCTAACCGCAATCTCCCAACAAAGAAGAACCAATGGCTCGGGTCTGTCTGATGGGCGGCTTACCGATCGTCTATGCCAGTGGAGCAGACCATGGACCTGTGAGTGGTGAACCAAATTGAACCCGCGCGCTAAGGATCCCACTTTCATAAATTCTTCTCCATCACAACTCCATTTTTCAGCTTTGCCCTCAAGAAATCCTCGTGGGCCTGGTCGCATCGTTCGATGAACTGAATTGGAACCTATATCGGGGCACCACCTCGCGCATGTACTCCGTCCGTTACATCGAGCTTTGTAACCGGTTAACGTCTCGCTAGTGAAGTTATGTTACTTACTAAGATAAGAGTGACAAATGACCCATCCTTGGGTCCCTGTCATCTCATGCAACTCCTGTGGTTATCCTTTAAAATATGGACCTTAAAGTTCGGCCGATCCATCGATCAGGCAACCCGAAGTTTGGGGCTAAGAATCCCTCGTGGTGTGGCCTACCCATGGAGAATGGCCAATCTCAAACGAACTTTCTGATTAATGTTGTCATATTCGCACTCCGAAACCCTATGCAGCAGCCCCAGCTCCCGAATGTTATCCGAGATTAATCAACACCATTTTTTTTTGCCATCTCTTGATGACGGCACGTCAACTTTTCCCCTCTTGCCCCCCCTAGGCGACGACCTGAGATGTCATATGCACGGGGCAATGGATCTTGCATATTAATAGGTAGTCACACCAATCACATTCAGTCACTACTTCTTCTCATCCGCATGAGCTGGTGATTTTAGGTGCCTGTGGTTTCCAGGTTTTCATGTCACACCTCCTTGGAGGGGCTGCACCTGATCTCGTGAAGTATTAGCATTTAGCAACCCAGAAATTGTTCTAATTACGGAAAGATGGAAATTATTGCATTAAATCTCCGCCCCTTCTGAGCAAGGTACTACTCCAAAGTATTGAAAGGAGGATCAACTATATAGATAAATTATACAAGACACGAAGCCAGCCCTAAGTTAGAATTCTTCCACAAATAACAAGGGGAAAAAATAAGAAAAAACGAGGCACCTGTTTTAGGTTGAAAAAGATCTGACGTACAGTGATGGCAGCCAGATACCGACGTGGAACCAGGTTGAATACCCTCAATTGCAGCCCATCGCGAAAGGAAGAAGTGGGGGTTTCACGAAGAACATGTCGGCGATCAGATCCCTGGTCTGGAAGTTAGTACATACTGCATACATGTCTTGTTAACAAGCCCAGACTGAATGAGAATCTTGGATTTAGCTCTCTGTCAACCAACTCACACAGCCTTGCCCCCTTGTCGGGTTTGAACTCTGTTTGCCTGTCAGTGACACTGGTACCCAGTGTGATATCCCAACGAGTAGCCCGATCGAACATGCCCGTTATAAACTGCCTTGCAGCGGGAATGATGCGGCAGCGGCAGCCATTGCCGTCGGTGTTCACATCACCCTACATAATGGCTAACACAATTCGCCTAACACACTCACTGTCTAGTGTAAGCTATGTTTTTTTTTTTTTTTGATCTCCATTACTCGCCCTCCGCGTCCTTGACACAACTAGCGATGCCCACCAGTGGATCCAACCCAGCGAGGGACAGCCGATCTCCTACCACTTCGACTTATTTATTTTTATTAATTTATTTTTATTTTTATTTTTATTTTTTTTTTTTGACTTCTGCTGCGCCTTTTTTATTTTTTTTTTATTTTCATTCATTCTATTTTTTTTGTCTCCTCTTCCTCCCTTTTCCTGGCCTCCTCCCTTCTTTCATACCTACGCTGGAATAATAGATTTCAATGGAGATTTGGTATACTAAATTTTCTTAGTTTTCTTTTTTCCAATTTCTTATTTT